AATATAATTCATTTATTCATTTATTAATAATAATGGTAATTTCATCTTATTTTCTTAATTTTCAATTTGAAAAATATTTACATTGGCAACAATGAACATAACATTTTTTTATAATTTGTCCAATTTAAATGTTTTTAATTTATATTTAAAAAGTGTAATTACTTTTCTTAATTTTAAATAACTGTTTTTTTTTTGCAAAAATCTTAATATTGATATAAATTAATTTGTAGTAAAGAAAAAGTGTAAAATAATTTAATCGGTATATGTTATCGGTCAATATCGGTTAATCCGCGCAATAAATTTATAGGTTATGTTAGAAATTAAACGTCAAATGTCATTGTGATTGTTGTCATTAATCAAATTTACTCAAGGAAATTATAAGAAATACCAATATATTATTGAACATAAATCGATAGTTTCTTTTATAAGAAGAAATATATATATATGTTTATATCTACGATTTGAAGTGTAAAAAAAAATTTCAACATCTTTTAGCTCCGCCTATAAGATCCTGTGGTTTCTGCCTTCTTATGCGGTTATTTGAAAGGCCAGAAATGCATTTTGTGTTTGTGAATGTGGGAATTTCTTGTGAGACCTGCCTTTTCTTTCTTTCTTTCTTTTTTTTTTTTAAAGAGACGAGAGGCCGAGCCTATGTGCGCGTCCAATAATATATATATATATATATATACAAACCGGTTGAACCAGTCACTGAATCGATAGTGTGATTTTTTTTTCTTTTCCTTTGTTCAGTAAAAAATAAAATGAAGAAAGAAGCATCAAATAAAAAAAAAGGGCCGCGCTATAAGTCCTTTCAAAAATGGAGGACGAAAATATATAACTTTCAATGGATCCTACACGAGAGTTTTTCTGGAGAAAATATAATATATATATGTATAATGAAAGTAGCCTTTTTTACAGTTTGAAATTTTGATCGAAAAATATGGAAAAAATGGTAAAAAAAAATATGTTTTTTTATAGAAATATTCTTTATAATTACTTTTGTTTTTTTATTAATTTTTACTTTTCCATACAGGGGAAAATTTCTGCCTTTCTACTGAAGAAAAAACAGATTTTTTTTTTCGTCTTCAATAGGCCCGAATTTATTTATTTACTAATTTCTAATTTTGTTTATTTTCTTTTTTGCAATTTACAAAATTAATTAATTAACTAGCAAAATTACACGCGCGCAAGCGCGCGTCCAACTTTAATTGCACTGGTTATTTTAAAATAATAATAATATTAATAATAATAATAATAATAATAATAATAATAATAATTCTGCATCAGTGGAGTATTAAATTAATAATAGGTATATTTCTAATTTTCACGTTATCATTTATTTATACACAGAAAAAAATGAGTTTGATGTTATATAAATAAATAAATTAAAGTAAAAATTTTAAAATATAAATATTAAAATTTTAGAAATAAATATTTTTGATAAAGTCAATGTTCGATGAATTTTTTATAATCTTTCAAATTACAAAAAATTAGTTATGCTAAATATTTTTTTGTATTTTCTATAAATATTTCGTTGCAAATAAAAATTTTAAATTTATGTTTTTTTTTCAAAAAATTTAATTAACTGATAATTAATAAATATTAAAAAATTATGTAATCAAAAAGAAATTTAAATTAACTGAAAATTATTAATTATATTTTAAAAAGTAGTAAGCAATTAAAAAATATTTAAAAATTTTGAAAAAATAAAACCTAAAAAAAATTTGTAATGTTTTAAACTTTAAACTTAAATTAAAAATTAAAATCAAATTGAAAATTTTTTAAAAAAGCAAACTATTTTTATATTGTTTATAGATAAAAAAATATAACAATTTAATAATTAATAATAAAAACAAATTAATAATAATAAATTTATGAATAATAATTTATAATAAATAATAATGAATAATGAAAAAATAATGAAAGATAAATAATAATTATAAGTTAAAATGTTCTAATTATCTGTAATAATCATTATATTTAAAAAAATGTATATATAATATAATATATTTATAAATAATAATAAAAATTATATTATAATTGAAACTTTTTTTTCTATAAATACCAAGTAGGAAATATACTGGTGCTGCACACAATGAACAATATTTTTCTTTTACTTTAAACTGTCACTTAGTATATGACTTAATTAATGGCGATGAATAAAAATATCCGTCGTGTTAACCATAAAATATTACGAAATCAAGAATTGTCAAAATTTTAGAAAAACAAAAGGAACAAAATACGACTAACTTCAAGTGTGGACAGACGGAATGAATGAATGAATACGGAAATTATTATAGTTAATTATAGAAATTATATTCTATTTCAGTGATTTATTGGAAAACTATTGACATTCTAATGATTCTATTTTCTAAAATATTTTTTTAAAAATATTCTCTAATTTTTTATATTCTTTTAACTAATTAAAAAAAAATAAATAAAAACGAAGAGTTTAATTAAGAATTTAAAAAAAAATTTACTTCCTTAATTAATAATTATCAATGAATAATAGAATTTTTTTTTCTATAGTTAAATTTTTCTAAAAATTTTTTTTTTTTTTTGAATAAATTTTTTTTTATTCATAAAATAAAAATATTATTTTCTTATTTAATCGAAATAACTCTTATTCATTTTTATTAATTAGGTATAATAAAATTTTTTTTTCGTTACCCATTTTTTTTTTTTTTATTTTTATAATTTAAAAACAAAAAAAAATCAAATTTTCCGTTACCTTCACGTTTTGTAACAAATTAAATTCTTTAAAAATCAAAATATGTTTCGTATTTATTTATACGATACATCCAATTAAATTTTTTTTTTTTCTTTTTCATTCAAATGAGTTTTTCGTATATAATTTTTAATTGGTCAATAGTTGAATGTAATAAACAGTTTTCTAATTTTGAAATCGATTTTTATTTATGACTCTTTTTCTTTGCCAAAAGACTATATAATATATATATATATTGAATTTCAACAGTTTCCGATCGATTTTGAAAGTTTTTTTTTTTCTTTAAATATATAATAAATTACTTTTTTCATTTTCAACATTTTTAAATTTGAATAATTTTGAATGTATTTTAAATTTAAATAAATTAAAAATTATAGTTTTTTTTTTCTTTTGAAAATTTTTTACAAAAATGATAATAAAATTATATGGACGATATTAAAAAAAATTATTTAATTATTTAAAAAAAATTATTAAATTATTATTAAATTATTTAAAAAATTTGATTGAATATTTTTTCTCAATTTTGAAATTTTTTTTGTTTTCGCGTACCGACATTCAAAAAATATTCCTTTCTTTTTTTAATTTTTATATTCTATTTTTCAAAAAAAAAAAAAAAAAATTTATTTATGTACGCAAAAACCTTTTTTTTTTTTTTTTGCTGTACATAATATAATGCAAATTGCATTCAAAGGCTAATAAATCATTAATTACAAAAGTTATTTTACAAGAAATATTGATCTTACTACTTATTAACTTAACAACTGTCCAATTTGAAGGATTAGGACGAGTCCTAAATTTTATTAGGGACGGATTAGCATTTGAAAATTGGGCCCTAAAGCCCGGCAGCAATAAAATCAATCAGAACGGAAATGAGGATAATGACTAAAAACGACTTTGGTATTTGGAAAGTCATTTGTCAAAAAGTCAGTTATAATTTCTCGAAAAAAAAAAAAAATTTTTTCTATAAAAAAAAATATTTCTTCCTTTTTCAATTTAAAAAGAAGAAAAATATAATCTTGAATTAAAAATTCACTTTTAATTTCCAATATTATTGTCTAGATTCGAAAATTATTTCTTTTTTTTATTTTTCATATTTTTATAAATAATAAAAAATAATTTATTTATAATAATTTATAATAATTTATAATATTTATTAATATATATTAATTAGAACGTTTATCTTTATTTTTAAATTGTAATTGAAAATTTTTTATCATTTTGAAAGAATTTTTCCTTCTTTTAAAATTATTTCTGTATTTTTTTAACTAAATTATTAACATGAATAATTTTTTTTAAAAATATTTTGTTTTTTTGTATTGAAAAAAAATTTAAAAGCGAGACATCTGTTGGTTTAAAATTCGAAGTTCCGAGTTATTAGAGAAAATTCGAACAGCAGAAAGTAAGGAAGGAAACAATAATTAAAAAAAAAAATTTTTTTTTAACAAATATTAATTCTTATTAATAATTTTGAAATTAATAATTTTCTTAATTTTTCTTTTATATATTCAAATTTTAATTTTTCAAATATCTAACAAATTTTAATTTCAATTCTAATTCTCAATAATTAATTATTGAATTAATTTTTATTCACTAAAATTTGTACTACTAAAAAAATTCGATTATAAATTTTTTTTCTCAAGTAACTAATAATATAATATTTCCATTGAGAAAAATTAAAATACAAAATTAAAATACAAAGAAATTAAATAAAAATAAAAATTACAAATAAATTTGTAAGAAAATAAATAATAGTCATAAAATAAGTAAAGTGTAATTTGTTCGTTAAAATTGATTAAAAACTTTTTTTTTTTTTATTATTTCCGGTTATGAAAATATAATTTAAATATTTCCCTCACTTTATCGCGCACTGTTTTGATTCGCCGTTGTCATGGTAAAATTGATCAACAAAATTTTCAGTGCCTGAATCAAAACAAAAATTGTGTGTCGTAAAAACGAACAATTAGCCAGTGTTAATGAGAATTAAATGTGTTTAAAAAAAAAGAATAATTAAAACAATAATTCATTGACAAAATTAATAAGAAAAAATTAAAATAAAACTAATTGCAATAAAATATCATTAAATTTTTGAAAAAATTGACAATTTCTATTAACACCAAAATTATATTTAAAAAAAGTTGTAAATAAATTAGAAAACTTTTTAACTATTTCACAATAACGACGCGCATTATTTATTGAAATCAATTTTCGTTTATTTTTTATAAACAATTACTAAATTTTTGAAATAAAAATTTTTATATAAATGATACTAGAATGTATTTCATAAAAAGAGAAAAATTATTATTAAAAAACAAAGATAGAAAAGAAATATATTATTTAAAAAAATAATTAAAAAAAAAAAAAACAGGGAAATTGAGAAATGATAGCAAAAGTAAAAAGAAAATTTTTTAAATATAATTTTTTTTCTTTTCCATAAACTTTTTTGTAATATTCGTATTTACGGTAATTTTTTTTTTTTTTTTGCTTCTATTGTCAAAACAAAAAAATCTAAAATTGCATAATTATTAATTATTTAAAAAAAAAAAATGACTCTTATTTTAACGAGAGTCGATTATTTATCAGTAGGTGTTACTGCTCGTGGGACAACAAAACTTTTGCCCACAGATTCTAAGCAAACACAAAAATTTGTCGTTGGCGATTACGATGGAATTGTTCACATATATGGTAAATAGAGTTTTTTTAATTAATTTTTTTCTTTTTTAAATGAATTAATTTGAGAAAACAAAATTAAATTACAAAAATTTTGATATACTTTTTTTTATTCATTTTTTTCTATACGAAACAATTTTCAACTACAAAAAAAAACAATTATAATATTAACAAATATATATTTTGATTTATAAATTATATATATATTTATAATTATTAATAATTTAGAAAAAAAATGACTAATTCAATTAATATAAGTAAATTGAATTTTTTGGAAATGAAGAATAAATTTTTCAAAATTGTTTTTTTTTATATTTTTCTATTATAAGTAAAAAATTGATATATTTAAGCAGGAAAAAAAAATTAAAATTTAATTATATTTACTTTTTATATATAGGAATGAAGAAAAATGAATTGCAATTGATTTTTAAATCGTTGCCGGGACCAAAAATAAATGGATTAATATTGGGTGGTGCTGTTGATATGATACGTGATAAAATTTTCATTTGTCACAATAATACCGTTAAAGGATTTTCAAGAAAAGGAAAACTTTTTCTTGATTTTGATACAAGTCTTCTTGATGATATTACGACAATGTAAGAATAAATAATTAAATATTAATATATTAATATATCCAAATATAATAAATATTCTTTTTGCAAAATATTTTACTAATATTTTTTTTTGCAAAATAAACGAAATTGAATTTAAAAAAAAAAATTTGAATTAAATTTTTATTAAACAAAATTCTCATTTTTGGATTGTAAAAAATATTTTTCAAATATTTTTTTTTTTTTTAAATATTCAAAAATTTGAAATATTCACAAAAAATTTTTTTTTTATATTATAGATAATTAATAATTATAATTAAATTAATTTTTTGTAAATATAGGTACGTATTGGGACCAGATTTAGCTGCTTGCTCGCGTGATGTCTATCATCGTTATCGTGATTGCAAAGATGCTGATTCATATTTAGTTGGCGAACGTCTTCTCGATGTTGTTCTACTTCCGGCGGAAGGACTTTCAGTTTATACTGTTTTAGCATGTAGCGATTGTGCTGTAAGTAAAAAATTAAAAAATTAAAAATAACTGAAAAAAAAAAATTATTTTATTGAATATAATTTGTAAAAATGATCATTAATTTAGATGATAATTTTATTTATTTTTTGCAATATTATATTTAAAGTCTTTAATTAAAAAAAGGTAATTAAATTGCAAGTTAGTCAAAAAAATTTAATTTTATTGATCAATTAAAGAATATTTAATTTAATTTTTTTTTAAGATTTACATTTATTTTTTCTATTGTGTATAAACAAGAAAATTTAATTTTTAAATTAATACAATTTTAAAAATTACAGATTTTCTAAATTAGTTTACGTGTTTAATTGATAAACAATTAGAAATTATTGTTTCAGATAAGAGTTCTCTATGGAACGAAAAGTCCAACTATAATTCGATTACCGAGTGTGCCGTCAATTTTAAAATTGTTCAGGTAAAAAAAGAAATTTGCTTTTACAGTGGAACCTCGATTATCCGAACCTCTATTATTCGAACCCTCTATTATCCGAATCGAAAAACATTTTATCCGAACTTCTATTATCCGAACTATTTTTTGGTCTCCCGAATTTTAAATTTTATTTTCTCTATTTATTTTATCATTCAAAGCAAAATAACCAAATTTATGCCAAAAAAATCTTAAAAATTTCCGAATTTTCTGAGTTTTTAATATATTATTAATTAATATATATTTACATATATGTATATACTTATGTATATTTAAAAACATATGTACTAAGTTAAATATACAGGGTGTCCCATTTTAATCTATCAGGCGAAATAACTTTTAATCAGTTCATTTTACAAAAAAATGTTTTAGACAAAAGTTATTGTGCTCACAGGGGGACATCCAGTGGTACACTTGAATTTGACCTAAATGACCTAATTTAAGTCATTTCAATTTCAACTCATTTTTTTTAATGGAACCATCTCCTTTTCATGTTACAAACCGGAAGAGCAGGAAATTCCACGTTGAAATCGTCCAAGTACTTTTTTCGACAGGTCGACCTATTCAGGTCAAATAGGTCATAATTAATTTCACCTTCAAGGCCTTGGTTAGATCTAGTCTATGTCAAATAATTTTTCATGAAGAAAGATCAAGTTTTTATGCAAGGAATCGTCAAGGCAAGAATTTTTATGTCAAAAACACTAGACCCAACCAAGGCCTTGTAGGTGAAATTGATTATGACCTATTTGATCTGGATAGGTCGACCCGTAGAAAAAAGTACTTAGACGATTTCAACGTGGAATTTCCTGCTCTTCCGATTTGTAACATGAAAATTAGATGGTTCCATTAAAAAAAATGAGTTGAAATTGAAATGACCTAATTCAGGTCATTTTAGGACAAATTTAGGTTCATCACTGAATATTCCCCTTTAAGCACAACAACTTTTGCCTGAAACATGTTTTTGTAAAATTAATTAGTTTAAAGTTATTTCCCCAAATACAATAATAATTAAATGACCTATTTGTCCTAAATAGGTCGATGTATCGAAAAAAAGTGCATCAACGATTTCGACGTGGAATTTCCTGCTTTATCGATTTCCGGCATAAAAAGTAGGTGGTTCCATTTAAAAAAAATGAGTTGACCTTGAAATGACCTAAATTAGGTCATTTAGGACAAATTCAAGTTTACCATTGGATGTCCCCCTCTGAGCACAATAACTTTTGTTTAAAACATTTTTTTGTAAAAGCAACTGATTAAAAGTTATTTCGCCTGATAGATTAAAATGGGACACCCTGTATAGTTCAACTGTACATTTTTTTACTTTAATTATAAAAAAAATTAAAATCTCTATTATCCGAATTTTCGATTATCCGAACCCGGCCTTGCCTAGATTAGTTCGGATAATCGAGGTTCCACTGTATTTATTTATTAAATTACAAAATTTCGAATTTAAATTAATCTATTGTCTTTTTAAAAATAGCAATTTTTTTCCAAACTATTTTTTTTTCAATGTTATTGATTAAATTTTTTTTTGGTTTAATTGAAACAAATTTATTATTTTAATTAATTTATTAAATAATAAATTATTTATATTATAATTAATAATAATTATTATTATTATTTATAAAAAATAAATTTGAATTTATTTTTCTCTTATTATTATTACAGGGAAGATAATGTATTATCGAGAAATCATATTTTAATGGGGACTCTCGATGGAAAAGTAGGTCTTTTAATTCTAGAAACCAATAAAACTGTACGTGTCACGTGGCTATTAAATTCTTCAAATTCAGAAATTACCGCTTTAGATACATATATTTTACAAGATACTCTGGATTTTATTGTGGGAAGACAAAATGGAACTGTTGAAGTTTTTGCCTTTCCCACCGATGAGGAAGCAACGCCAACTTTAAGATTCCGTTATGTTGGTATTTTTTCAAAAAAAAAGAAAAATTTGTTCTAAAAAAGAAATTTACAAGATTTTAAACTTCATTTAATTAATTTTTAATATTAAAATTACAATTTTTTCAATTTTTTATAAAAGTAGATTAAAATAGCTTTTTTTTCATTTCGTAAAATTAGAGAATTTTATTCGAAAACAATACAAAAAAATAAATTTAATTTACAAAAAAAATGAAAAAATTATTGTAAATATAATTTATTTTAACAAAAAATGATTTCTTTTTTCTTATATATATATAGAATTGTGGTGAAAGTGTAAGTAGTTTAAACGGTGGTGTTGTGGGATCAATTGGCTATCCAGAAATTTTGGTTACAACTTATTCGGGTAGAATTTTTGGTCTCTCAACAAAACCACCGGGTCTGATGGAAGCGATGCAAAATCAATCGAGTATTTCTAAATTGGAACAAGAAATTGAACAATTGCAAATGAAATTAAAAGAGGAAAATGATGCTTCCAGTTATGTGGCTGAAAATCTTGTTCCTTTGGTTTTATCTGTGAATTATAGGTAAATTTTTAATATTATTAACCAGTAATATTTTAAAGAATACAAAAAAAAAGAAATTAAAAATCTATTAATTAAAATTGTTCCTATTTTTTTTTTAAATTAGAATGGTCCTTAATAAAGCAGACACTTCTTATTCGTTAATTGTTGAACTCGACAGTGCAATAGACAATGTTTTAATACAATCCGACGCTCCCATAGAACTTTTAGATGTTGAAAGTAACAATGCAGTTGCTAGTTTATCAACTTGCGATCCTAAGGAAGGAAATTATGTTTTAGCAACTTATCGATGCCAAGTAAATTATTTAAAATAAAATTAAAATTAATTAAAATAATTAAAATTAAATTATAATTAAAAATATAATAATTATTATAATAATAATATAATAATAATATAATTAAAATAGTATTATTATTATTATTATAATTATTATATTATAATTATTATAATTAAAATAAATTAAAATTTTATTATATTTTTTCTTAAATTAAAAAAAAAAAGAAAAATAGATTCCAAAATTTTCGTCTTTTTACAATTTACTTTTAATTTTTGAATTTTTTAAAATGTTTTATTTGTTTTTCTTAGATAAATACAAAAATGTTGGAAATGAGATTAAGAACAATAGAAGGACAATCTGGAACTTTACAAGTTTACGTAACATCCGATGTGAGTATTTTATAATTTTTTTTTTAAATTAAAATATTTTATTAAATTTTATTTTTTCTTATATGAGAAAATTTTATAATTTTCATACATTTTTCTCTTCAAACATCTATAAATTAGTAAAAATAATAAATTTTTCCACTAAGAATATTTCGAATTTTTTTTTGTCAAATAAGTAAATTATTAATAAAAGAAATAATTAATATATATTGAATAAAATATGAATTAATTTTTATTTAAACATAAATATTCAATTAATTTTAACTTTTAATTATAAATAAAATTAAATTTTGTTTTTTTAATAAATTCTGATACTTCTAATTTTTACTTTTAATTTCTAAAATAAATATTTAATTAATCAAAAAAAAAAAATTTTTTAATTCTTTTTTTTAGGTGCAACCGAAATGTTGTCGAAAAATAAAAATTCCAATTTGTGCTCTTTCACTGCATACAAGAATACACGAGGAAGAGAAACCAATTGGTGGACCATTCAATGAATTAAAATTAAATGGAAATTATTCAGTCGCTGAGGTATTATTCAAAAATAGCTAATTATTAAAAATTTGAATTAAAGTTTTTTCTTTTTGGCTATAAATTAAAGAAAATTAAAAATAAAAATTGATTACTAGATGCACGCATGGCTTTCTCTTGTATTACCGGAAGCTCCAGAAAGGCCATTTTTACAAGAAGGCGAAGCAACATTAACTTACACATCATGTTTTATTGGAACAAATATTATATGCAAATATAAGTAAGTCTGCGCGTAAATTTATTTATAATTACGAAAAAAGAATCAATAGTTTTTTTTTTCTCTTTTTTTCAGAAAAGGAAGCGCTGTTTTTCTCAGCGAAAATATTTCAACAATCATTATTCTTCGTGATGTTCTCACCAAAGAGGCTACCAAACGAAAAATGAAACTTGACGTTTTTTGCGGTAATTAAAGAAAAATATTTTTCAAAAAAAAATTTATTAATTATTTTAAATGGAAAATTGGAAAAAAAAATTTTTTTTAATAGAAAAAATTGCTGATAATACTAAAAAAGTAAAAAATAAAATGAAATTTTATATATATTTTTTTTTAATATAATAATTTAATATAAAAAAAAAGAGAATTTTTTTATTGCAGAAGTATCGGATGCGAGTTTAACAAGAGTTTTGGAAATAATTCTACCTCGTTTGAAAACAGCTCATGATTTAACGGAAAAAATAATTATTCTCGATGCACTCGAATATTGGGAATTAAAAGATAATCCAATAAAAAATCTTGGCACTGAATATCAGGAAATAGTGAAAAATGAAGCGAATATTAGAATTCAAATTATGAATAATAAGGATATTTTGGAAAGACTCAATGCTGTTATTATTGATCTCTACGTTGATTGGCAGCGAGCAAAAGGCTCACACAGGTAAAACAAAATTAATTATTTTATTAAATTAAATATAGAAATATTGTTATTATATCTGAATTTTTTAATTAAAAAAAAAAGAAAATTACCTTTTTTTCGTTCTTTCATCGTTGAAAACCAAAAACAGAATCACAAATCGAGTTGCAGCGGAAAAATTGAATTCAGCTCTTAAATCCATGGACATAAAGGAACTTCTTCAAGTATTTCTTGAACGTGACATTTCCAGTGATATAGAAATTCTTCCAACTACCTCAAGGGAACAAAGTTAAAAATAAAAAATTATTATATATGTATAAAAAAAAGAAAAAAAATAAAATTCAATTGCAAATCAGATTTAAGGATTATTATACATTATTTATTTTTAACAATAAAAGCAATTATTCAAATTGAAAAAATAAATCTATTATAGAAATAAAATAAAAGTACAAATTAAAAAAAAAAAATTTATAACAGTTACAAATTTTTCAAAATTAAAAAACATTTAATATTTTTTTGTTTTCTTTTTAAATATAAAATTAAAAAAATTTAATATTTTTTTTTCCAAGTATAAAATAATTAATATTACAATTTTTTTTTTCAAAATTAAAAAATAATCCCTAAATTTGAGAAGTGAGTGCAAAAAAAAACAACATTTTTTCTGTAAACGTTTCGACGTAAAAAATATATTTTTCAATATTGATTTACGATTATAAATGGCTAAATTGTTCGATTTAAAAAAAAAAAAAAAAAAAACGTGTACGGACAATGTTTTGCACGTCATTTTACAAATATGTAATACATAATTCTTAAATTAATAATAATAATAATAATTATAATGTAATATATTATAATTATAAATTATAACATATTTATAATATATTGTAAACTTATTTACATTGCGAAAGCATTGTACATAATTTTTTTTTTTTTTTTTAATATGGCTACAATATATATTTCACTAAATAGCCAGTTTTCATTTATAAAAAGTACCAATTTTTTTTTTTTTTATTTTATTTCTATTATTGCCTAAGTGAAAAAAAAAACAAAAAAAAAAATTGCACAGAGAATTAAATCCTCACTGGGACAGTAAATATATGTAAATTAACTTAGTAAAAAAAAAGTCTACTATTTTACAGGTATATAATTCTCTAGAATTTTGAAAAAAAAAATAATATAATAATAATAATAATAATAATAGAAAAAAATGAAATGAGAAATTTTGAATTTCTTTATAATAATAATTTGTTTAAATCGGTACTTTTTTTTTTGACAAAATATTTTTTAATGAAAACTAAATTGGCTGGAATAAAGAAAAATAAAACTAGAAAATTGATGTTTATATCAATTTTTTGCATTTAAAAATTAATTGATATTGAAAAAAATTGCTTTTTTTAGGCGATGTGAATTATAAAGTTCTTCAGTCGTTTTGGAGTCGGTAAATATTTACAAATTTCTTAATAATATAATATGAAATCGTCCCCCCCAAATATATGCTATACTATACTTTTTTCTTTTTTTTTTATTATTTGCTGATGATTGAGTGTTCCAGTTTTCTTCTTTTTTCAATTCTTCACATAAAAAGAAAGTGGCTGAAACATTTTTTTAACAATAATTTTATTAAATTTCTCTATTTCTTTCTCCCTTCCTTTTTCTCTCTTTTTTTAAATTAGAGAATTTGGAAATTTAATTTAAAATACGGCAAAAAAAGGGGGCAAACAAAATAAGGCAAAAAAAAAAAAAACAAACTATTATTAGTTATATTTTAGTAATAAATTGAAATTAAAATTTAGATAAATTCAATTTAGGATCTCTTATTTATTTATTTAAAATTAACTTTTTTGTAGAAACAAATTTATTTATTGAAAACTAATTCTTTAAAGAAATATTTATTTATTTACTGAAAATTAACTTTTTGCTGAAACAAATTTATTCAAAGATGAATTTTATTAGAAAATTAAGTATTATTTTCGTTTTTTTCCGAAGTGATTTAATTTTTCTCCACAAAAACCATAAAAAATAAATTTTAAAAAAATTTTACTCGATTAGAATTATTTAAAAAAAATTTTTTTTCTTTATTCATGATAGATATGAGAATTTAAATAGAAATTTACTGAACTTTAATTAAAAATGTTTTAGTATTATTAAAATTAAAAGAAATTTGTAATTAGAAATCGTGTAAATATTTTTTAAATAATTAAATATAAAAAACGATTTAAAAAAATTTACAAATCAATAAATATATTACTATTAATGAAAATTTAAATTTTTTTTTGAAAAATTGATCTATTTTTGTAAATTAAATGACAATTTTCAATAAATAAAACAATTGTTTAATTTAATTCAATTTAAAGAAAATTTATCTCTTAAATTTGCAAATCATATGACAAATTTTTTTTTTTTTTTTTTTTTAAATAAACAAAAGCATTGTTTAATTTACTAAATTTAAAAAATTTAAATTTAGTTTAAAATTAAAAATTTTAAGGGTAAGTCCACGTCAGAAATATCAGAATCTGCAAGTGGTTCTTCGATTTTAATGATACTTGGTAAAATTATAGCTTTATATAAGAGCCAATGTGTAAGTAAAAGGAATTTTTAAAATATCTAAAATTGTAGGAGTTATATCACTTTTAATTTTGATACTGCATTTTTTTCTTTCCTTTATATCTCGGTCAATTTTCAACTGATTTTGATGAATCAAAAACGATTTTTTTTTCAGAAAATTACGTATTTTCAGAAAATTTTAAAATAAAAATAAAATGTTGTTATTTAAATAGAAAAAAGTAAAAAACAAAATTTCTTTTAGATTTTTTTTCAATTTCGACCTCTTTTTTTTTAATTTTTAATTTTTTAATAATATTCCTTTTTATTTTATCTTTAATTTAAAAAAAAATTCATCCTGGAGACTTTTTTAGATCTCGTGATATCGTTCTTTAAATATCTACATCTCAAGAAAACTAGGATCCAGATTTGTGTTTCTACTTTCATTTGTTTTATAATATTATTGTTACAAACTAGAAACTTTCGCGTAATAATGTTTTTATTTTTAAATTACTTGACTAAAACAAGTGAAAATTCAAGCAAATCAATATTTTATTAATAGATTTAAAGCAAAGTTTTTATTTTTTGTAATATTTATAATTTAAAATAAATTGTAATGAAACCTTAACAATGCAACTTGAAATTGTAGCTGAAGTTTTTAGCGCTTTCTTTTAGAAGATTCTAAAACAAATAGTTATTCATAACCATAAAAAATTTCAACAAACAAATGAAAGTAATGATAGAAGCAAGTCCTGCGGTTTTCAAATTGATGAAGACTTATAATACTTAAAGGACGATATCACGAGATCTAAAAAAGTCTCCAGGATGTATTTTTTTTTAAATTAAAGATAAAATAAAAAGGAATATTATTAAAAAATTAAAAATTAAAAAAAAGAGATCGAAATTGAAAAAAAATCTAAAAGAAATTTTGTTTTTTACTTTTTTCTATTTAAATATAACAAAATTTTATTTTTATTTTAAAATTTTCTGAAAATACGTAATTTTCTGAAGAAAAATCGTTTTTGATTCATCAAAATCGGTTGAAAATTGACCGAGATATAAAGGAAAGAAAAAAATGCAGTATCAAAATTAAAAGTGATATAACTCCTACAATTTTAGATATTTTAAAAATTCCTTTTACTCACACATTGCTCTTATATAAAGCTATAATTTTACCAAGTATCATTAAAATTGAAGAACCACTTGCAGATTCTGATATTTCTGACGTGGACTTACCCTTAATTTACTAAAAATTTTCAAAAAAAATTTGAATTAAAAAAGTTGAAAGTAACTAAAAAAAAATACTCACAAATTATCCGAATTTCTAATTGTCGGCTCAAGTTCCCTGCCAACAGCCTCTTGATTATTTGCCTGTGAATATTCCAAATTAGCAGTCGCTGCATGTGGCAATATACTCTCATGATTATCCTCAGGAGCAACTAACGCCACTGGTTCATAACGTCCAATACTCGCTGGTTCAACTTCCAATTTTAATTCATCAACAAGATCTTGTATTGTTTTTGGCCTCGCAATTATTGACGACGTTGACGATGAAGATGTTTTAACATCTTGTTCGACTTTTGGAAGTTTTGTCGTTGTTATCTTTGTCGTTGTCATTGTCGTTGTTGCTGTTGTTGTTGTTGAATTTTTATTATTGGCAGTTATTGTATTTGTATTTATTGTATTAGTATTAGTACCACTATTAACATTAGTTGCACTAATTGTTGATGAATTTCTCTCTTGTTTACCACGTGTGTGAGTTTGCATATGCCTTTTCATATCGCTACGCACACGAAATGGTTTACCACAAATTGTACATGGATGTGGTTTCTCGCCAGTGTGAATTTTACGATGATTTTGCAAATAGCTACTAGCGCGAAATGTTTTATTACAATATTCACAACAATAATTTTTCTCGCCCGTATGTATACGTCGATGAACAATTAATGAATATTTACGGGCAAAATCTTTACCACAATATTCACATTGAAATTGTCGTAATTCCGAATGTATACTTGTTGAATGATATTTTAAATCGCCCCATTGACGAAATTTACGGCCACAATCCTCACATTTATAGGGTTTATCGCCACTATGAAGACGTTTGTGTACCTACAAACAAAAATTTTGAATTTGCAATTTAAAAAACAATTTTTACGGAAAATAAAATTTGCAATATTTATCAAAATTTCTAGTAAGTAAATAAAATTTTAAAAAAATTCCTAGAAGTAAAAATAAAATTTATTTACAAAAGAAAAAGAAAAGAATTTAAAAAAAAGAAAAAAAATGTGAATATTTTACCTTCAATGCGCTTGCTGCGAAAAAACTTTTACCGCACTCATCACATTGATGTGGTCTTTCACCGCTATGCGATCTCATGTGATAAATTAAACTATTTTTGTAATTAAAGTAACGCTTGCAATGTTTACAGGTATGATCCTCGCCTATAAAAAAAAAAAATAGTAAAACGATTATTTAGAGCGCCTGAATTTCCATAAAAATCATTAATTGAAATTTTCTATCTTAAAGGTATCTATTTTATTAGAAATAATTATTTTTTAGACGAATTTTCATTTTTCGAATTAGCATTTAATAGAATTTCTTTTTATACTGAACTTTTTACAATAATAAAATTTTTAGATATCGAATTTTGGTTTGGCAAAATTTTTATTTCACAGTCATTTTCTTAACATGACTTTTTATTTAAAAAAATTTTAATTTAACTGAATTAAATAAAAATTCGTGCTAATTTAAATTCGATTGAAGAAAAAATTTGAAAAATGAAAAGAAAATTCTATTTGAAATATTTTGTCAAATAAAAATTAATTAAACTTTTCAAAATAAATTTAGTAATCACAAATTTTCAAAAATTAACTATATTTTAATATTGTTTACTATTTAATTAATTTATTTATCATTAATTTTTAATGAATTATTATATACATATACGAGAAAACTTACGATTTTTTTGATTTCTTTTTCGTTCCTTTTTGACGGTTGCTTTTGGAATGTTGACATTTTTTTCGACATTAACATTTTTATCATTAGCAGTAACAACTGTTTTTCGTGCGATATCGTCTAAATTTTTCATTTGCTGATGACTCGGCCAATTTAATTCATTATCTCCCGGTAATGGATCCTCATCGGTTTCAAAATCAATTCTTGCCCCTGTTTCTTCCACTAGAAAAAAAAAATGCACAATAAAATAAATACCAAAAGAAAAATTCTTTAATAATTGCTAGAAAAAGGAATTTCAATTACAAAATTTATTTTAATAAAAATAAAAATATGCAATAAAATTGAAAATTTAAATTAATTTCATAAAAAAAAATTGCAAAAATTAGAAAATATATTTCAATTAGAAATTTTTATTTAATAAAAATAAAATTATCAAATTTATACTTATGAGCCGAAAGGTTGAAGCTTAATAAATTAATTAATTATAAAAATAAAATTTAATTTTGAGAAGAAAAATTCTTAAAAATTGCAAATTAAAAAAATATTTCAATTTAATTTGGAAATTAATTTTATCAAAAACAAAAAATCAAAAAAAAATTTGTTTAAAATAAAAATTAAATTACATTTTTCTTGTAAATTAAACTCTATTATTATTTAATGGTGAGAGTAAGAAAATTTCTTTTAAAAATTAAATTCCTACCAACGCCTCTTATGCCTTCCATTAAATCTTCCGATTCACTAAATTCTTCAACGGTTTCTTCAACAATTGGTTGAGTTGCTTTAACATTATTTTTCACTTCAATTGGCTTCGATTGGCTCGTCTCTTTTTTCAACGGTTCGTAATGTGCCTGAAAAATTAAAAACAAAAAACAATTTATTTTTAATATTTTTAACGAAAATTTATTTTCTTTTTTTAACAAAAATTATACAAAAAATATTTCGACTATAAAAAACAGAAAAACGACTGAAATAAATACGAATAAAATATTATTAATAACAATAATGATAAAAATATGGAAATAATGATATTTAATAAAAACAAATACTGCCTCTATGTAATTATAAATTTAATTTTTAAAAAATTGAAGATTTTTAATTAAAATTACCAAATTCGAAACAAAATAAAAATTCAAATTAGAATAAAGTTAAAAAATACAAAATTTGAAATAATAATAATAATAATAATAATAGAAAAAAAAACGGAACCTTTAGATGTTCGAAAAATTTCAATTGATTTGAAAATCGTAATGTACACAATTGACATTTAAAATTAGCAATTTGTTGTGTATCATTAACAATTATTTCCTGTTCAATTATTGGTTGTTCATTAATAATTTTATTTCCCATTTCTTTTTTTCCATGATTCTTTTTGCCAGGCTGTTTTAATTTTCTCGTTATACGTTTTTTATGTGGTAATGAACGTTTTGTATTTAACAATAATGATGAATTATTTGTCTCATCATTATTTAAATGAGTATCATTTTCACGTTTATAATTATTATCCTCCTCATGTTTATAGGGAGCAAGTGATGAATAAACATTTGTATTTGTCTCGGAAATAGGATCAACAGCATAAATATCAACTGGTTCAAGTGTTTGTAATTCAACAACATCAGTTAATCCAGAATTTGTATTTGATTGCATTTGTTTTTGATGTTGTTGCTGCTGCTGTTGTTGTTGTTGAATTTGTACAGCCACTAAAGCGGCCGTGAGTCTTTGATCCTCCTTAACAAAAAAAATTACGGAAATTTAAAAAAATAAACTGAAATAAAAATTCCTTTTTTGATAATTATATTTTTGCTAGTAAAATAATAATAATAATAAAATAAAATTTAATTTAAATGTCCTTCTGTCCTAACTTGAAGTTGGTCTTTTATGATTTCACGTGTTTTTTGAATAGTAATCTTATGACGTGTCAAATTTGTGTCAAATTAAACTTGAAAATTTTAGAAATAATTAAATTTCAAAAGATATTGTTAATTTTCAAACAATAATAAAATTTTACAGAACTAAAAATAATAATTTATCAAAAAATTTTTTGGAAAACATTTTTTAAATTTAATTGAATTTTTAAAAGATTTAAAATTGAGATTTTAGAAATTAATTGAACTTCAAGTGATTTAAAATTTTATATGATTTCACTAAAAAATTTATTAGAAATTACAGACAAAATACAATAATTTGATAATCATTTTTAATTGAAAAATGGTTTCAGATAGTTGAATTTTCAAAGAATATTATAAAAATATTTAAAAATAATTGAATTCCCTTAGAGTTATAATTGAAATTATTAAATTTCAAAAAATTTTCGATGGAAAATTTTAGAAATAATTAAATTTTAAATGCTTTTAAATTCAAATTATTGAAAATTCAATTCAAATTTTTTAGAATAATTAAATTTTCTTTAATTTTGATTTGAAATTTCGGAAAATAATTAAATTTCAATTAAAATTTTGGATAATAATTCATTTTTAGTTGATTTTTTATTGAAAATTTTAATAATTAATTTTGAATTGAAATTTTAGAAAATAATTGAATTTTATTTGATTTTAAATTTAGAAAATAATTGAATTTTAGTTGATTTTGAATTGAAAATTTTAAAAATAATTGAATTTTCTTTGATTTTGAATTGAAATTTTGGGAAATAATTGAATTTTAATTGAAATTTTGAATAATAATTTAATTTAAGTTCATTTTTTATTGAAAATTTGGATAATTAAATTTTGAATAGAAGTTTTAGAAAATAATTGAAGAATTTTATTTCATTTTAAATTGAAAACTACGAAAATAATTGAATTTTAAAAGATTTTGAATTAAAAATTTGGAAAGTAATTGAATTTTCTTTGATTTTGAATTAAAATTTTGGGAAATAATTGAATTTTAGTTGATTTTGGAATTGAAATTTTGAAAAATAATTGAATTTTTGTTAATTTTCAATAGATAAATTTGGAAAATATTTGAATTTTAGTTGATTTTAAATTAAAATTTCGGATAATAATTGAATTTTATGTGATTTTAAATTGAAAATTTGGAAAATAATTGAATTTTAAAAGATTTTAAATTAAAATTTCGGATAATAATTGAATTTTATGTGATTTTAAATTGAAAATTTGGAAAATAATTGAATTTTAAAAGATTTTAAATTAAAATTTCGGATAATAATTGAATTTTATGTGATTTTAAATTGAAAATTTTGAATTAAAAATTTGAAAAATAATTGAATTGTCTTGGATTTTGAATTGAAATTTTGGAAAATAATTAAATTTCAATTACAATTTTAAATAATAATTCAATTTTAGTTGATTTTTGATAATTAATTTTGAAATGAAATTTTAGAAAATAATTTTATTTTATTTGAATTTAAATTGAAAATTTGGAAAATAAGTGAATTTTAGTTGATTTTGAATGGAAATTTTGGGTAATAATTGAATTTCATTTGATTTTAAATTGAAAATTTGGAAAATAATTGAATTTTAAAAGACTTTGAATTTAAAATTTAATAATTTGATAATTAATAATCTGAGGCCTATAAACATATAATTTTTATTTTTATCATTTAATATGGAATAATATTCTAATAAATTTAAATAATTATTGATAATATTAATTTTTAATTTCTCTATAACAAATAATGAAATACTCAATTTGGCGCGCTTGCGCGCGTTTAATATTGCTAGTAATAAAATAAAATTTAATTTAAATGTTAATTAATTTTGTGCGAAAAATTAAAATTTAATTTTTTTCTTACTTCGGTCATAACTGGGGGTAAAAGATCTTCAGTCTCATAATACTGGGCGGTAGTGTTATATTCTCCCGTGACATCGGCATTTATCATATCAACGACCATTCCTTCGGATATTATTTCTCCATTAAGTGTAAAAAGTGGAATTCCCTTGCCCAATGATTCGCCGTCTGCTCTATGTATTGTTATATATTGTGTACCCTCAACACCCTCTAAAAGTACAGCTTGAGCCTCATCTTCAGGAGTAACTTCCATTTTTTTTTTTCTTTTTTCGTTACTTTCTTTCAAATTTTAATTAAAACATCTACAAACAAAAAGGAATACAAAAATATTCCATTTTTCATCTTTATAAAAAAATAATTCTAAAACAAACGAAAACAGACCGGAAGTCAAAATTGTTAGTTATTTACTTTATAAATTCAAAAAAATATTCCGCATTTATTATAACAATTTAAATATAAACATCCACTTCCAAATTTTATAGGTTATGTTACCACGATTCAAAGAATAAGCGCAAAAATCGAATAAAATAAATAATATTTAAAAGATAAATAAAATTATATAAAAAATTTGTTAATATAAAATAATAGTTGTGAAAAATAGTTTAGAGAAAATATTTATTTTTATAATAATAATTGTTATTTTTTCTCTCTTACCTTTAAATTTTTTTTGTAATAATTGGGTTGGATTTTTAAATTTAGCGGGTATCATACAGAAGATTTGACACACGCAGGGAATCCAAGGTCACACAACTATATATATATATATATATATATATATTGTAAAAGAGTACAATAATCAGGCGAAAGAATTTCCAAAATGATTCAAGAGGGCAAAGGACCGACCTTTGGGGTCGGTCCAATCTCACCTTCTGAAGAAGCAATTTATATGTCGAGCCGGCGAAATTGTCACGTTTTCACGCGAAAATACGTCAACGTAAACAAAGCAACATAATGAAACACTGTACGACAAAATGTGACAACAGTGCACGAACTCTGACGCCATTAGAACGGATGTTCCCCTCCCACCCAATTCCGTCCTTTGTTTCTTTTATAACTCTTTTTTTTTTTTTTTAACAGTTTTTTTCGATACCAACTGTTGATTTTCAATTTTTTTTTTAAATTTAAAAATTACTATAAAATAAAGTTTTTGATATTCAGCGTTTAGATTACATAGATAATTTAAAATATAAATTATAAAATTAATTTCAAAATTTTCTGATAAAAAGAATTTTTAAGGTTAAGTTACACCCAAAAGCTTGTTTTTTTTATTGTAATATTAGTTTCCAAATTATTGTCGAAATAATTATTTTTAAAAGGTGGGAATTATTAAGGCGCTTGCACACCTCCGGCTGCCTGCACAGGCAGCCTCCCACCACGCAGAAAACGTACAAGAGTAAGAGAGACAGAAAATTCAAATTTAAATCTACTGACTCTCTGATTGGCTCTCACTGGCTGCCTGCACAGGCAGCCAGAGGTGTGAGTGCGCCCTCAATTTAGAAGAGAATTTTGAGTTAACTTCCGGTGAACTTTGCCCTGATTGGTCGTCGAAACAAAGAGGGCTTATTTGAAATTAGTATTTAAGAATAAAAATGTATTTTAGATTATAATTAAATTATTTCCCTTAAATAAAAATTTTACTTAATCGAAAGAATTTCTAATCTCTATTATAAATAATTTTTTTTGGTAAATAAAGAAAATTAAATTATCGCGCGCTTTTTCAGTGGTAAAAATTAAAATTCCCTAGAAAGTGTCCAGTTACCGACCTAGTTCCTAGAAAGTATGAATTCTCTCCTGGGCTAGAAAGAGAGAGAAATACAAGACCTAACCTCAAATACCCGTCCTTCCTTAAATGTCAAAATATTCATTTTGATGCGTTAAAAATAAGAAAAAAAAAAGAATGAATTTCTCCTATTTAAACAGTTTGGAGGCAGTGATAACGCATTTTTTTAAATTTTCTATTACGTTCTTGATGTGTAATTTTTGACGGAGAAAAAACATTTCTTTTTTGGGAAATAGAGAAAAAAAAAACTAGTTTTGAAGTGCAAGTGTTTAGAAAAAAAAAGTCAAGATAATTTTCTCAATCACTGTCAATTGTTTTACGCAAGATTTATAAAGGTAATAAAGATTATTTTTCACAAATTTTTCTCACATTATAAATGTTAAGTCCTTTTTGATTATTTAAAAAAAAAAAAAAATACATTCTCTTTTGATATTGAATTCTTTTTAATTGCATTACTAATTAGCGGAATTAAATCTTACAATTTATTTCCAGAGATAATTTTTTTTAAATTCTATGATTAGATTTATTTTTACATTTTTTTAGAAATTTCTCATTGATGCGCAATAAAAAAAACCATTTCAAATTTTCGTTTTTAATTAATAATTACGACAAATTAGTTTTAAAAAAATAAATGAAAATTAAAATATTTTTTTAAAAAAAATTAAATTTCTATTTTTCGAATGTTAAAAGAAAATTATTTTCTTTGAAAAATAGTTAAATATAATTTAGTGAAAAAATTATTTCAAATAGTATTAATTAAAAAAGAAATTTACTTCGCGAGACTTTATTCTTATTTTATTAAAAAAAAAAAAAAAAAAGAAAAATAATCATATCTTTAGTTCGTAAACCTTTTAATGTATATAATGATCTCTTAAGATGTTTTCTGTAACGAAAAAATGGTGTTTTTTTTTCATTTCTTATCAAATTAATAAAAGCTGGAAAATTTATCTTTTAACACAATGGCGTAGATCGTAAATAATTTATGTTACTCAAATTAATATAAAGATACAATTTTTAATTCACTTATCAGTAAATGTCTAAATATTTCGAAATTCAAATTTCTTGACTTATTTAATTATTCTAATTTATTATTCTTCTTTTTATAATAAAATATTTTAAAAAATCGATATTATAAATTTTTATTTTTTTTATCTATTTTACGCTAATAATTAATTTAGATTATTTTTTTTTAATTTGAATTATTAAAAAAATATTTAGAAAAATTGTAGATCAAAATTTCAATATTTAAAATATAAATTTACTGGTTTTAATAATTTATTTTTTTTAATAATTTTAGATTTTTGAAGAAATAAGATAGTGAATTTTTATCCAAAAAAGAAGAAAGTATGTTACATCGTTGAGAAGAAAAGGAAAAAAAAAATTTTTTTTCGAAAGTGGTAATGGCTTCGATTTTTCGACGTTGGCGAGTATGGATTTTACCAGTGTTGACGTGTCTTTATGCACTCATTATTGTTGTACTTGTGCCTATTTTAATTGCCAATTCAATTAAAAATGGATTTAAAAAGCAAGATCAAGGAGCATTGGTCGGCGGTGCTTTTGTTCTTCTTGCATTGCCAATTGCTTTTTATGAAATAATTCAACATATGATTTATTTCACTCAACCAAATTTACAAAAATATATTATTAGGTAATTCCTTTTTTTTCACTAAGAAACATTTTTTCCAATTTCTTTTTTTTTACAAAAAAAAATGTACAATTAAAGAATTTATTACTTGGTAAATGAAAAATTGCGATAACAATTTTTTTTATTTCAATTATTCGAATTTTTTTGGGACGCATGATTATGTTCTAAAAATCATTAGTCATAATTTACATTTTAACGAATTTTATTTGTCCCAATTAGTTTTGAGCCGAATTTTTATTTGTTCGAAATAGCATTTGGCATAATTTTCATCAATCCGATTTTCTATATTGCAGAATTTTTATATAACTGAAAATTCAACTCACAGAATTTTTATTTCTTCGAATTTTTATTTGCTCGAATTTTCATTTAACATAATAGGCATTTTAATGAATTTTTATTTGGTAGAATTTCATTGAATAGAATTTTCATTCAGATAAATTTTCATTTATTCGAATTATTATTTAATATAATTTCCATAATAATCGATTTTTCATACTACAGAATTTTTAACTTAACCGACAAATCATTTAATAGAATTTCTAATTGATAGAATTTTCATTTGTCCGAATTTTCAAATGTCCGAACAAACAATCAACAGAAAGATTGTTAAGTAAAAATTCTGTAGTATGAAAAAAAACGATTATTATGGAAATTATATCAAATAATAATTCGAACAAATGAAAATTCATCTGAATGAAAATTCTACTCAATGAAATTCTACCCAATAAAAATTCTTTAAAATGCCTATTATGTTAAATGAAAATTCGAGGAAAAAAAAATTCGAAGCAGTGAATTTTCGGTTATATAAAAATTCTGCAATATAGAAAATCGGATTGATGAAAATTATACAAAATACTAATTCGAGCAAATAAAAATTCGGCTCAAAACTAATTGGGACAAATAAAATTCGTTAAAATGTAAATTATGACTAATGATTTTTAGAACATAATCATGCGTCCCATTTTTTTTTTTTTTACTTTTTTTTTATATAATTAGTAATATTTAGTAAAGAAAATTTTTATTTATGAAAATTTTAAATTTTAAAAAAAAAAAAAAAAAAATAGAGAATTTTATTTGAAAAAAAAATTTCTTTACAATAAAAATTCTTTTTTGTAGAATTCTTTGGATGGTGCCAATTTATGCAGTAAATGCGGTAAGAGAAAAATGATTTAAAGTATTTAAAAAAAAATAAAAAAAATTGTAATTATTTTCATATAATAATGAAATAGAAGTTGATTTATAAATTAAATATAATTTTTTCTTTTTTCTTTAAACAGTGGTTGGGATTAATGTTTCCGGAAGGATGTATGTATGTTGATAGTCTCAGGGAATGTTATGAGGCCTATGTTATTTATAATTTTATGATGTATCTATTGGCCTATTTAAATTCCGATCAACAATTAGAACATCGATTAGAAATTTCATCGCAAGTTCATCATATGTTTCCACTGTGTTGCCTTCCAAATTGGCAAATGGGACATGAATTTGTTCACATGTGTAAACATGGAATTCTTCAATATGCAGCTGTTAGGCCTATATCGACATTAATTTCAATGTATGTTGAAAAAAGAACAAAATTTTAAATTTTTAAAAATTTTTTATTTTTACTATTTGATTGTTTTAAAAAATGTTTTAATTTTAAAATCAATTTTTTTGTTTGAAAATTGTTTGAAAATTATTAATAAAATAATTTTTCTTAATAATTTTTGTATTATTAAAATTGTTTTTAATTATTTTCTTTTCAGTATTTGTGCATTGAATGGAGTTTACGGTGAGGGAGAATTTCGTGGCGATGTAGCTTTTCCTTATATGGTGGCTTTTAACAATTTTTCACAATTTGTGGCGATGTATTGTTTAGTATTATTTTATCGAGCAAACGCCGAGGCATTACAGCCAATGAAACCAATTGGAAAATTTTTATGCATAAAGGCAGTTGTATTCTTTTCCTTCTTGTGAGTATTAATAATTGATTAATTATATTGTTATTTTATTTTTATTTAAAAAAAATTGATTTACAATTCATTTTAAAGATAAAAATAAGGGTAAGTCCACGTCAGAAATATCAGAATCTGCAAGTGGTTCTTCGATTTTAATGATACTTGGTAAAATTATAGCTTTATATAAGAGCAATGTGTAAGTAAAAGGAATTTTTAAAATATCTAAAATTGTAGGAGTTATATCACTTTTAATTTTGATACTGCATTTTTTTCTTTCCTTTATATCTCGGTCAATTTTCAACCGATTTTGATGAATCAAAAACGATTTTTTTCAGAAAATTACGTATTTTCAGAAAATTTTAAAATAAAAATAAAATGTTGTTATTTAAAAAGAAAAAAGTAAAAAACAAAATTTCTTTTAGATTTTTTTTCAATTTCGACCTCTTTTTTTTAATTTTTAATTTTTTAATAATATTCCTTTTTATTTTATCTTTAATTTAAAAAAAAATTCATCCTGGAGACTTTTTTAGATCTCGTGATATCGTTCTTTAAATATCCACATCTGAAGAAAACTAGGATCCAGATTTGTGTTTCTACTTTCATTTGTTTTATAATATTATTGTTACAAACTAGAAACTTTCGCGTAATAATGTTTTTATTTTTAAATTACATGACTAAAACAAGTGAAAATTCAAGCAAATAAATATTTTATTAATAGATTTAAAGCAAAGTTTTTATTTTTTGTAATATTTATAATTTAAAATAAATTGTATTGAAACCTTAACAATGCAACCTGAAATTGTAGCTGAAGTTTTTAGCGCTTTCTTTTAGAGGATTCTAAAACAAATAGTTATTCATAACCATAAAAAGTTTCAACAAACAAATGAAAGTATAATGATAGAAGCAAGTCCTGCGGTTTTCAAATTGATGAAGACTTATAATACTTAAAGGACGATATCACGAGATCTAAAAAAGTCTCCAGGATGAATTTTTTTTTAAATTAAAGATAAAATAAAAAGGGATATTATTAAAAAATTAAAAATTAAAAAAAAGAGATCGAAATTGAAAAAAAATCTAAAAGAAATTTTGTTTTTTACTTTTTTCTATTTAAATATAACAAAATTTTATTTTTATTTTAAAATTTTCTGAAAATACGTAATTTTCTGAAAAAAATCGTTTTTGATTCATCAAAATCGGTTGAAAATTGACCGAGATATAAAGGAAAGAAAAAAATGCAGTATCAAAATTAAAAGTGATATAACTCCTACAATTTTAGATATTTTAAAAATTCCTTTTACTTACACATTGCTCTTATATAAAGCTATAATTTTATCAAGTATCATTAAAATCGAAGAACCACTTGCAGATTCTGATATTTCTGACGTGGACTTACCCATAAAAATAATAATTTTTAATTTAATTCATTCTTGTGAGAATATTTTATTTTATATTAATTATAATTTGTAATTTTATTTTATTTTCGTTTCAAATGAATAATTTAATTCTAATTTGTCGATTTTTTTTTTTGTCTTTCACCAGCCAAGGAGTATTAATTGCCATACTCGTATACTGCAATGTTATTTCCAGTATATTCGACACAGACAATACTAAAGATATTAGACAAATTTCGTCCAAGTTGCAAGATTTTTTAATTTGTATAGAAATGTTTATAGCGGCAGTGGCGCATCATTATAGTTTTAGTTACAAGCCATTTGTTAATTTGGCCCAAACTCAACCGTGGTGGGACGCTTTTAGGTAAAAAAAAAAATAAAATTTGTAATTGCAAATTAAAAATTAAATAATTTTTAAATTAAATAATAATTTGTGGCAAAAAAAAAAATTAATTTCAGAGCAATGTGTGACGTATCGGACGTTCATAATGACATTAAAGAACATTTGGGAGTTGTGGGATCGTCATTGAGTCGTCGTATACGTGGTCGAAATTTATATCAACAACCATGGGGTAGTGTCACTGAAAGAACATCATTATTACCAGAAACACAAGCACCAAGAAGTGCACCGGGTTCTTCAATATCCGGTTATCATTCCGGTGAATCTGGTCATAGTTCCGGTTCAAGTGAGTGTCTCCTCGCTGGCGATGAGCCCTCAATAGAATTAAATAAGGACAATACAAATACAAATTCAATTAATGCGTAGAAAAAGTTTTTTTTAAATTTTATATACAATTTTTGCAAATCTATTTTTTTTTCTCACTTTTCTCTTCCTTTTTCTTTTTTTTTTATTCAATTTTTAAAAAAGATGTATCTATTTATTTTCTTATTTATATAAGTATATAAGAATTCTAAGCAAAAAATTACAAAAATTATTTTGTAAAAATTGAGCTTTAAAAAGGAAAAAAGTTATGTAAAATTGAGCTTTAAGAAGAAATTTTTTTCTTTTAAAAATCTTGTTTTTTTTTTAAGAAAAGGAAATAATTACCTCTTGATTGGTGCGATATTTATAGAATAATTTGATGTGTGAACAAAAAGAAAAATGATATTTGTACCTATAATTTATATATATAATATAATATATATATATATAAAAATACTTATAATATATTGTAAAAATATTATAACGGTAGAAAAGCAGAGATTATTTATCATATAAAGACTGCGTGTGATAAAAGAAAAAGAAGAAGAAATTTACCTCTAATCGATTTTTTAAAAACAATATATATATATATAGATAGATATATGTATTGATTTGAACAAAAACAAAAATCGAGGCGCAATATTTGAAAATTGCATTGAAATTATACGTGAAAAATTTCAGCGTATTTACCAAAATAAAAAAAAAACAACAACAAAAAAACAAAATAATAAATTATGAAAACCAAATATTGTACATACTAATGTTTATACTTTTAGTCTATAATAAATGAATCATATTATTTATAGAATTATCGAGTGTATTAATTATTATATTTCAATTTTATTTTCTTTCAAGTCAAATATTTTCCTAAATTTTATTTTAATTACTATTATTATTATTATTTATTTATTTACAAACATATACACGTGCTTACAAAAAGAAAGAATGAGAAATTATTTTTATTATTATATTATTATTATTATTATTATTATTATGTATTAATATTTATTGTTTATAATTTGCGTATTTTTATTTAATTTTTTATTACTTAATTTAATTTTTAATTTTATAAAGATATTTATTATTTATTTATTATTAATATTTATTCTGAAAACAAAATACAAATATTTCTTGTCGTTTTTAATTTAATATGTATATTTAATTAATAATTAATAATTATTATTTTTAATAAACTTTCTAAAATTAATAAATTAAAAAATAAAAATACGTAAATTACAATTAATAAATATTAATCATAAATTATTTAATATAAATAAATGTATAACAAAAAGTAATTAATATAATAAATAATAAACGACTTTTTATTTTGTATTTGAGAAAAAATTGTCAATTGTTGTGAAGAGTTTGATTGTTTCAAAAGTTCAAGGACAAGGTAAAAACAATTGTCAAAGGGGGATATAGAAATTTCAAGAACAATTGCGGGAAATTACCCGAAAAATTGTCAACCTAACCTATAAATTTCTCCTTCGGTTATTTTCGTTTATTTCACTCAATTGAAACGAGGTAAAATTTCCTAAAACGAAAGAGAAATATTTCCAATCTATAATTTCAATTCCCGCGCTTTTCTCCTATAAAATAATTAAAGCGTTGCCATAACCTTGACAGCAGTTCAGTCTTAATATACGAAAAATTTATTAAAATTAGTTTATATAATAAAGATTTCTAGTTTATAATTTGTGTTAACAACAATGGAAGTAGTTAAAAATGGAAATAATCATTTGGAAGAAAATGGAAAAATGGAAATTGTTAAAAATGGTAAATGTAATTTAAATGAAAATGGAAAAAATTGTCAAAATACAACGAATGATGATGATGATCATCATCATCATGAAGAATATCAATATTTAGAATTAATAAAGAAAATCATAAATCATGGATTTAAAAAATCCGATCGCACTGGAACTGGAACATTTATGATTGCTGGACCACAAATGCGTTTTAATCTTCGAGATGGTGAGTGTTATTTTAATTTTTTTTTTTTTAGTAATTTGAAACCTTATGTGACAGTTGATAGGTAATTTAATCTGATAATGATATATAATAATTAAAAAGACCTGCAATACTAATTTAAAAATTCAGAATTTAATTTTATTATTTTATATTTGTATTAATTTTATAAATTCATATTTTATTAAATATTCAATTTCCCTTTATTTTATCACAATTATTATTATATAATAATAAAATGCTTGGTCTGTCCTTCTGTCCTAACTTGAAGTTGGCCTTTTCTGATTTCACGTGTTTTTTTGAATAGTAATCTTATGACGTGTCAAATTTTGACAATTCTTTTTCTCATTTTTTGCCAAAGTTGTATAATTGTGTTTCCAAATTTCGGAATAAGTTTCTTTAAAATTCCAAATTCGAAAATTCAATTCATGAAGCTGAAGTACACAACGTTTACCAACGAAATTTTTTTTAAAGTTGTATATTGATCCAAAAATTGTATACAAATACAAAAAATTTATGATGAGAAAAAAGATGCGCCAGGAAATTTCGTACACGATAGTAATTTGAAAAAAATTTATTTTTAAAAATTAATTTTTAAGGTACCAGAGGCCAACGAATACCTATTAAATATTAATTATAAAAACACAGGCCTCGAATCAACTTAAAGACACAAAAAAGTCGTTTCAGTCGATTTATATTCCAAAAAAAAGTGGATTTGTTTTTTATTTTAACAAAAATATTTTACAGATTTTTAAATAAAAAAATTTTTTTTTAATAATAATCCTCTTCGAAAGGGTTAAAGATGAAATTTTTAGAAATAATTAAATTTCAAAAGATATATTGTTAATTTTCAAACAATTATTAAATTTTACAGAACTAAAAATAATTTATCAAACAATTTTTGGAAAACATTTTTTAAATTTAATTGAATTTTCAAATATTTAAAATTGAGATTTTTGAAATTAATTAAAACTTTAAGTGTTTTTTAATTCAAATTTTAGATGATTTCACTAAAAATTTATTAGAAAATGCGGACAAAATACAATAATTTGAAAATCAGTTTTAATTGAAAAATGGTTTCAGATAGTTGAATTTTCAAAGAATATTATTAAAATAGATAAAAAAATAATTGAATTTCCTTAGAGTTATAATTGAAATTATTAAATTTCAAAAAAAAAAATTTCGATGAACAATTTTAGAAATAATTAAATTTTACATGCTTTTAAATTCAAATTATTGAAAATTCAATTAATTTTGAATTCAAATTTTTGAGAATAATGAAATTTTATTTGATTTTAAATTTGGAAAATAATTGAATTTCAGTTCATTTTGAATTGAAAATTTTGGGAAATAATTGAATTTAATTTGAAATTTTTGATAATAATTTAATTTAAGTTCATTTTTGATTGAAAATTTGAATAATTAATTTTGAATAGAAATTTTAGAAAATAATTGAATTTTATTTCATTTTAAATTGAAAACTTGGTAAATAATTAAATTTTAATTTGAAAATTTTGGATAATTATTGAATTTTAATTGATTTTGAATTAAAATTTCTGGTAATAATTGAATTTCAGTTCATTTTGAATTGAACATTTTGGGAAATAATTGAATTTTAATTGAAATTTTGATAATAATTTAATTTAAATTCATTTTTGATTGAAAATTTGGATAATTAATTTTGAATAGAAATTTTAGAAAATAATTGAATTTTATTTCATTTTAAATTGAAAACTTGTTAAATAATTAAATTTTAAATTGAAAATTTTGGATAATTATTAGATTTTTAATTGATTTTGAATTAAAATTTCTGGTAATAATTGAATTTCAGTTCATTTTGAATTGAACATTTTGGGAAATAATTGAATTTTAATTGAAATTTTGATAATAATTTAATTTAAATTCATTTTTGATTGAAAATTTGGATAATTAATTTTGAATAGAAATTTTAGAAAATAATTGAATTTTATTTCATTTTAAATTGAAAACTTGTTAAATAATTAAATTTTAAATTGAAAATTTTGGATAATTATTAGATTTTTAATTGATTTTGAATTAAAATTTCGGGTAATAATTGAATTTTAGTTTATTTTGAATTGAAATTTTTAAAAAATAATTTAATTTTATTGTGATATTTTTTTTTTAAATTATAAACAATTGTTAAATTTCATAAAAATTTGAATTGAAAAATAATTTTGATATAATTGAATTTGTGATTTCATTAAAATTATTAAAAATAATTAATTTAGTGGAGAATCATTTTAGTTCAAAATTTGTTAAATAATTGAATTGAAGAAGATCTGAAGAAGATCTACATTTTATACTAAAAAAAATGTATTTTATTTACATTTTTTTCAAATGTAAAAAAAATTGTCGCATTTTATTAAAATAAGTCGATAAAAGTCGTATTTTTGAAAAAAGTCGGAAAAAGTCGTATAATCCGAGGCCTGTAAACATATAATTTTCATTATTATCATTTAATATGTAATAATATTCTAATAAATTAAATTATTATTAATAATATTAATCTTTAATTTCTTTATAATAAATAATTAAATACTCAATTTTGCGCGCTTGCGCTCGATTAATTTTGCTAGTTTGTTTATAAAAAGTTCAAAAATAGTATTCTTTTTTAATTTCAAAAAAAAAAAAATTCGATGATTTTTCTTTTTTTTTTGAAAAAGGAAATTTTCCACTGTTAACAACAAAACGTGTTTTTTGGCGCGGTGTCGTTGAGGAACTTCTTTGGTTTATTCGCGGATCAACAAATGCAAAAGAATTAACCGATAAAGATGTACACATTTGGGATCCAAATAGTTCGCGACAATTTCTCGATTCATGCGGATTCACAGATCGCGAAGAAGGCGATTTAGGTCCAGTTTATGGATTTCAATGGAGGCATTTTGGAGCTAAATATACAAATATGCACGACGATTACACTGGACAGGGTAAATAATAATAATAATAATAATAATTTATATATTAATTTCAAAAAAAAAACTTTTTCTGCAGTAAAAAAAAAAAATTATTCCTAATCAAATAAAAGAAATTTTCCCTAATTTTTAAAAATTATTTCCTTATTGCAATTGAAAATTTCTATTTAATTAATTTTTTTTTAGTAATTTCTTTTCTTTTTTTTTTTAATTTTTAATTAATTTTAAAATTTTCTTTTTATAATTTTAATAATTAATTAAATAATTAGAACATAAAGAATTTTAATTAATTAAATAAATTGCTATTATTGAACAGGAGTTGATCAATTAAAAAATATAATTGAGACTTTAAAAACAAATCCAAATGACAGAAGAATGGTAATGTCAGCTTGGAATCCAGTGGATTTGCCAAAAATGGCACTTCCACCTTGTCATCTTCTCGTTGAATTTTTAGTGATGAACGGAGAATTAACAACAATTTTATTTCAAAGAAGTGCCGATGTTGGTTTGGGAGTTCCATTTAATATTGCCTCATATTCATTGCTCACTTATATGTTGGCACATGTCACAAATTTAAAGGTAACAAAACATAAAAAATATTCAAAAAATTATTACTATTGTTATTAAAAAATAAAAAAATAATTACTAATAATAATAATAATAATTTCAAATAAATTATCAATTTAATTACATAATTAAATAATAATTATTTAATTAGTAATATTAATTTCTTTTCTAATTAAAATAATATTAATTAACAATGAAAAAATTTGAGTTTTCATTTTCCTTTTTTTTTTGTTCTACAGCCAGGAGAATTTATAATAAATATGGGCGATTGTCATGTTTATTCAAATCATGTCGACGCCCTTAAGGAACAAATTAAACGTGAGCCAAGACCATTTCCAAAATTAATAATTACACGCGACATTCAAGATATCGATAATTTTACTGCTGCTGATTTTAAAATCGAAGGATACAATCCACACGGTAAAATTGCTATGCAAATGGCTGTTTAATTATTATTATTTTTTTTTTTTATTAAATATATAAGGACTGTTAATTTTAATTTCTAAAATGACGATAAAGAGAAAAATTAATATCAATCAAAAATAAAAATAAAGTACTTTTTTTATAAAAAAAATTCTCTATTTGAAATTTACAAAAATCCATGAAATTTTTTATTTTAAAGAAACAAAAACAAAAAATTGAGAACATTTATTTTTTTAGACAAAAATTTATTTTGATTCTAAAATGAAAAGAAAAAATTCAGGATTTTTTTTATTACACTAAAACCAAGAAATCGACCAATTTATTTATCAATAATTATATTTTTATTTTTCCTATAATTAAAAAAAAAAAAAAAAAAAAAAACTTAATATCATAATCATGAAATTATATATTGGATATTTAAAAACAATCTTAAAATCTTACTAAATGACATAATTTTTCATTTATTTTTTTTTATCTATCATCTATAATAATAATCCTACTGTTTTTTTTCTTCAATTTATTAATTATTATCATAATTGCCTTCAAAAACACAACATTGTATGAAGGAATTTTTTGTTTCTTTTCAATAATAATAATAATTATAATAATAAATCCGAAATAATGTAACATTATTTTAAGAAACTCTGTGTATATACACTCGATGTTTCAAGGCCGTGTGTTTTCTTCATATTTTTTTTTTTTTTTGCTTAATTTTATTTTTTATTTATGAAAACCGCGTATCAATAAATTTCCCCCTATCGTTGTTTAATTACAATAATAAAAGAGGAAAGAACAAGAAGAAGAAGAAGAAAGGACAAAAAAAACTACGTAACATAATTTGAGCGGAATTCGTGACCGACGTATAATTAATCTATAGATTACTTTTTTTTTCGTTAAAATTTAAATTGGAAGAAGCGTAGCTTCGACAACGTACTGTTTATAATAATAATAATAATATATATATATAATATCCATTATTATAAAGATTATAAAGATTAATTTTAAATAATTTTTATTAATTTTTCTTTCATTCTAATTTTTTTTTGTGACTGTATATATAATATATACGAATTATTATAATATAGACTCGAATAATTTTACGTTTTTTTTTTTTTTTAAATTCTCAATTTAAATTTTTTCTGATTGTTTCAATTTTTTTGTGATTAAAAAAAAAAAATAAGTGTGAGAGACAGAGAGAGAGAGAGAGTAAGGAGAAAAAAAACATTCTCTGTAAAAACAAAAAAATACAGAGAGCAAATGGCATGTTGTCGATAAAAAAAACGAAGGCTAGCACATCTGGGCATCATTGGCTGAAGTACTTAATTGATGCAACTGCTGAGTTACAGCCAAAGTTCCACTTTCACTGACAGTTATTATCACCCATATTATATCTGAAAGTTTCATTAATAAAAAATAATTGTCACCTTGAAAACAAATTCTCTAAATTTTAGTTAAATATATATATATATTTATTTGGCAAACATTAAGCCAAACTATTTAATTCGTCAAATATAGCTAAAAAAAAAACCTTTAACCAAAAATGAAGTTAAATGTATTTAGCAAAAATTTGTCAAATAGCCAAATGTAGTTAAATATATATTTAGCTAAATATATTCAGTCAAGAAGCAGGCTAAATATATTAAATGCAAATTTAGCTAGTGGTAAAATATAATTAAATATAGATTTTGACAAATTTAATTAAATTTGCAAAAATTAAGCTAATACTCAAATTTGGTTAAATATATATTTAGCCACATTTATCTAAATATATTTGGCCGAGAATTAAGCTAAATATATTTAAACAAAATTTAGCTAATAGTAAAATATGGTTAAATATGTATTAAGAAAAAAATAATTAAATATATTTAGCAAACATTGAGCTAAATATTTAATTAGACAAATTTCATTAAATATACATATATATTTAGCCAAATTTTGCTACATATATTTAAAATTTAGCTAATATGCAAATATAGATAAATGTGTATTTAACCAAATTTAATTAAATATATTGAGCAAAAATTAAGCTTTATATTATAATTAGCTAAATGTGGTTAAATACTTTTAATAAAAATTTAGTTAAATTTAATTAAATATATTTAGCAAAAATTAAGCTAAATATATTCAAACAAAATTTAGCTAATAGTAAAATATGGTTAAATATATGTTAAGCCAAATTTAATTGAATGTATTTAGCTTAATTCTCGGCTAAATATATATTTAACCAAATGTGAGTATTAGCTTAAATTTTGCTAAATATATTTAAAATTTAGCTAATATTCAAATATAGATAAATGTGTATTTAACGAAATCTAATTAAATGTATTTAGCAAAAATTAAGCTGTATATTATAATTAGCTAAATATGGCTAAATACTTTTAATAAAAATTAAGTTAAATTTATTCAGCAAAAATTAAGCTAATACTCAAATTTGGTTAAATATATATTTAGCCACATTTATCTAAATATATTTGGCCGAGAATTAAGCTAAATATATTTAAACAAAATTTAGCTAATAGTAAAATATGGTTAAATATGTATTAAGAAAAAAATAATTAAATATGGTTAAATATATATTAAGCTAAATTTAATGAAATATATTTAGCTTAATTCTCGGCTAAATATATATTTAACAAAATTTGAGTATTAGCTTAATTTTTGCTAAATACATTTGAAATTTAGCTAATATTCAAATATAGATCAATGTGTATTTAACCAAATTTAATTAAATATATTTAGCAAAAATTAAGCTTTATATTTTTAATTAGCTAAATATGGCTAAATACTTTTAATATACATTAAATTAAATTTATTCAGCAAAAATTAAGCTAATACTCAAATTTGGTTTAATATATATTTAGCCAAATTTATCTAAATATATTTAGCCTAGAATTAAGCTAAATATATTTAAACAAAATTTAGCTAATAGTAAAATATGGTTAAATATATATTAAGCTAAATTTAATGAAATATATTTAGCTTAATTCTCGGCTAAATATATTTAGCTAAATTTGGCTAAATATACATTTAACCAAATTTGAGTATTAGCTTAATTTTTGCTAAATATATATTTAAAATTTAGCTAATATTCAAATATAGATAAATGTGTATTTAACCAAATTTAATTAAATATATTTAGCAAAAATTAAGCTAATACTCAAATTTGGTAAAATATATATTTAGCTAAATTTATTTAGCCGAGAATTAAACTAAATATATTTACCGAAAATTTAGCTAAGAGTCACATATGATTAAATTTATATTTAGTCAAATTTAATTAAATATATTTAGCAAAAATTAAGCTGAGTATTATAGCTAAATGTCAAATATAGATAAATGTATATTTAACCAAATTTAATTAAATATATTTAGCAAAAATTAAGCTAATACTCAAATTTGGTAAAATATATATTTAGCTAAATTTATTTAGCCGAGAATTAAACTAAATATATTTACCGAAAATTTAGCTAAGAGTCACATATGATTAAATTTATATTTAGTCAAATTTAATTAAATATATTTAGCAAAAATTAAGCTGAGTATTATAGCTAAATGTCAAATATAGATAAATGTATATTTAGCCAAATTTAATTAATTATATTTTGCAAAAATTAAGCTAATACTTAAATTTGATTAAATATATATTTAGCCAAATTTAGTCAACATATTTAGCACTAATTAAGCTGAATATATTCAGACAAAAATTGAAGCAAATATATTTACCAAAATTTGAGCTAATTGTGAAAAATGGTTAAATATTTATGTATTTAGCCAAGTTTAGGTAAATATTTTCTGAAATTGTAATTTTTTTTTTTTTTTTTTTGAATATATTTACCCCCAAAATAACAACCGTTAGTTGTCATCATTCTCCATTTACTCTGAAATAGGCCAACTTCATTTGGACTTGTTAATGTTACGTTAAGTTCCATACTATCTTTTGATGCTAAAGAAGGAACAGGTACACTTGTACAGCCCATTACAGCACCGCCCGTATGATGTAAACAAATTCCCTCGGGCCACATTTCTGTACCGCTATTTTGTATGCGCCATGATTTACGAAATTTTGTATTTGGCGGGACTGATTCGCCTTCGCCAATTGTTGAATCACACAATAATGACATACACGGTAATTTAGTCGGTACTTCATAATCCAAATAGCTGCATATCGCTGCTTGGAGATTCCTATATTAGATAAAAGAACAAAAAAAAGGGGGGGAGGGAATATTGTTATCTCTCATTTCATTGTAATTTTTAATTTACAAAAAAAAACACAGGAAAAAAAAAAGAAAAAAAACTGAAATTTTTTCTCTATTTTTAAAAATAGAAAATTTTTAAATTTTTTCGGAAAAAAATTATAAAAGAGTCAAAAAAGAAAAAAAATTTTTAAAAATATTAAAGAAAGTTCCAATAAAAAAAAATTATTTTTCTTCCAAAGTATTTTTAAGATTTTCTTTTCTTTTTGTTTAATTAATTTTGTAAATAACAACAACAATAATAATAATAATAATAATAATAATAATAATAATAATAATAATAAACTTAAATTAAAGAAATTTACGAAAACACAAATTTAAAAAATTTAAAAAGCGTTTCTATTAATTTTTTTTTGTATTTCTAATTTATCGAAACTATTTTAAAAAATATAAATAAATAATATCAATCAATTTGTGTTGAAGAATTTGTAAAACCCCAAGTGGGTATACAAATGAAATTATTATTATTATTATTATTAATCATCAATTTCGGAAATTCCTAAAGAAAAAAAAAATTAACGAAAAATATATCGAAATATTATTATGAAATAATTTTAAATTCAATGGAATTTTGCATTCAACTTGAAAACAATGACAATAATTAAAAATAATTTTCCAAAATTTCTATCAACAAAAAAGAATAGTTGAAAAAAATTTCCAAAAAAAAATATATATATATATATAATTAACCAATATTTTCGTAATTATTTTATCATAATATATTTTTAAAGATTGCAAAACAAAAGAGAGAATTCGTCATAATAAAAATTAAGAAAAAGTGAGTAATTTGCGAAATATGGCAACGTCGATTTTAAGGTTATGTTTATCTTCTTTTTTTTTTGTTTTTCTTTCTCTCATATTAAAAAAACCTTTATTTGAAAGGGATGAAAAAAAAAATAAATAGAGAACCCACCAATTATTCATATCCAAGAAGAATGTTGCAGTTGTTTCATTGAGATGACTACCAGCAAGTAATCGTTGAAGTTGCTTCACCAGGTCGTCTTTGTCCGTCGTACCAAGACAACTAAATTGGTGAAGCAGATTTTGATCCAATTCATTATCGACGTCCATAATAAATGTTTGCCTTTGGCTTTTTATTCACAAATCCATAAATAAATGATTCTCGTTTAGCGCGTCAATTTTCAAAAAAAAAAAAAACCTCTCAACACTTTTTTAATCGAATTAATCGCGATTTATTTTGTTAAAAACTACAAATTTTTAAATGTCATTCTTCGAAAATCACACGATTGAATATATGATGATTAGATGTGTGTTGGTGTTGTATGTGACGTATTTTTATGTTTGTGTATGTTGTGTGTATGTGAAACAAACGAAATCAGTGATGCCATGATAACATTTTTAATGCAGTGTTGCCAATTTTTTTTTTTTCCTCTATAATTATCGATTGTCGATAAAAATGTTTGCCCGCGTAATTTGAAATTTAACAAAAAAAATCGTAAAATATAAATAAAATATTTATTATTGAAAATAAATTTTTATATAATTAAAAATATTATTAAATGATTTGAATTTTAAACTTTTAATTTTTTGTTGACGAGATTCGAATTTCTAACCAAAAAAAAAAGTTACAGATAACCTTTCTACCTACAATAGGAATGTAAAATTAAATCAGTGCCAAATTTTCACTTGTACCCGAAAGTATATACGGAATCATCTTGGAATTGTTTTTTTGGAATTCTACTTTTTCCAAAACAAAAAAAGATTCGCGCAATTTTTGGTGAATTTCTCAAGTTTTTATTTCATTATTTTAGAAAAAAAAAATAAATCTGTTAGTAATACTTTATACAATAAATTAATGAATAATAAAATTATTAGTTATTTAATGTTAGGCTAGAGTAGATATTATATTTTTTAATAGCGCAATAAAGAAATAATCTCGAATTTCTTTATTATGTCGATTTTTTTTCTGGTATAAGTACAAAAAAAACAGTATTAGCTAGAACAAACACAAGTAGAAGACATTTTTTTTTTCTAAAAATTAAATTAATCAAAACATTGTGAAAATACAACGACCATGCGTGTTTGAAGCGTTTTGAATGAATATTTTTAGGTTATGTGAATTTTTCAAATGAAAAAAAAAGAATGAATATTCTCATATTGGAACATGTTAATTTAGATAACCCTATTTTTGAGAGTCTTGAGGTAATTGTAATGTTTCTGTTTTTGAAAAATATTTTTCTTTTTTTTTTTTTTTTTTTTTTAAATGTTGTATAATCTTTTTTTTTCGCAGATTCATTATCAACAAGCTGATCAGACCAATAAGATGAATAATAAAAATGAATTACCGGATAAAGGACCAAAATATAATTTAAAAGGAATACAAGCTCATCGATCGTGTAGTGAGTAACAATTTTATTTTCTTTTTTTTCCAAAATAAAAACCTTTTTTTAATTACTAAAATTGAAATTTTTCATTCCTGAAAATTTGTGAAATTTGCAACTAAGTTTTATATTTTAGAAAAAATACTTTTATTTATATATTTTTTCGCATTTAAAATTTATTTATTTATTTGAAAAAAAATTAAATTTAGAATTTTTTTTAGGGATTTTTGGTAAAATAAAAAATTTTCTAGAATGAAAATATTTAATTCATTGAATGCTAAATAATTTTTAAGTGGAGTAAATATTTTATGCTAAACGAAAAAGATTTTATTTTTTAAAAACAATATTTTTGTTTTACAGCACAAATTTTGCTTGACTCATCGTTAAGTTTTAAATCGACAAACACTGGGGATTTGCCATTATTGGCGATCAAAAAATTATTCGTTACAAATCTCTCAGTTACGGTAAAAATTTTTTTTTTTTTAATTTACTCTCTAATTAAACCTAATTTTCTTTATTTTCTATTTAATAATTTAAAATATAGACAAATATAAAAATTAAAAATGATTTAATTTCATTTTTTGCTTAAATAAATTGATTAATAATAATTAAATTAAATTGTAAATGAAGAATAAAAAAAACCAATTACAATTTTCAATTTTTCAACACAGGAAAAAATTTAATTCAAAGAAATAGAAAAATTGTAATACAAATACAAAGGAATAAAAATTTCCTAAAATTGAGGAATTTTATCAAAAAAAAAAAATTATTAAATTATTTTTTTTAAATTTTGTTTTTGCCGTTAAATTTTTTTCTCTAGATTTTTCATTTTAATTTTCATTAAAAAAAAATGTATTCTTTTTCTTTTCTTATAGGTCACTGTAGATGAATTAATAGAAATATTTAAAACTCACGGTGAGGTAAGCGAGTGTGTAATAAAAAAAAACAAAAAAAGTAACTATGCTTTTGTTACGTATACAAAAGTTAATTGTGCGATAAAGTAAGTTTATAAATTATTTTTATAATACAGCCTCTTCGCCCCTTAAAAGTAATAATTTTGAATTAGAATTTTTTTATTTAATTAAAAAAGAAAAATTATAAAAAAAATAAAAAAATAATAATTACTAAAAAAAATGTTATTAATTTTTAATTTTTTTAAAACATTTTTCTTAATTCATTGAAAAATTTAATAATAATAATAATTAGTATTATTAAATACTAATTATTATAGTAATTAATTAATTATTAATTAATATATTATATATTATTATTATATTATTATTATTATTATTATTATTATTATATTATATATTATTATTATTAATTAATTATTTAGTAATTATTTTTTTTTATTTTATAATAATTTTTCTTTTTTCTTTAATTAAATAAAAAAATTTTAATGTACTAATGTACAAAAAGGCTAGTCCCGTATATTATGTATTAAATAAAAATAAAATAAAAATTATTACGACCTTTTTGAGATGGAATTTTTTTTTTTACAGAGCATTAAAAAATGTACATGGTAAAAGTGTACATGGAAAAAATTTAACTGTAATACCAGCAGATCCTCGACATCAACCATATCCAAAAAAACCGCCAAATGATATTGACGAGCCAAAGATAACAAATCAAACAGATAATTCAAATTCAAGTGGCGAATTTTATCCCTTAGTTCATAAAATAAGTGACACTTGTTTAATGCACATTTTTCAATATCTCTCAATTGCCGATCGAATAAAAGTCGAAAGAGGTGAGTAAAAAAAATGAATTAATTTTGAAATATAAAAAAAATAATAAATAATAATAAACAAATAATAAAATAAATAAAATTTCTAAAAATGCTCTAAAATATATATTTTTTAAAAATTAATTTAGATTAAAATTTAATTCAATTAAAAGGAAACTAATAGATGAAAATTTCTCTTATAAATTTTATTATTTTGTTTTTTCAGGAAAAATTATTATTTAATGAAAAAAAAGCGATAATAATTTTATTTGAAATATTAAATTGAAAAAAAAGTTAATTAAAGTAAAAAATTCTTTTATTCTCTCTTCCTCTAGTTTGTCGACGTTGGCGTGATTTAAGTTTAGATTCATGGCGATCATTGAGAAGATTGGATGTAAATTCAGTTTCATGGGGCTGTAAAAGTGGTAAAATTGAAACCACTGATCTTTATCAAATTTTAAAACGTTGCGGACGTTATATAACGACAATAACATTTTTTGAAAAACATCGTATGATGCCATTACGTACATTATTTATTATTGGCAAATATTGTCCAAATTTAAAAATTGTCTATTTAGGAACATTAGAAGTGACACCACGTGAAATTGATTATCTTTTATCGCAATCGCCAAATATTGAATTTCTTGAATTTGATTCATTTCATTTTCGTGATCGTGATTTTCAACGTATTTTTGAAAAAAGTGATAAATTAACATTTATTAATTTTGATGAGACCAAAGTTGATGGCAGTTGTTTTACACATTTACCGGAGGATGTTGAAACATTTGCATTTTGTGAGCCAAAAAAGAGAACGGAATTCTATGCTTTTGAATTTGTAAGTTTTTTTGCTTTTTCTATAAAAAAATTTTAATTGTTTCCAAAAATTGGTAGTAAATTATTTGGAAAACGTTTTTTTTCAAAATTAAGAATAAAAATTTCCATTTGTAATTAATGGGTAAAAAAAATTAATTTTTCCAGGTTGTACAAAAATTGAAGAAACTTGAAAATTTGTATTTGAATTTTTCAAGTAATTCCGAAGGAAATGAAGATAGTGATGATTATTTTGATGAATATTTGGATGAAAATGATGATTTTCAGGACGATGATGACGACGACGATGATAATCATGATGACGATTATTTATTTCAGGATCTTGATGATGATTACGACAACAATGATGATATTCAAGATGATGTTTACGACAACAATGACGATGATTTAAATGATGATTTTCAGGACGATGTTTACGAGGACGATGATTTAAATGATGATAATGATGATTATCAGGATTTAAACGATGGATGTTACAGTACGGATGATGCGGAAGATTTAGATATATTCGAAGACGAAGATGAGGGGGGAAATTCAAATTCAGAAACATCGGATAATCGTTTATTAACATTTAAAACGCCCGACGAACAAATATTAAATTCCCCAATGTCTAATGAGGAAAATTCACCAGACAAAGATGAAGACGAAGAAGATTATGAGGATTATAATGATGTAAGTTCAACAATTACTGATATTATCGAGCAAAAGGAAATTAATTCCGATGAAACGGAAATTGATAATTTACAAAATTCCACTAAAAATGAAACAAATGATGATAATCAAATAAACGCAGCGAAATTATTCGAAGATCAAAGTTCAACTTCAAAAACATCTGAGAGTCAATCATTAAAAACGTCCGAAGAGCAAAGTTCAATTTCAAAAATATCGGAAAATCAAACTAAAAGCACGTCTGAAGTTTCAATTTCCAAATCATTGGAAAATCAAGCATCAACGTCAAAATCAGATAATGAAAATTCAACATTTAATAATGAAGCATCAACATCAAAGGAATGTGAAAAGGAAAGTAAAGAAAAAGAAAACGAAAAGAAAGAAAACTATAAGATTGATGATGATGATTATTTTGATTATGGCATTGATTTCGATGTTGACGATGATTATGATGATTATGATTATTACGATGGTTATGATGATTACGATAATTATGATGATTACGATGATTACGATGATTATGGTGATCACGATGATTTCGATGGTTTTGATGTTGAGGATGATTTTATTTTTGAATCACATTTAGCTGAAACTATACGTAAAACATTGATGCACTGTAATAATAAATTAAAGATTCTTCAATTAAAAAGGTATTCTTTTTTTTGTATATAAATTTAAAAAAAATCATTTTCTTTAAACTAATTTCTTCAGAGGGGAAAAATTTCATTTAATAAATTTTCTTCAACGAGAAAAATTAAAAATAAAGTTTGTATTATAATTAAAAAAATTTATGTTTTCAAAGTGGAAATTTTGACTAAATTTAAATTTTTAAAAATTTGTGTGGAAAAATTATTCATTTTTCGAATAATGGATTATAATATTTTAGAAAATATAATTTGCATAAAAAATATTTTCTTTTCTTTTTTTACAGTTGCTCTTTTGCCGGATTATCATCCAATGATTTATTATCAAAAATCACAAATTTTACAAATTTGGAGAGACTCGATGTCAGTGACAATATTATTATTAATGATGAAATTCTCAGTGCCATTGGAGCAAATTGTCCAAAACTCAACGTTCTCATCATTAATAGTTCGTAATTTACAAATAATTATTTATAGAATTTACAAATATATTTTAATTTAATGAAAAATAAAAAAGAAAATTTGCTTTTCTTTTTAAGAGAAGGATGGACACAAATTTTTCAACTATTTTAAGAAATTATTATTATTAAATTATTTTATTAAATTAATTATATAATAATAAAATGCTTGGTCTGTCCTTCTGTCCTAATTTGAAGTTGGTCTTTTATGATTTCACGTGTTTTTTTGAATAGTAATCTTATGACTTGTCAAATTTGTGTCAAATTAAACTTGAAAATTTTAGAAATAATTAAATTTCAAAAGATATTGTTAATTTTCAAACAATAATAAAATTTTACAGAACTAAAAATAATTTATCAAACAATTTTTTGGAAAACATTTTTTAAATTTAATTGAATTTTCAAAAGATTTAAAATTGAGATTTTAGAAATTAATTGAACTTCAAGTGATTTTAATTAAAATTTTATATGATTTCACTAAAAAATTTATTAGAAATTACAGACAAAATACAATAATTTGATATAATCATTTTTAATTGAAAAATGGTTTCAGATAGTTGAATTTTCAAAGAATATTATAAAAATATTTAAAAATAATTGAATTCCCTTAGAGTTATAATTGAAATTATTAAATTTCAAAAAATTTTCGATGGAAAATTTTAGAAATAATTAAATTTTAAATGCTTTTAAATTCAAATCATTGAAAATTCAATTAATTTTGAATTCAAATTTTTTAAAATAATTAAATTTTCTTTAATTTTGATTTGAAATTTCGGAAAATAATTAAATTTCAATTAAAATTTTGGATAATAATTCATTTTTATTTATTTAACAAACATATACGGGCAACAGCCCTTGAGATACATTTTAGTTGATTTTTTATTGAAAATTTTGATAATTAATTTTGAATTGAAATTTTAGAAAATAATTAAATTTTATTTTATTTTAAATTTAGAAAATAATTGAATTTTAGTTGATTTTGAATTGAAAATTTTGAAAATAATTGAATTTTCTTTGATTTTGAATTGAAATTTTGGGAAATAATTGAATTTTAATTGAAATTTTGAATAATAATTTAATTTAAGTTCATTTTTTATTGAAAATTTGGATAATTAATTTTTGAATAGAAATTTTAGAAAATAATTGAAGAATTTTATTTCATTTTAAATTGAAAACTAGGAAAATAATTAAATTTTAAATGCTTTTAAATTCAAATTATTGAAAATTCAATTAATTTTGAATTCAAATTTTTTAAAATAATTAAATTTTCTTTAATTTTGATTTGAAATTTCGGAAAATAATTAAATTTCAATTAAAATTTTGGATAATAATTCATTATTATTTATTTATTTATTTATTTATTTAACAAACATATACGGGCAACAGCCCTTGAGATACATTTTAGTTGATTTTTTATTGAAAATTTTGATAATTAATTTTGAATTGAAATTTTAGAAAATAATTAAATTTTATTTTATTTTAAATTTAGAAAATAATTGAATTTTAGTTGATTTTGAATTGAAAATTTTGAAAATAATTGAATTTTCTTTGATTTTGAATTGAAATTTTGGGAAATAATTGAATTTTAATTGAAATTTTGAATAATAATTTAATTTAAGTTCATTTTTTATTGAAAATTTGGATAATTAATTTTTGAATAGAAATTTTAGAAAATAATTGAAGAATTTTATTTCATTTTAAATTGAAAACTAGGAAAATAATTGAATTTTAAAAGATTTTGAATTAAAAATTTAGAAAGTAATTGAATTTTCTTTGATTTTGAATTAAAATTTTGGGAAATAATTGAATTTTAGTTGATTTTGGAATTGAAATTTTGGAAAATAATTGAATTTTTGTTAATTTTCAATAGAAAAATTTGGAAAATATTTGAATTTTAGTTGATTTTAAATTAAAATTTCGGATAATAATTGAATTTTATGTGATTTTAAATTGAAAATTTGGAAAATAATTGAATTTTAGTTGATTTTGAATTAAAAATTTGAAAAATAATTGAATTGTCTTGGATTTTGAATTGAAATTTTGGAAAATAATTAAATTTCAATTACAATTTTAAATAATAATTCAATTTTAGTTGATTTTTGATAATTAATTTTGAAATGAAATTTTAGAAAATAATTTTATTTTATTTGAACTTAAATTGAAAATTTGGAAAATAAGTTAATTTCAGTTGATTTTGAATGGAAATTTTGGATAATAATTGAATTTCATTTGATTTTAAATTGAAAATTTGGAAAATAATTGAATTTTAAAAAACTTTGAATTTAGAATTTAATAATTTAATAATTAATAATCTGAGGCCTATAAACATATAATTTTTATTTTTATCATTTAATATGGAATAATATTCTAATAAATTTAAGTAATTATTGATAATATTAATTTTTAATTTCTCTATAACAAATAATTAAATACTCAATTTGGCGCGCGTTTAATATTGCTGGTATTAAATAATTTAATATTAAAATTAATATTAAATTATTTTTCAAAATTCAAGAAAATTTTTAATAATTTTTTTAATTCAACAAATTTATAAACTCTAATTTTCAAACAAGAAATTTTAAATAGTCTCTCAAAAAAACTTGGAAAAAAAATAAGACTGCATATTTTTTTTAAGAAAAAAATTTGGTCTTGAAAGGATTAAATTAAAAATTTATAAAACTTAAATTCCTTTTTTTTAATTATTTATAATTTTTTTTTGTTAATTGATTTTAAAATTTAATTAATAATGAATTTAGTAATAATTTAATTTTTTGTGAAATTTTTCAAAATTAAATTCAATAAATAAAATTATAAAATAAAATTAATAAATTTTCAGATTGTGGTGAAATAACGGACGTTGGTATTGGAGGAATTGCATTATTACCAGATTTAAAACATCTTTCAATGTGTGACAATAAATCTGTAACTGGTCGACAATTATCAACATTATGCACATTAAGAACATTATATTGTGCACGTTGTGTATCACTTGTTGAAGATGGTTTAGATACATTAATTCTCAATTGTCATGAACTTGAACAATTGGATATTCAATATTGTAAATTAATAACAAATTCAATTATTGATATTGTTTCAATTTCATTGGAAAATCGTGTCAATAATAATGTGAAATTGAAAATTTTTGCACGTGGCACATCAATTGATGTGAAAAATGTGAAAATTGAAAATTTACAATTAATTGAAATATTCATGGAAGCACGACAGGATTATTTAGATTCATTTATCGATGGTAAACGTGGAACGGAAAAAACTGCATCAAACGATAGACTGAAATTAAGAGATTTTCGTGGAATAATATTCGAAAGTAGTACAATTGAGGAAAAAAAAGAAGACTGAAACATGGTGAAATTGATAAGATTTAGATTATTATCACCGAGTATTTTCTAAAAAAGAAAAAAAAAAGACTATTATTTCTTACAGTTACAAAAGACGTTAGTTTATTTTTTCTGTCAGTTTTTTGTCTTAAATAAGACGTGAACTACATAAAAAAAAAAGATTTATCAAAAAATAATCTTATCAGTGAATTAGAAAAAAAAATTTACTGTAAAAATTGTTATACATGTTTCGATGTCAATGAATGTTTAAAAAAAAATTTTTTAATCCAAATAGAAAATATTTGGAAATTCCTTTAAAAAGAAAAAGAAAAACAATTTTTCTTGTTAATTTCATACTTTTGTTTCTTTTTTCATTTACTTAGAATTTTTTTTTTTTTTTTTTGTAATTTATTGTTTTTCTTTCCATTTTTTTTTTTTTTTTTAATTTAATTTTTCCTTTACTATAATTTTATTTTAGTATCATTTTTGTGATTTTCTTTAAAAACTATATAAGTGATCCAATATAAAAGATTTTCTTGTGATAGAAGACTGTTGATTATAATATTAACTAAAAAGTAAAAAAAAAAAATAATCATAATAAATCTCAGCGATATAAATAAACATATTTTTAGTTCCATTTAAGAAACTTTTCTATATCTTTAAGATATTAATATATATATATATATATTATATATTATATATTCTTTACGTTGTAAATAATGTAAGATTTTATAATTGCGTTTATTATTAACAGCAAAAAAAAAAAAAAAAAAACTTGTAAAGAAATTTTCCGAGTTTGGTATTTTTCTAAAATAAATTAAATTAAAAAAATAGTTGTGAATATTTATTGGTTATTATATTTATTTATTTATTTATTCGAACAATTAATTAATTATTCGAATAACAAATGTTTGGAAATTATACACTGAATAAAAAAAATTAACATAGGTAATTAAATTATTAATTCAATTTTTATTTAAATGGAAAAAATTAATTATTAATATTAAAAATTATTTTTATTATTATTATTATTTATTAATTATTTGTAATATAAATTTTAATAATTTTAATATTTTATTAAAAATATAAAAAATTGTTTTTATATAATTTTTTAATTCAATTTTTAAAATTTAAAAATTCGCGGCCGGATGTAATGACAACAGAAGTGACATCTATTGGTTAAAATTCCAGCGTTTCGGTTTTTCGTTCCGCCGTTCCAATTAATTTTTGTTTACTTTGGCCTTCAACGCTTTTCCACGCTTTGTTTGTTAGTTTTTTGTTTTTTGCATTGTTTATTTTATATACAAAGATTGCTAAAAATGGACAAACAAGAAGATTTGGTGAGTACAAAACAAATAAATATTCCTAATAATTTGAGCTCGGGGTAATATTCTATATATTTTATTAATTCCGACCGGCATAATGTTCACATAACCTTAAAGCTGAACTGTCAAAATTTGAATTTAAGAAGGAAAAAAAGAATTTAATTTAAATGATTTTATTATAAATTACCAAAACGAATCAAGAACAAAAAAATATTAAAATGCAAATTTATACAATTAAAATATAGGTTATGTTTCGTTTTTGCCGAAAATTAATCGTAAATTGCAAATTTTTTTTTCTTATTAAACTTCTCAGTTTTCGACCTTTATTTATACAATTACAATCGAAAGTAATTTTTTGTTTCGACTTTATTATTTTTATTACTATTATTATTATTATTATAATTATTATTTTTATAATTATTATTTTTATAATTATTATTTATATAATTATTATTTTTATAATTTTATTATTATTGTTGCGAAAAATTTTATGAATAAATTTGGTTAAAATTTAAAAATTTTCAAAACACTAAATATATTTTATAAAAATGTAAAAAAAAGGACTTATTCAAAACTATAAAAATATTTTTCATTGTTTTTGTTTTTTTTTTTTTTTTATTTTTTTTTGTACAAGAAAAAAAATCTATTTACAGGAAATAAACAAAGAATGTACAATGGAAATCTATGGAAAAGATGAAATTTTATTTGCCATTGAAGAGAAAAATTTGGAAAAATTAAAGAAAATATTCGCCTATTTTGAAAATAATAAACAAAATTTAATTAGTATTATTCAATGTAAACATGAATTTAATTATTATGATAATTGTATTCTTCTCATGGCATTGAAAACAAATAATGAAAATATTCTCGATTTATTTCTAAATAAAAAATTGTGCGATAATGATAAAAATATTCAAGATTTTCTCATACACAAAACAATTGAATTAAATAATATAAAAATGTTAAATAAATTGATTGAACGTGGATTTCTTGATTATAAAATATGTAATTGTAAACATCAATTATCGCCACTGTTGGAATTAATTTCAATGAAACGTTTAAATTGGATTAAACGATTTTACGAAGCTGGAGTTTCATTTCAAGAGAAAACAAACGAAAATCTACCATTATTACATTTTGCCCTAAAACAAAGGGATATTGATAAAGAATTTATTAAACGTTTAATATCATATGGCGCTGAATTATCGATAAAAGATTCAAATACTGATATGACACCACTTCATTATTTAATAAGTAATAATGTTTTAATATCAAATCGACAGAAAGTGAAATTTATTAAAATATTATTAAAATTTGGTGCAAATCCAAATTGTTGGTCAGAGTTAAAAAAAGAATTTATTCTCTATACTGCACTTGAAATGAATAATCATTATGCAATAAAACTTTTATTAATGTACGGCGCAAATGTTAATTGTATTGAAATAATAAGTCAAAATGTTATTGATGAGGTGAAAAATAATTATTCACTAAATTCATCATCATTAATGTGTAATTTATATTTTTTACAATTAGAAAGTAAAAATTTATTAGATAATAATGAAAATATTGATGAAAGACTAGTAAAATTATTAGAAATTCTACAAGTTAATAAAATGTTGACGGAAATTTTAAAATGTCGAAAAATTTATAATATTGATCCATGGACAATTTTAACGGCTAATGAAAATAAATTGACAAATTTAATGAAAAATTCTGAGATATGGACAATATTAATTCTTCATATGCCATTATTTGCAAGATGGTATTCGATATTTAAATTTTTAGTGAAAAAAGGCAAGGAGAGAGAAATTTTATTAAATAAATGTCGTATACCATTTGTATGTGCATTAAAGGGAAAATTAAATTTTTATATTGTTAGTGAAATATTAAATTATTTGGGAAGAACTGATTTACGTTGTTTATATACAGCATGTTGTCCCAATAGTTGTATGGAGAGATTAGTACCAAAATTATATAGATTAGTCTATAGTAATAGTCAAATTCATAATGATATTCGTAAAATATGCTTACCAAATATTTTAGATGTACTTTAATTGAAATTTTTTATTTGCGCTAGGATTTATTTTAAAAATTTTTGACACAATTTTTTTTCAATTTTCGATACAAAAATTTGACGTGTAAATAAATATTTATGCCAATTAATGTTTTTTTTTTTTTTTCAATCAAAAATCCCTGGAATATGAAAAATAAGTGGGGAAAAAAATTTTTTAAATTAATATAATTAAATTCGTTTCTTAAAACTAGAATAAAAAAAAAATCGTATTATTTTAAAAAATATTTTACTATTTTAAAAGCAGAACTCGGTAAACAATTTTTTTTTCTTACAACAATTTACATTCTGTTGTTTGTTATTTAATTCATTTTTTTTCAAGTATATAAAATATGTTTATGTACAATTATTTTTTTACTGAATCCCATGATTGGTGCATCCAATCATTTTCCCAATGTTGACCTTTCACTTTCGATAAATATCTGAAATAATTATTTTTATATTTTTAATATTTTTTCGCGAATATGTGTTTCTATTAAACTCAAAAATATAAACATCAGATTTTAATATATTTTGTAACAAACAAAAAAAAAAAAAAAAAAACAAACTGCTATTAGTATATATAGAAAGGAAAGAAAAACACGAAAAAAAATTTTTGGCGCATGATTATCCCATAAAATTCATTGATAGTGAAAAATTTCATTTGAAAGAATTTTATCATTCTTTTATATTTATTTTCATTTTCGAATTAGAATTTGAGAGAATTTCAATTTTTTTAAACGAATTTTTATTTAACCGAATTTTTAAGTAACTATTTTTTAATAATTCGTATAATAATAAAAATAATTTTTGTAAATTCAAAAATTTCCAATTCACTGAATTCTTATTTGTCTGAATTTTTAGGTAACAATTTTCAATAATATATATTAAATTAATAATTCGTAAAATAATAATTTTTATAAATTTAAAAATTTTCAATTCGTAAAATATTTATTTGACTGAATTTTCATTTAAATGATTTTTTTTAATAATTTATAATAATTATAATAATTTTTTAATAATACAATAATTTTTTAAATTCGAAAATTTTCAATTCAACGAATCTTTATTTGTGTGAATTTTCAATTTAATCGAATAATTGAAAATGTCCGAACAATAAATGTAATTTAAAAAAAATATTACGTTGGAAAATTTAAAAATTTACAAATCAGAAATTATCAAAAAAATTTGATCTTGAATTCTATAAAATTTTGCGCTAAAAAAAAGTTTTAAATCTTTTTTTTATTTACAATAAAAAAAATAAATAAATAAAAAGTTCTGACAAAAATAAGAATTCGTTGAATATTAATAAAAAAAGAAAAAAATTCGTGCAAATGAAAAGTTCGGACAAAAATTAAAATTCCTTGAATTGGAAATTGTAAAATTAAAAAATTCGAATCAGTGAATTAATTTAGAAAATTCTGTATTAAATATTCTAATTAGCAAAAAATGAAAATTCGGAAAATTCATCTAAAAGAAAAATCTAACCAACTTATTTTTTTTGAGAGAGATAATATCATGTGCACTAAATTTTGATTCAATTATATTGAAATTTATTTTTCTTATTAATAAATTTTACCGATAAAAAATTCATTTATTTAAAAATCTATATTTTCAAAAGTGATTTTGAATCAAAAAAAAGATTGTTTTTTCGATTTAATCATAAATTTAAATAAAAATATTTTAATAATTTAATTTTTTTATATTGAATTTAATAAGAAAAATTTTAATTAATTGAATCAATTTTTTTTTTGCTCGCAGTTACTTTAGAAACTCACCGTAATTATGATACGTTTTTGAACAGCATTTTGAGATTTATACATTCACAAAGAGAGAAATATTGTCGCGTATGTCAACAGTCAAACGAGGCATTTTAAAAGTCTCTGATAACGGGAACTATCAAGAAATATATATATACGAAATTGTCAATTTTTTTTTCTTTTTGAATTAAAAAAAAAACTGTAAGCTAAAATCAATGATAAAATATTTGTCACTGATATTTATGCAAATATATATGAAAGATAAAATTTTTTAAAAATGAATTTTAATGTATTTTTAAAAAAATAAATAATTTGATGAGAGCGGTGGAATTTTGTCATTGTCCTTTTTTGATTTTGTTAGATTGGAAAATAAAATTTTTATGAAACTAGTATTGAGCGATGTATAAGCTATAAAAATTAATTTGTTATAAAAATTAATTGAATTATTAATTTCACAAAATTAATAAGAATTTTATATTAGAATTAATTTTCAGATGAATTATTTCTATTTTTTCTATGTAAAAAAAAAAAAAAAAAATGACTATTTGGTCATTCGAGCAAATAATAATTCTTTCAAATTCAAATTCGATGAAAAAATAAAAAATTCGTTTAAGTTTAGGCTAATTATTAATTAATAATATTTAAATTATTTTTTATTATTATTATTTAATAATAATTTTGTAATGAAGAAATTCGATTTCATAGAATTTCTATTAAATAATAATTCGAAAAAATGGAAAATTCGACTAAAATTAAATTAGAGATATTAAAATTTTATCAAATGAAAATTCTAAAAAAATTAATTTTAGAGCTTATTCACGTGTCTCATAGTTTTAGATTAGTTTAGGTGCATTTTTTTTAGTGATTAGTTAGTGCTATTTTTTAGTGACTAAAGTTGGTGCCATTTTTTTTAGTGACTATTTGGTGCTTTATGTGTCTGAACGTTCACATAAACGAAAAATTTATTTACTAGATTTTTAACTTCAAAATTTTGTTACAAAAATTTTTGTATCCAAAAAGTAAATTATTAATTTATTAAATATTTAATGTAAATGTAAATTTAATTTAATTTAATGTAATTTTTTAATTTTTCATTGCAATAGTAATTTTGAAAAAATGATTTCGTCCATTTGAACGTTCAGAATTTTAGGCTATTGTGCTTTCGAAAAAATTGTCTAGCATTTTTAAACACAGCGATAGATTTTTTTTTTTTTTTTTAATACTACTCACTTTTCTTGAATTTCTTTTAGTAAAATTTTTTCTTGCTCTGAAATGCCATTTCTCACGACATCCAAATTAGCATTTAGTTCAGTTAAATTTTTCATTCCAACCAAATTACTGCTAACATCTTCACACTCCATTGAGCCCCAAACTGACAATCTAGCCAATTCAATATCATGATCCTAAAAATGGAATTTTTTTTTCCAAATTAATTTTGATTTGTCAAAGTCAATGACGAAAAATAAATAAATAAATAAAATTAAACCTTGCAACAACGAGCTGCTTCTCTACATTGTTGTTTAATATCATTTGATGCTGGATGCCATTCTGGTGGTCCTTTATTAGTTAAAATACCCATGCAAGTTAGAGCCGCATTAATAATTCCAATATTGTGTTTCTAGTTTTCAAAAAAAAAAAATCCTTAAAAATTTTATTTTTTCCTCTTTTTAGAAATTTATTAATTTATACAACCCAGAGAAATATTTTATTGAAGGCAAAATTTATCTAAAGCAAATAAAAATATATTTTATCTCAGATAATAACTTTTTGTTTTGAATTTAAAAAAAAAAAAAAAAAAAAAAATTTATTTAGGGCAATTAAAATTTTTATTCACTCAAAATTTATTTTTGAAACAAAAAACATATTTATTTATCTCTGAGACAAATAATTTTAATTATTATAATTTTAATAATTATAATTTTAATTATTATAATTTTGATAATTATAATTTTAATTATTATAATTTTACTCTGGGTGTATAAATTAAAAATAAATTTTCACCTTAAAAAATGGAATATATTGCAATAAATTATCATCCATGAGTGTAAATCTGGCAAAACTTAAAACTGTCGATATATTTATGTTGCTTCGTTCGATGCATTCTTTGAGTATTGATACTGGATAACCAGTGATACCAATAAATTTCGCTTTTCCTTCAATTACTTGTCTCGATAATTCTGGCAATGTTTGACTAACAACTATATCCAACGATGGTGCAAATTCAATATCGTGCACCTATTTCAAACATTTTGATAAATAATATATTAATTAATTTAATTATATTATTTAAAAAAAAATTATTTATTATTTTTATCGCAAAGGAATTTTTTTAGAGAAAAAAATAAACAAACAAAAATACATATTTTAAATTTTACATAAAGAAGCAAAAAAAAATAATTATAGATTCTATTGAATGAGAGTTCTACTAAATTAAGTTTTTTACAAAAAAAAATTGAGTAAAGAGAAATTTGTACAAATAAAAAATTCCAGATAAAAATAAAAATTCGATGAATTGAAAATTGTAAAATTTAAAAATTCCGAATCACTAACAATAATTATTAAATGAAAATTCTAAATTCAAATTCGGAATTTTTTTTAAATAAAAAGTAGGGTAAAGAGAAATTGTGTAAAAAAAATTCGGTAAAAAAAATTTTTGGTTTAGTAAAAATTCGTTTAAAGAAAAAATTCAATCAACTTCTAATTCGAAAAATGAAAATTCGACTATATAATAATTATATCTAATAAAATTCTTTGTTTATACAAAAAAAAGCAAAAATTCGAATCACTAACAATAATTATTAAATGAAAATTCTAAATTCAAATTCGAAATTTTTTTAAAATAAAAAGTAGAGTAAAGAGAAATTTTGTAAACTAAAAATTGTGTAAAAAAAATTCGGTAAAAAAAATTTTTAGTTTAGTAAAAATTTGTTTTAAAAAAAAATTCAATCAATTGCTAATTCGAAAAATGAAAATTCGTCTAAATAATAATTATATCTAATAAAATTCTTTTTTTATACAAAAAAAAAGCAAAATCAGATATTATAAATATTTTTTTCATTGTAAATAAATAAATATTTACCTGAATTACATCAACGTAATCCAAACACAATAATTCCAAACTCTTATGAAAACTTTGCCTTGTTTTTTCAATTGTATAATCAAACATACGATCCTGATCTAATTCATACCTTCCAACTTTTGTTGCAATATAATAAGCCTGACGTGGAATTCCTTTCAGGGCCTTTTTTTACACAAAAAAAAAAATTAAACAGTGTTCAAAAATTTAAGGAAATATTTTTCTAAAAAAAAAAAAGAAAATATATTTTGATATTATTTACACCTTGCCAAATAAAGTTTCTGATCGTCCCTGTCCATACCATGGAGCAGTGTCCAAATAATTAATTCCTTGTTTTATTGCAGTTCTCACGAGTTCTATAACCTCCTCCTCATTACACTCACTAAAAACAATATTATTTTATTATTATTATAATAATAAATAATAATAAAATTTATTATTTATTTTTTATAATAAAATTTATTATTTATTTTTATAATAAAATTTATTATTTATTTTTTATAATAATATTTATTGTAAATATAATAATTTTATATTTAATATTTATTATTTCTTAATTTTATTTATCGGAAAAAAATTATTTGAATCAAATAAATTTTTTTCCCATAAAAAGAAAATTCGATAAAATTTGATAATTTTCGAAAACTGAAAATTCATCCTAATAATATCATATGTTCTATGATTATTTCTTTTTTTGCTTCGAAAATTTTGCTTCAATTAATTTTCCTATTTAATTCGAATTAATATATAATTTGCTTGATATTTTTGAAAAAATACCCATAGAGATTACTAAATGTTCCGCCTCCAAGAGAAAGTTTACTTATTTTAAGACCAGTTTTTCCCAATGTTCTATATTCCATTGCTTCAACAGCTTCACGATCATGGAATCCCTCAACGTATGTTGCTGGTAGAGATATCCTATACAAATAAATATTTTTTTTTTTGAGCTTCTAAAATTTAAGACAAAAAAAAGAAGAATTTTACCAAAAAAAAAAAATTATTTTATTTCATGACAAATAAAAATTAAAATTAAAAAAATATATATATAAAAATTCTATTTTACTAAATTTTGTGTTTTTTTTTAATTATAAAATTGAAAATTTTGCCAGTACCTAATTAATATTTCTTATATTGAAATCAAAGAATTATATTAAATTATTTTTATTATCATTAAAAAAAAATATTTATTTTATATAATCATTATTCAATATTTTTTTCTCAATAAAATTATTAACTTTATTGATTCCTATATTCTTTTTTACTTTTTTTTTTTATTATATTATATATGAAAAAAATACAATGATAATGATAAACAATACTTAGAAAGATAAAATAATTTTTTTTTCAGTAAATAATAAAATGTAATTTTACTACTAAATAGATTTATAAATAAATAAATAAAATAAAAAAAAAATTTATTTTTATATATCAAGCTGATTATTTATATAAAATTGTTAATGAAAAAAATTTTTATATTAATATTCAATAATTATGAGTATTTATAATTATTCACTTTGAAAAATCATTCTTATCTTTCTACGTGTGCAACATATTTTTTTCATTTTGTACATATACTAATTAAAAATTATTTTTATCTTTCAAAGTGCGATTTATGATTGTATATTTTTTTTCCACTTATTTCAATTAATAATAATTAACGTTATTATCAATTATTATATTTTTATATTTCTAATATTATTATATAGAATTAATATTTATTACACTTAATTTTTTTTTTATTTTTTTTAAACTTTATTCTAATCGTAAGAATTATTTTTTTAATAAATTATATAAAAATATTTTTTTTAATAATTGTTAATGTAATAATGATAATAAAAAAAAAATAATAATAATAATTATTATTATTATAAATAAATATAAATAAATATTTAAATAATAAAAAATAAAAAAAATAATAAAATAAATAAATAAATAATATATAAATATAAATATTATAAAAATAAAATAATAATAATAATAATTATTATTATTATTATTATTATTATTATTATTTCCTATTATAAAAATAATTATTATAATAATAGCACAATAATAATAATAAATAAAATAATAAAAATAATAATATAATCAAAAAATAAAATAAATAAAAATTATGTATACTTTATACTAATGATTACAAAAATATTATTAAAATAATATATATATTTAATTACGATAAACAAATTTCACTAACAATTTATTTTTATATATTGCACTTTATAATTTTGTTGGTATTTATTTATAATTAAAGAAAAAATTTTAAATCTTACATTTTGTTCTCACTGAAATTGAATTTCCAATCACACACAATAAATCTTCAAGAGATTAAAAAAAAAAACACACAAATATATCAAAACTTTTGCAATTTCGATGTGATTTTGTTTATATTTGTTGATTTTTTATTGCGTCTTAAAAAAAGAAGGCTTCTTGATTGTTGTATTGTCAATGAGTGTTTCGATGAAACTGATTCTATATACAGTAAAGACGTTGTCACATATATATTTTCTTTTTGATAAGAAACATAAAAGATTGTATATTATACTGGTTGAATTGGTTCTTTGGATAAAATAACAAAAAAAAAAATTCTCCATCTGATGCATTAACTTCTTTACTACTTTTAAGTTTTTTTCTCTCCTTTTTTATTTTAAAGTAATCTACAAATGATAATATTTGCCTCATTTGATAACTAACCGTTAACTGATAAAGATTTCTACAATCACGTTTGTTGGTAAATTAAATCGTTGTTTTTTTGTAATTTTTATTAAATTTACTTTTCAGTCGAAATTTCATTTTTTCGAATTAAAAAATTTTGATGGAATTTCTTTTATTTATAATTTTTTTATTTAACAAAATTTAAATTTTATTTTATTGGAAAAGTTTTCTTTACCGCACTGAATTTTGAATTTTGAATTTTAAATGATGAATTTAAATTGTGATTGGTCAATTTTAAAATTCGCGGGGAAAATAGTACCACACTAGTCAAAATAACAAACATTTTTTTAGTTTATCGTTGTATTGGACTTCATTGTTTTTGTTTACATTTGCAAAAAAGCGGTTTGATTTTTGATAAAAAAAATTTTCTTTTGTGCATATAAATAAAACCTAGGGAAAAAAAAGAATCCAGTGAGTATATTTTATAAGAAAAAATAATAAATATACACTATTTTAATTAGCGTTTACATTAATATTGAATTAGTAATTATTCACAAAAAGAAATTAACATAACCTAAAACTGTAAATCTTTTAAATTTTAGGGAACATTTTAAAAACTTTCTATTTTTTAATAATAATAATAATAATAATGATAATAATAATAATAATGTTACTATTTTAACTGCGAAAAAAACTGAAAATTTATATATTAAAAAATTATTATTTTATAGTTCGTAAAAATATTAATATTATTTATCGTATAATTAATTTCTTTCTTTTTTATACAGAAAAAAATGTTTGCTCGTGAATATGAATTGGGAAAAAAAAATAATAATTTGAATTGAATTATTATTAATAATAATCATTATAATAATGATTAGCAACGAGAAAAATGTTTGCTATTCAACAGAGCCGACATAAATTATCGCAGTCTTGGTAAATCATTGTAAGTTAAATTTTATTATTTTTTGTTTCTTAATTCTTCATTTTTACAATCTCGATATTTCCGGTTTTATTAATTATTTATTATTTATTTTTTATTTTAAAAATATTATATTTATTTAAATAAAAATTCCCCCTTTTTTAATACTATAATTTTACTAGGAATATAAATAATTTAATTTTTAATATACAAAAAATTTTTTCACTCGTAATAATATTTGAAACGTGTGAAAATTTCCCTTTAATTTTCTATTTTACTAGGGGAAAAAAAAAATATTTAGCGAATAATTATTTTAAATATAATTAATAATATAATATATTTGAAATTTAATTTATTTTCAAAATTATAATTGTATAAACAATTTTTATTCTTCTACTAAAAAATTTTTTTTTTAATTTTTATTTAAATTTCTATTTACTTAAATTTGTTTTTAATTAGAATCAACTATTTTATGAAAATATAATCATTAATCTACGATTGATAATTAATTAAAATTAAATTGGCCAATCATCCATTAAATCTCAAAAAAAAAAATTCAATTTCAATTAAATGCAGTGTCGTATAATTTTAATTGAAACGAATTTATTTATTTTTTTTTTAATTTATTTTCTTTCTTTTTTTTTATAGCCGATTTTTTTATTTCATTGAATTATTTAACAGAAATTCCATTTAATCGAATTTCTATTATTATAGAATTGTTAATAATTAAACGAATTTTATTCAAATTTACATTTTACTTTAAAATACACCAAATTTTTATTTTACATTTCTCCGAAGAAATATTAAATTATTTTTGGGGCGCAAATTTTAAAAAATAACCAATCACAACTTATCAATGAAATAATCGATTGGCTAATTTAAAAATTTGTACCCATTTTTCTATTTATTCGAATGAAAAAAAAAATAAAATAAAAATTCGGTAAAATATACAAATTCAAAATTCGATTTAAAATAAAAATTCGTTTTAGCGTAAAAATTAAATTGGAAATTCTAATGAAATTTCTGTTACACTTGACTCGTTGAAAATTAAATAAATAATTAAAAAAAAATAAAAATTCGGCTACAATTAAATTCTGTACAAAATTCTAATTTAATTTTAGAACTTATTTATGCGTCTCTTTTTTTTACCCTTTTAGAGGGAAGAAAATAATAAAGAGCGATTTATTATTCAACAAAAAAAAAAAAAAAAAAACATAAATCATTGACCCCGTGAGTGTGTTAAAGAGAGAGAGAGAGAGAGAGTTTTTTTTTTATCAGAAAAAAAGAAAATAAAAATGCCTTAGAAATTTTATTCACTTTTTTCTTTTCAGGTGAGACAGTGACCCTTAAAGATGATGATAATGATGATCATGATTGTCTATTCTGTTTGCGTCAGTTATGTATATTCCGCTTTTCATTTTCAGCTATCGATCTGGAAAGTTTCCGCTTCGAAATTGATGAACGCTTGCGCAACCGCAGGTTCAACATACACGTTTATATTTATACATCACACAAATTCAGAAGGAAAATTGAAACACAACCCCGAGGAACACTCGCCGCAAGTGTACTTTTCTCTCCCAAGTATACTTTTTTTAAATTCTCATTGTTATTGTTACAATATTGTTAATTAAAAATCCAAAAAAAAAAAATAGAAAAATAGAAAAATTTTCTTTTGCAACGAGTTGCGAATACAAGTAAAAAAATTTTTTTTTAATTTTTGTATGTTCGTGTATGTTCGCGCGCGTATGTGTATGTTTCTCTACTATATTATAATTTTTACTTGAAATTTTCCATAAAAACGAGGCTTATTTTTTCGAATTAAAATAATAATAATAATAGTTGTAAATTGGAGAAATAAATTTTTATCTTCGAAGGCCATACAGAAAGCGAACGATCGAACGAGAGCTAATAAAACGTCAAGAGAGGGTTGACAATCATCTGGGAAGGGGCGAAGGACATCGAGGAAACAGAGAGGTGACTATATTTATTATTATTTTCTTTTACAATGTAATTTTTTTCTGCAAATTATTACTTTGATTCTGTTTTTTTTTTCTTTTTATGTTACATTAATTTATGTTCTTTCGTTCGTTTGTAATATTCGATATTCGGAAAATTTGTCCTAACATGAAAATGGATCGTTCCTTTGTTTTTTTTGTAAATTGTCAGATGATTTTATTTTATATTTTGATTAATATTTAAAAATTTATGGGAAAATTTGGAAATTCGAAATTTTTTAAAATTATTTTACAATTCAAGAAATTTTTTAAAATAAATAAATATAAATTTTACTGTTTTCTCATTTTTTTATGATTTTAACTTTCTTCGAAAATTTTCATTCTGAATTTATTTATTCATTTTCTTTCGACTTTTTTTCCGCGACATTTTTTTCTAAAAATTATTTTTTAAATTTAAATTTGGAATAAAGTTGGCAAAAATCGTTTACCGTAAAATATTTTTCTGTTGCATAACACAAAATTATAATTAGTAATTTATTATCATTGACAAATAAATTGCAATTTGTTTTTTTTTTCCTTTTTTTTATTATAATAAAACAAATTTATATTTAAATAGCTTTAACGTAGATGAAATTTTACAATGTTTATGATTAATAATTAAAAATAAAAAATATTTTTCACGCAAAAAAATAATAAAATTTAAAATAAAAAATAAAAATATATTTATTTAGAAATTTAATTTTTTTATATTTATTTCATTTTTTTTCTATTTATTCATTCATATTTGTTTATTTTATTTTTTTTTCATTTATTAAGTTGATTAAAATATTTATTGATGGAAATATAAAATATTTATTTTTTGAACGTTCAAAAAAAAAATTTCAAACAAAAAATTATAATAATTTTTCTAGGAAAATATTTTTTCTTCTAAATCGTTGATTATAAACGTTGTAAACTTCATCGACGTAAGATTTTTGTCCTCAAAAAAAAAATAAACGGGAAAAATGACTAATTATGAATATAAAAGAGATACAAAATTTTGCTCGATTAAATAATTATTGAAAATTTAGTTATTTTTATTTTTTTTCTTTTTTTTAGAAATTATTATACACTCAAATATGGAAATAATTTCAAGTTTAAATATTTCGGAAAAATAAAAGAAAAATACAAAATTTTGCTCGATTAAATAATTATTGAAAATTTATTATTTTTTGAAAAATTATTATTGAACGTTTAAATATGGAAATTTTTTCAACTTTATTTTAAATATAAACAATATTTGCAACTTTAGAAAACTTTTTACAAATCTTTTAAAAAAATGGAAAATTTTCAAAATTAATAATTAATAATTAATAATTAATAATAATATTTATTAAGATAATTCAATTTTTTTTTTCTGTGAAAAATTGAATATAATTTAAATTATTTCATTAAATAATTTTTTTTTTAATTAAAATATTTATAACTCCGTTTACATTGTAAAATATAAAATAAATAAAAATTTTTTTTTAAAGTTTAATTCAAAATTATAATTTTCTCAAAAAAAAATTTATCGATTCAAATTTTGAAAAAATAAATTTTTTTTGCAAAAAACCAATAATTATTTTTTTTGGTCTAAATTTCCGTTTTTTTTTTTTAAATTTTCCAGGGCAGTTCGAAAGTGAAAAAAGCCAAAGTACCAAAGAAAGAATCTCCAATGTATCCCGGTTCTTGTGCCGGAAGCAGATCAATTGTGATATGTCATTGCCCCGTGAATGGAGTTTTCAAAACTCGAGTCGATCGGTCGATGATCGTGGACCCGCGGCGGCCGCGTCTCAAGAAATTATCGGTCCGACCGCCATGGACGAGAATATGAACCAACAGAATCAGCTGGGCTCTCTATTTTCCATTCATTCGGCACCTGTTTATGAATTAAACACAGCAACATCATTATCATTAACATCACCAAAGAGGCCAGCTTCATTAGTTGTTCATGTAACGCAGGCAAATTCAACATCAATTGTACAACCACCACCATCATCACGTTTAAGTCCACCAGAAACAATAAATGACGACGATGACAATGACAATCTATTGACAATTTCAAGTCTCACTGCACGTCCATTAATTGCCAAATCGCGTGAATTGCGTTCAACAAAAAAGAAACAGCAACAATGTACAGTTAATAATCGAAAATGGATGATGATGAAAAAGAAGAAGAAGAAAAAAAAGAAAAATGAAGAAACAAATAATGGTGATAAAATAAGAAATCCAAATTTTGTACCACTTGACGGTGGTTATGGTTGGATTGTTGTATTTGGAGCATTTTTTGTTCAATTTTGGGTTGCTGGATTAGTTAAATCATATGGTGTTCTCTATCTTGAAGTGATGGAAACATTTAAAGATTCATCGGCGACCTACGCATCATGGATACCGGCAATTTTGTCCTGTCTTTGTCTCGCTTTGGGTAAATAGAAAAAATAAATATATTTTCTTTTGATTTTTTTTTTTTAAGAAACGAACGAATCATGAATTTTCATTTCTATTTAATTAAATACAATTTTTATTTAGCTGAATTTTCAATTTTTTTTTCAAGTTCACTAAATTTTCATTTAAGGGAATAAAATCAAATGAAATGAAAATTTGGTTTTAATTAAAAATTTGGAATTTATTTTCAATAAATCGATTTAGGAAAAATTATTTTTAAAGAAAGATGTAATTTCTTTTTAAATAAAAAATAATATAAATCAAAGTGTTTAAAAAGAGGAATGAAAAAAAACAATTTTATATAATAAGAAGCCATATTTTAAGTTTGTTCTTCGTTTTTTTTAAAATTAGAATTATTTTTCGTGTTTTCATTATAGTTAAAAGAATTCTCTAAACATATTAAATAAATCATAAATTAAAAGTCCGAAAGAAATTTAAAAATTTTCAAAAATATTTTATGTCATTAATTTGAAAATAAATGACAATTATAAAAAAAAAAAAAAAACGTCTTTATTTTATAATTGTCATTAAGTTTCAATTTTATTTATAAAATATTAATACAGAATTGCCACGGGTCAGGGAAATAATAATTTTTGAAATTTTCAATTCAAACATTTGCTTGTAAAAATTATTGTCTTAATTTTTTTATAATTAAAAATTTTTTTCTCGATTCAAGAAAAAAATAAATTACAAATTTTTTGTACTTCTGAACTTTATAAGAAACATTTTTCTGGGGAAAAAAATAAACAATGCAATAATTTAATTCCCAATTGAAAAATTGTGTTTATTCCTAAATTTGAGATAAATGATTTATTTTCTGTATGTAAATATATATATATAGCAATTTAGTATCTTCTCGAGTTTTTTAATTGCATCGATTTGATGATGATTGCATGTTTAAGTTCAGATAGTCATGATTTGAGACGATTAATTAGGTTCAAAGATATCAAGGTTTTTTCAAACCTTATTCTAATATTCGACCTTGAATTGAAATTGGAATATTTTCCAAGACTTTTCAAAGAATAATCATAAATTCACCTTTGAAATAAATTTCTTTTTATACATAACTTTATATATACAATCGGAAAGAATAATCATTTTCAAATATTTCTCCCTATTTTTATTATTATGTATTTTTTTTTTTCTAAGTAAACATTAAAGCAATTTTGTGTTTTATGTGCGTGAAAATCAATTTTCTCTTTCTCTCTGAAACTATTATTTCATCAATATATTAAGAAAGAAAAATGGAGAATTCAGAGAATTTAGAAATATTTATAGAATTTTGTTAAAATATTGAAAAAAAAATCGTCAAATTACTTACTCATTTTTTGTCCCTGGTAGATTTTTTTCTCCTTGATTTTATAAATCTGAAAATAAAATGAGAAAAAATGGAAATTATTATAAAAGAAATATTTATTGAATCGTTTAAAAAATTAGATATTGTAAATCTATATTTTTTTTCGTAATTTTCTATATTATATTTAAAAAAAAAAAAAAATTTTCTTCATTTTTGTTGTAAAGAAATAAATAATTTATGTAACATAGATAGATATTATCTTTTTACTAAATAAATTAATTAATAACAATTATTATTAGAATACAAAAATCGTAAGAATTTAATAATTATAAATAATGTTCAGTAGGGAAAAAATTGAAAAAAAAATTTTGTTAAAAAAATAATTAATTAATATTTTTTTTTTAGCACCAGTGACAAGCATGTTGTGCCAAAAATACAGCTGCCGAGCTGTGGTTTTCGTCGGTGGGCTTTTCTGCGCTCTTGGACTTACCATTAGCTACTTTGCCACACGATTAATTCATCTATTTTTCACTTTTGGTGTTCTTACAGGTAAGACAGAAAAAAAAAATAATTCTTTAAATCTCGATACCGGGATTTTTTTTTTTTTATTTCAAAATCGAGCAGTAAATTTAAAAATAATTGAGTTCTAAAGTGATTTAATTTTCAAAATAATTTATTTCTAAAATAATTGAATTTTTAAAATAATTGAGTTACAAAATAACTGAATTTTCAAAATATTTGAGTTCCAAAATAACTGAATTTTCAAAATAATTGAGTTCCAAAATAATTGAATTTTCAAAATAATTTACTTACAAAAATTTTGAAATTTCAAACTATTTCAGTTTTCAAATATCAAAAATAATAGAATTTAAATAATATCGATTTTGAAAATAATAATTAAACTGCGAAATATTGTATTTTATAATATAATCGAATTTTCAAAATAAATGAATTCAAAAATAATTGAATTTTCAAAAGAATTTATTTACAAAATTTTTGAATTAAAAAAATAATAAAAATTTCAAAATAATTGAGTTTCAAAATTTTCGAATATGAAAAATAATTGAATTTAAAAAAAAAATCGATTTTAAAAATAATAATTAAACTGCGAAATATTGTATTTTATAATCAAATTTTTAAATAATTTTATACCGAATTATTAGTACTGAAATTAATTGTTTTAAATGTAAAAAAAAAAAAAAAAATTGCTGAATATTAATTAAAAAAATAAAAAAAAAAATTTTTAACCCCCTTCCCAGGAATTGGCGGCGGTTTATCAACAACACCGGGCATAATTTTAGTATCACAATATTTTGACAAACATCGTGCACTTGCCAATGGAATTTGTGTCTCCGGAACGGCAGCTGGTAGTTTTGTTTTACCACTAATGATTAAAACTCTAATCACAAATTTTGGCTTTCATGGAACAATTTTACTTCTTGGCGGTTGTATGCTTCATGTTTGTGTTAGTGCAACACTATATCGACCATTGGAAAATAATTATATTTTACAAACAGAAACAACAACATCCAATGTTGCAAAATCAACAATAATTAATAATGACGATGTTGATGATAATAATGGAATAAAAATAAATGAGGAAATAATTGAACAATTTCCAACGAAACAACAAAAATTAGATTTATTATTTGCCAATGATACAATGACAAAAAATAATCTTTTAAATGAACTTTTTCATCATAACAATACAGTAACATTGGATTTAACTGATAGCGAGGAAGAAAAAGATATTATGGGCGAGGGTTTAAGATTAAAGCCATTACCAAAAATTCGTAGTTCCAGTATTTTACATAGTGTTGAGGATCTTTCAACTGATTCAACTTGTGTTTATAAGGCAAGATCTTCTCTCAGGTGAGACTTTCGTTTAATTTTAATATAAATAACTAATTTCAGAATTAGGTGATTAATTAATTAATTAATTAATAATTAGCCGAATTTTTAATAAAATATAAATTTTTAACTCCTTCGATTTTATTTATTTTTTTTTTTAGAAATTATATAATAATAATAAAATGCTTGGTCTGTCCTTCTGTCCTAACTTGAAGTTGGCCTTTTCTGATTTCACGTGTTTTTTTTGAATAGTAATCTTATGACGTGTCAAATTTTGACAATTCTTTTTCTCATTTTTGCCAAAGTTGTATAATTGTGTTTCCAAATTTCGGAATAAGTTTCTTTAAAATTCCAAATTCGAAAATTCAATTCACGAAGCTGAAGTACACAACGTTTACCAACGAAATTTTTTTTAAAACTTGTATATTGATTCAAAAATTGTATACAAATACAAAAAATTTATGATGAGAAAAAAGATGCGCCAGGAAATTTCGTACAAGATAGTAATTTGAAAAAAATTTATTTTTAAAAATTAATTTTTAAGGTACCAGGAGCCAACGAATACCTATTAAATATTAATTATAAAAACACAGGCCTCGAATCAACTTAAAGACACAAAAAGTCGTTTCAGTCGATTTATATTCAAAAAAAAGTGGATTTGTTTTTTATTTTAACAAAAATATTTTACAGATTTTTAAATAAAAAATTTTTTTTTTAATAATAATCCTTTTCGAAGGGTTAAAGTTGAAATTTTTAGAAATAATTAAATTTCAAAAGATATATTGTTAATTTTCAAACAATTATTAAATTTTACAGAACTAAAAATAATTTATCAAACAATTTTTGGAAAACATTTTTTAAATTTAATTGAATTTTCAAAGATTTAAAATTGAGATTTTTGAAATTAATTGAAACTTGTAAGTGATTTTTAATTAAAATTTTGAGATGATTTCACTAAAAATTTATTAGAAAATGCGGACAAAATACAATAATTTGAAAATCATTTGTAATTGAAAAATTGTTTCAGACAGTTGAATTTTCAAAGAATATTATTAAAATAGTTAAAAATAATTGAATTTCCTTAGAGTTATAATTGAAATTATTAAATTTCAAAAAAAAAAATTTCGATGGAAAATTTTAGAAATAATTAAATTTTAGATGCTTTTAAATTCAAATTATTGAAAATTCAATTAATTTTGAATTCAAATTTTTGAGAATAATGAAATTTTATTTGATTTTAAATTTGGAAAATAATTGAATTTCAGTTCATTTTGAATTGAAAATTTTGGGAAATAATTGAATTTTAATTAAAATTTTGGATAATAATTTAATTTTTAAGTTCATTTTTGATTGAAAATTTGGATAATTAATTTTGAATAGAAATTTTAGAAAATAATTGAATTTTATTTCATTACAAATTGAAAACTTGGTAAATAATTAAATTTTAAATTGAACATTTTGGATAATAATTATTGAATTTTAATTGATTTTGAATTAAAATTCCGGGTAATAATTGAATTTTAGTTTATTTTGAATTGAAAATTTTGGGAAATAATTGAATTTAATTTGAAATTTTTGATAATAATTTAATTTCATTTCATTTTTAATTGAAAATTTGGATAATTAATTTTGAATAGAAATTTTAGAAAATAATTGAATTTTAGTTAAATTTGAATTGAAATTTTTTTAAATAATTTAATTTCAATTGAAATTTTGGAAAATTATTGAATTTTAGTTGATTTTGAATTGAAATTTGTCAAAATAATTAAATTTTAATTGAAATTTTGGAAAATTATTGAATTTTAGTTGATTTTAAATTGAAATTTGTCAAAATAGTTAAATTTTTTAATTAATTTTGAAATTAAATTTTTGAAAATAATTAAATTTTGGTTGATTTTGAATTGAAAATTTTTAAAATAATTGATTTTTAATTTAAATTTGAGAAATAATTTAATTTCAATTGAAATTTTGGGAAAATTATTGAATTTTAGTTGATTTTGAATTAAAATTTCGGGTAATAATTGAATTTCAGTTCATTTTGAATTGAAAATTTTGGGAAATAATTGAATTTTAATTGAAATTTTGGATAATAATTTAATTTAAGTTCATTTTTGATCGAAAATTTGGATAATTAATTTTGAATAGAAATTTTAGAAAATAATTGAATTTTATTTCATTTTAAATTGAAAACTTGGTAAATAATTAAATTTTAAATTGAAAATTTTGGATAATTATTGAATTATAATTGATTTTGAATTAAAATTTCGGGTAATAATTGAATTTTAGTTTATTTTGAATTGAAATTTTTCAAAAAATAATTCAATTTTATTGTGATATTTTTTTTTTAATTATAAACAATTGTTAAATTTCATAAAAATTTTAATTGAAAAATAATTTTGATATAATTGAATTTGTGATGTATTTCATTAAAATTATTAAAAATAATTAATTTAGTGAAGAATCATTTTAGTTCAAAATTTGTTAAATAATTGAATAGAAGAAGATCTGAAGAAGATCCACATTTTATACTAGAAAAATGTGTTTTATTCACATTTTTTTTCAAATGTAAAACAAAAATGTCGCATTTTATTAAAAGAAGTCGATAAAAGTCGTATTTTTGAAAAAAGTCGGAAAAAGTCGTATAATCCGAGGCCTGTATATAATTTTCATTATTATCATTTAATATGTAATAATATTCTAATAAATTAAATTATTATTGATAATATTAATCTTTAATTTCTTTATAACAAACAATTAAATACTTAATTTGGCGCGCTTGCGCGCGTTTAATTTTCCTAGTTATGATAATAAAATCTTTTTTTGTGTAAAATAATATTAAAAAATTCATTTTTTTCAGATCTTTGAGATCGTCGGTAATTGCTGTTTGTCCACAAACATTGACAATTGAAAATTTATCAGAGGAGAAAATAGTGAAAAAATCATTGGCACAAAGAATAGCACAATATCTTGATTTGAGCCTATTGAAAAATCCACAATTTATGATGATGTGTCTATCGGTAATGTTAATGTCAACCGGAAGTCCCTATATGCTTTATTATCTTCCGGCGTATGTTCACGCGAAAGGTTACACAAAATCGGAAGCTGGTTATCTTGTTGCAATATCCGCAACACTCGATCTTTGCGGAAGATTGGGACTTGGATGGTTGTCGGATTTGCAACTTTTCGATAGACGAAAGGGTTACATTGGAAGGTAATTTAATTATTTTTTTTTTTTTTTACATTAATTTCACTAATATTAGAATTATTATCAATTCTTTTTTTTGTCCAATTTAATTAATTTAATAAATTCGAAAATTGGTTTCGAAAATATTTTTAATTTTTTTAGTTTAATTAATTTATATACTAATTAATTATTAATTATATTTTTTCAATGAAATTTATCAAATAAATAAATAAAAAATTATGTTGATCGTAAATAATAATGTGATAAATTTCTTTTATTTTGGTAAAATTAATTTTTTTTAAATTTAACTTTCGCAATATCAGGGATTTTCTATTTTATATGTTTGTTTCTTTTATTTTATCGTTTTGTTTCTTTAAATTTAATTCGTTTTGTGATTTAAAAAAATTTTCTTTCCTTTTTTGTAAATATTTTTAATTTTTATTTTCATTTGCTTCTATTTTGTTTATTTCTTATGGAATTTTCTTCGTTTTATAATTTTGCTTATTTTTTCTATATTTTCCATATTTTTGTTTCATTTTTTTTCTCTTCGTAATTTTTCTCAAAATTTTTTTTTTTCTATTTCTTCACAGCATTGTGGGAGCTGGAGTGGCAGTTTTAGCAATTCCCATGGCCCATTCATTTTACATTTTAGCGTGTTCCGTTGGAATGTATGGACTTTGTTTAGGATGTTGGTTTCTATTGGTTCCAGTTCTTCTCGCTGATCAATATGGTACTGATAAAATATCATCCACCTATGGACTTGTCAGAATGTTTCAAAGTGTTGCTGCAATTTCAATGCCACCACTTGCAGGTATTTAAAAAAAAAATCCCTTTCTTTCACGATACGATTTTCGCAGGAATTTATGTTATTAGTAAATTATCAAAATTTCAGAAATAATTTAATTTTCACTAGAAAATTAAACTCAAAATTTAATTTACCATAAGAAAGAATTATTTATAAATAAAAAAAAAATGAATTTTTAAAAATGAATTTTTAATTACATGAAAAAATTAATATAAAAAAAATGAAAAATTAGTTTCAAATTAATTGAAAATTAATGTTCTTTAAATTTGCAATTTAAATTTCCAATTTAAATGTAAATAATTGTTTAAAAATTTATGAATAATGAAATAAAAAAAAAAAAATTTTCATGCTCATTAAAATTAAATTTCCACTATTTAAAACAAAAAAAAGCTTCTAAATTTGCAGTTAGAAAAGAAGAAAGAAAAAAAAACAGTACATTTTTCTCAAATTAATTATATGACACAAAAGTTCGATGAAAAGAAACCCTAATGATAATTGGAGGAGAAAAATGAATAAATAAAAATAGAAATGAATGAAAGCTTTTCAAGTTGTCAACTTTTTTTTTCATCTTCATTAAATTAAGGAGAAGTGGGACTATTTCAACAAAACAATAACAATGAAACAAAACAATTAAGTGAAAGTTGGAGGTATTTTTTTGAATCGTAAAAATTGATTGAACACGTGGTGAAACTTGAAAAGGGTCGAGGATGACAATTCGTATTTTTAGATCAAGGTCACAAAAAATATTTTTTTTTTTTTTTTTAACAATGAAATTTACCTCGACTTGCTTTTAATAATTAAAAATTTTCTAAAATTAATAATAAACATAAATTATAATTTATAAAAAAAATAATAATAATAGAATAATAATTTTTATTCAATATTTAATAATTACTTTTTAAAATAATTAATTTTTTTTATGTATGTCTATTTTTTTTTTTTTTTTATTTGATAAAATTTATTTATTTCATTTAATATATATTTGTTCTTTCCATATATTTATTTAATAAAATTCATTTACTTAATTCTATTTATTTCGTTAATTAAATATTTATTTATAATATCAAAATATTGTCTCTATCGAATGACGCATATAAATTCTGACCTAATTAACTATTTTTTTTTCTCTCCTTTTTTTTCAATGAATACATAACAATATCTTTTGAATCATTATTTTTATCATTTTCTGATATTGAATATAAAATATCTTTGATATATTGATAAGAATTTAAACAAAAAAAAAAAAATACCAGAGGATTTAATTCTTCGGAAAAAAAAATTTTTGCTAATAGAATCAAAAGTAAAAAAAAAATCCCTCTTTTTATAGTGCGAAAAATATTAAAGAGAGCAAATAATATAATAATAATAATAATAATAATAATGGTAAATTGAAGTCACGAGTAAGAATTTTATTAAATATTTTTAAATTGATTTTCAGGGTACTTGCGGGACGTGACCGGAAGTTACAGTGCTTGTTTCTTATGTATGGGCACTTGTATGGTACTGGGTGGTTTGCCACTTTTATTAGTGGCAAACGACACATCTAAAACTGAAACCGAGCTGCCAGTTGAGACAGAAAATAAAAAGGATATTGCTTCACCGACCAAGGATTAAAAAAAAAAAAAAAAGAAAAAACAAACTGCCCCCTCGACATCGATAAAAATAATGAGAAAAGAAGGTCAGATAGTTGAAAAAAAAACACTACTAAATTAGAATTCAATATTATGATTTTTTTCTCCGTTTTTTAAATCACAATCCATTTTAAATCAGTTATCAAAAGTCTTACAATCTTAAAAGAAAAACATTTCCTTGTTAAAAAAAAAAAAAGAAAAGACCGAAAAAATTTGTTTTAACAGAATCTTTAAATTTTTCTTATTAAATTAATTCATTTAATTAATTAGAAATTATTTAATTTAATTGAATGAAGACATAAAAATTTTAATCTTTCAATTTAATTAATTATTAATTATCCACTTAATTATATAATTTGAAAATTAATTTAGGAATTAAAAAAATTTTCTTTTTCTAAATTTAAAGATTCGGGTTCTTTTCTTTTTTTTTTGAGAAATCAGCCAGTTGATTTGAAAATTAATTATTATTTCAGAGAATATATTCTTATTCTTAAAATAATTTTGGAGATTTGAAAAAAAAGCCCCCGCGAATTTTCAATACTATATATAATTCAGAAAAAAAAAATCTTAAAAGATGCGACAAGTGTTCTCGGAGTTGAAAAATAAATTAATTCAAAATGTTTTATAGGGAAAATAATTTAGTAATTTACTTAAATTTTAATTTAAAATTACAAAATTTAATTAATTTTTAGTATAAAATTATATTGAAAATTTAATTAATTTTCAGTGTAAAAATATTTTTACAATTAAAAATTAAATTAGTTTCCAGTTTAAAATTATAAAAATTAATTTAATTAATGTATTTTTTTTTAATTTTATTTTAAAAAAAAAATATTCCTTTGATATTTAATTAAAGCTTTTAGGAAAAAAAATTAGAGCATTGTGATAGAGACAATTTCGACTGATTTATTTTTATTTATTTACCAAAATTATATTTATATATAAAATTTTTTTTTGTTTTAGATTCAATTATCAAATAATTATTTATTTAGCAGTAATTTATTTTATAGAATTAATAGAAAATTATTTGTGTAATTAATTTTTTTTCAAAAAAAAAAATAACTTTATTGTCTTGTAATTTAGAGTTTTTTTAAAAATAAATTTTATTTTTTTATATTATTATTCTTTAATTAATAATAAAACAGAATTCTAATTCGATATTTATAGTTTTCATGAATAAGCATAAAAACTAAAAAGATTAATATCGAATATGTAAATATGTTAAAAAACACGTTTTTCTTGTCTAATATTTAAAAAAAAAAATATATATATATATATATAATATATTCGAAAAGAAGAAAATAAAAAATAACGAATTTTTTTTAAATTTACTTTCGTTTCCATAATTTATAAATTAATATTTATTTCAAAAAGTAATTTCAAAAATTTTTAAAATTTTCAAAGTTAAATTTTTTTAAAAGTAATTATTAAAAAGATTTGATAAATTTTTTTTTTTTTTTTTTATTTCAAATATTAATTTTAATATTTTACTTTGAAAAATATTTTTTTCATTTTTACTTCTTAAAACTGTATTTTTTAAATATATCTAAAAATAGAAATGTGGATTTAGAAGCATAATATATAGAAAAAATCAAAAAAAAAAATTTTAATTTAACTTGTTACAAATGGCTGTGTTGCAAAGGACAAAAAAAATGGAATATGAAGACGAATGTAAATATCTAAACTTCAATGATGAGGAAAAAAAAAGAAAAGAAAACTTTCATTGGAAACTTATTTAAAAAAAAAAAAAATTAATTGGTTTCACCAATTGTGTTATTAATCTTTTTAAATCGTTTTTATTCAAGTTTACAATATTTTAACAATTTTCTTTTGAATTGATATTAATTTTTTTTAATAATTTAGCAAAATAGATTAATAATAAAGTATATTTATATTTTTCAACCTTGGAGGCATTATTATTATTATTATTATTATTATTTTTTTTTTTTTTTTTTTTTAGAATAGAATAGAATTTATTTATCTCCTTTGTATACTATTACATAGTTTATTATTATTATTATTATTAATTGAATATATTCTATATTAATTAATATATAATATAAATTGAAAATATTCAATTTATTCTTTTTTTGAGATTATTGGTAAAATTAATCATTTAATTTAATTGTTTTAATTAATTATCTCTATTTAATTTTAAAAAATTTAATTCATTTGACTATATCAACAGAACTGTAAAATATTGGATTTGAAAATCCAATAAATGACTTGTAATTACAATTTTCTATATAAACAATTCGAATATCAAATTGTTGTCTCGAAATTTTATTTCATCTATATAGTATATATATTAAAAAAAACTGTTTTAATTATTATTATTATTATTATTATTATTATCATGCGCTGTTTCTGGCTGTGCTTTAAACGAATTTTGTAAATTTTTCTTTGACACAAAAAAAAGGGTTGTATCAATAAAGTGGAATCGAATTTTTGAATTTTTCACTAAATATCAAAAACTCGAGTGTAAAAAATAATAAAAAAAAAAAAACAAACAATTATTCACTTCGCCTTCGTACAACCCTTGCACAGAATGTTTTTTGGAAAAGATGTGACATTTTTTATAACAAAAAAAAAAAAAAACACCGTGTATACTTGCACTTATGTTTAAAAAAAATTTCATTGAATGAAAGTGTGTAAAAAAAAATATATATATATATTATTAATTTGCACACACATACATCCTTCTCCCCATTTCAGAGAACAAAAAAGGAACATTATTTAAAAAAAAGCCAAATAAAAATAAATGCGAAGAACAATTAATTTAATACTTATAAAAAAAGGAAAAATTCAGAAAATTAATTTCTTTCTTTCACTTTAATTTTTTCCCCAAAAAAAAAAAAGAAAACATAATTTTCTCAATTTTTCCAAATTAAAATATTATACACAGGTATAATAAATAAAAATTTTCGCATTTATTTTTTTATATTATTCAAAATGAAAAAAAAATTCAGGACTTTTTTTCTTCTAGAAAGAAAAAAAAAAACAGAATTTTTTTAACGAAACTTTTTTTTCCTTTCTTCAGCGTAATGTAAATACACACACATACACACGAAAAATATTGTTAATCTGAGAAAAAAAAATTATAAAAATCGCGCGAGAATTCGTCAGACTGAAAATTATTAATAAAATAATAATTGCGATGGAATGTGAATGAAAAGAAAGCGAGAAAAGTGGCAAAAAAAAAGGATTTTTAATTTTTATTTTCCGAAAATAACAAAATTTTTAAAAAAATTTCTCACTTATTTTATTTATTAGTGAATAAATTAAAACAATATTTTTCCTCACCTTCCATCGAAACAAATTTTCATAAAATATAAAAAAAAAACCCCTCTTTTTTGCAATCGGTCTGGCCGAACCTCGCTTATTAATTTGAAAAAGAAAATAGATATATAATATATTTATAATCAGATTGGATCGGTTTCATTGTGGATGATGCCGGGAGAGATTTTAATTGAGAAAAACAAAAAATAAAAAAAAATAAAAAATTTACCGAATCCGACTGATACTGATAAAATAGTTAATTAATATGAATTAATTTAAGAAAAAAAAAAATATGTTTTAAGAAACGACACGTATATGTTTTTAAGACCAAAATAATTATTGCAGAATGTTTTGTGGTTCTAAGTTATGGTCGTCGACAATTCAGTCGAAACATTGTCTATATAATATATAAAATATAAACAAAACAAACAAAAAAAAATTATCAAATAAAAAATAAAAATTAATTATACGTCAGAGTTGTTAAATTTTTTCAATCTCCTTTTTTTTCTCATTTTTCATTTAATTTTTTTAAAACAAAAAAAAAATTTCCAATTTTTCTAAATTTTGGTTTTTGAAAAAAATTTAAACAATTTACGACTGTAAAAATCATCGACAACTTCACTGGATTCAAAATCTTTATTATTATATTTTGACTTTCGAAAAAAGGAAATAATTTTTTCGCAAAAAAAAAAAAATTTCTTCACAAAAAAAACTTCAGAGACTAAAAAAAATTCAACACTTGAAAAAACGTTATCAAACATAAAAAAAAATGTCTAAAGATAATTTAAGTGAGATTAATTGAGTAAGTTTACTTTGGATTTTTTACACGATAACCATCAAAAGTAATTATAGACATTTTACAAGAAAAAAAAAAAAATAATCTAAATTTTTTATTAGTGTCAAATTTTGGCGAAAAAAATCAAAATTTATCAAAAATTCAACAACAAATCACTGATGACAATAAAAATGGAAAAGAAATTCAAGGGGAAATTGCAGAAAGGATCGATAAAAAAATTAAAAAAGAAAATTTAAAAAATCAAACTAATAAAAATTCATTGATAACGTTGAAAAAAAATTATCATTTAGAAAATGATTTATTAATTCGAAATGTTGTTCCTGGATCATTTAATTCGCCAAGATTGGTAAATTTTTGTATTTTTCTTGTGCTTTATAAAATCGAAATTTTTTCCTGCAAATTTGTAAGTTTTAAAACAAATTAAATTAGTAAAAATAATTTTTTTATTTAAACTAATTGTTTTTACATTTTTCAGATACAACTAACACCGTTTGTCGTCAATTCTTTACAACGAAAAACATTGAAAAAGGAAAAAATTCGCCGTGGAATTCCAAATTTATTTGAATTATCTTCAACACAAGGAATTCCCGATCCTTGGAAATTAATTTTATCTAATTCTGAAAACGATTTTTATTCCGATGATGAAAAAGTGGATATTTGTTTGGTAAACTAAATTTTAAATTATTTTTATTACTATAACAAAAAAAATTAAATTAAATTTTTCCAGTGTGAACCAAAATTAAAAACAGAAGAAAAGAAACAAAAATTTCCCACTACATGTGAAAAATTAAGGAGAAAAAAATTGAAACGCAAATCAAAAAATAAAAAAATCCCCAAATATTGTGAAATTTTTGAAAAAATTATTACCAAAGACACGTCGAAGCCAATTAAATGCAAGAAAACAAAAAATTTTGCATGTAATACAGATGATTTTTTAGAAAAAAATGTTGAAAAACAAATTAATTATCAAAATTTATTGGAATCAAATAATATTATTCAATGTGAAATAAATGGAAAAATAACAATTCACACTCTAAAGGGTGAAAAGAGCTTTAATGGAATTGGATCATTGAAATTGAATTTGAATCAGAATGAAAATAGTGATGTCGTTGAAAAGAATCAGGTGCAAAAATTTTCTATTCAAATCAAATAAATTTATTTCATTTCATCGAAAGACAAATTGTTTGAAAAAACAATTCAGTGAAAGAAAAACTTTACGATATTTATCGTAAATTTAAAAAAAAAATTTATATTTCATAAAAATAATGAAAACTGTTTTAAAAAAAATTTTTTCCACAACTAATAAAATATTTTTCACAAATTGCGACAAAAATAATTACAAATTAACTTTCACACAGAAGGAGGAAAATCCATGTTCTTCTGGTTTTTATCAAAATTTTTGTAATCAATTTTCAAAAACATTGAAAATTCGTGAAATAATAACAAATTTTGAATCGTTGAAAAAAATTTCAAAATTAAAAAAAGCATTAAATGGCAAAAAATGCGAACAAATTGAAACTAATTTTGATGATGAGAAAAAATTAATTTGCTACAAATGTTCATGTCCATATTTACGAATTTTGACTGAAAATAAATTCGCCAATGAAAATTCATCTCAAGAACACGAAATAAATAACAGTACTTTTAAATATTAAATTCTAAAAAGAGAAAATAATATTTTTAAAAAATTAAAATTATTTTTGTTTATTCAAAGAAATTTCAAAAAAAAAATTCTATTAAATCTTAATTTTTTTTTTTTTTTAGAATCAAAAGCAGAAAATGAAAAATTCTGTAAAACGAAATGTGACACAATTATCGAGTACAATAAAAATAAAAAACAAAAGGAACAACATTTGAGGAATAAAATTAAAAAAAATGACAATTCCATGAAAAATTTAAAACATGTCAAGGTTACTGTCAATACAAATGAAAAAAAAAAAGACCTAGACGATAAAGTTCAATGTGGTTGTGAAATAAAATATACTGAGGATAATACTGATAGTGGAAATAATGCTGATATTTCACAATTATCAAAGTATTAATAAAAAAAAAAAATTCATTCAGAATTTTTTTTTTTTTTGCAAAAATTACCATTTTTATTTATTAGCAAAAAAATAAAAATTATATAAAATTTCTTCCAAATATTTTAGAAAATTTCGTATTTAATTAAAATTTTCAAAATTAAAATTCAAAAATTTACATTTAATTAAAAGGAAAAAAAAAAATTTTCCACTACTAATAAATTATATTATTGCATATATAAAAGAAATGATAATAAATTGTCCTCGAGGGAAAGTACATTGACTCAAATGAATGAAAAATCATTGAAAAATTCATCATCAGATAGTGATGATAAAAAAAAGGAAGAAAAATACAAAATAAATCACAATCAATGTTCACCATGTGGGAAAATTGCAATTAGAAAAAGTCAAGAGAGAAATAATAATTATGAAAATTTAAATTTTGAGATTGCTGATAAATTATTATCAACTAAAAGAAGTGAACGAAGAAAATTAAAATCCAAAGATCCAATAATTGAATCTTCTCAGGTAATTGAAAAATTAAAAAATTACACTCATTTTTGAAAAATCGATAAAAGAAATTAATTTAATAATAATTAATTAATAAAAATTAATAATTAATTTAATAATATAATTAATTAAATTAAATAATTAAATAAATTACTCTCTTTAAAAAATTACAAATATTCCTCGAAATATAAATTTTCTTCTAAAATAAAAAATTACAAAATAATTTGCAAAAAAAAAAAAAAATATATATTTCAGGCTGAATTTTACGAAAAGAGCACAAACGACGATGACCTTGTTGTCGAAAATTTAAGTAACAACTCAAACGATAAATTACTCATCACGTCGAGAGAAAAAAATAGAAAATCAAGAGAACGTTTTTCGAATGATTATTATCGAAAACGTGGCGGCGGTGGCGAAAAAAAATTATTTGACTTTAGATCAACAAGTGATTTTGAATGTGAAATGCAAAAAAGTAGAAATAGTAATAATAATAATAATAATTCTTGGTTTGTCGAAAATAACGAAGATTCTTCATTAGAAATAATAACTAAAAATTATCCTAATTATAATGACGATAATCAACAATTATTAATAGAGAGAACAAATTTTTTAAATAAGGAAATTTCAAGTGAAAAATTATTTTCCTCATTTCTTGATGAATCACTTGATCTCATTAGTGAACCAATTGGACGAAAAAAAATTTTATCTGACGATTCGCAAATTTTTCACGAAAGAAAATCAATGAAAAATGAAGGCAAATGTTATACTAAATATTGTTACGATCGTTCGCAAAATTATCATTAAAATTATTGTTTATAAATGATAAATAATTACAAAATACAAAAAAAAAAAAATTTGAAAAATTTACGAAAAAAAATGTTAATTTAAAATTAATTCGAAAACAAAAATCAAATGTTAATTAGTTTATAATGTTAATTAATTGTAAATGATAAAATATAATTAAATATGGGTTTTCCAGTTTTAAAATCAAGAAATATTTTGCATTCGAGTAATAAATTAATGTGTCAATAAATTAATTATATATGTTTAGATTTTTAAAAAAAAAGTATTAAGTATATTATTATTTTTTTTTTAAAATAATATTTTTTACAAAAATAAAATAGAAAATAATTATGTATATTATTACAAGTTATCAGTACATAAATTGCAAAAGTGTGTAAATATAACTTCATTTTTTTTTTTATCAATGTAAGTCAACCTGTCTAGCAAAAAAAAAAAAAGGAATTCGATCAATTAAATAATTGTCTTCGATTATAATTCTATAAATCAAAATAACTAAATAAAATAAATAACAAAATAATTCATACATTATTCAAGACTTTTTTTAAATAAAAAAAGAATTAAATTTTACTAAAAAAATATTTTTTTCGATAAAAATAGATAAAGAAATATATTTTTTTTTTAATAAAAAGAAAAATTGTTATTTTTTTTTAATCTTTGTCGTAAAAAAATGTTTTTATTTAAAAAATTCATTTTAAAATGAAAGCTTTTATTTTCCACTTATTTTTATATGAAAAAAATAAAAGTAGACAACGAATAAAAACAACTTTCTAATGATTTTGTTGATGAAAAAGTCAGAATGATGAGATATGGTTTATAGAAGTTTCCGGTGACTGAGGTCGACTATAAGTGACTCAACTATAAACAAAAAAATTGTTAAATACTTTTGTTTTTGTTTTTTTTTTTTTGAACTTTCGTTATTTTTAGAAGGAAAACAACAGTTTTAAACGACTTTATATGAATGTCATGGAAAGCATTTTAATATTGTAATAAACAATAAATTAAAAAAATTTCAACGAAACTTCTCTCCCTTTAAAAAAAAAAAATTGTTTCGTCATTTTAATAAAATTTTTATATATTTTAAAAATATTGTAAAATCATAGATTGATATTAGATACTGATATTTAATTATTTATTTTTCCAATGAATATAATAATAATTATTATTATTAATTAAGAATAATTATTATTATTATTAATTAATAATTTATTAATTATTAATTAATCCAATAATTTTAATTATTATTATTTATTTTATTAATTATTTTTATTTATTATTATTTTTATTAATTTATTTTATTATTAATTAATAATAATAATTATTATTATTAATTAATAATTATAATTTATTAATTATTAATTAATCCAATAATTTTAATTATTCAATGAAAAAATAAATAATTAAATCTGTATCTAATATTAAATATTATTTTTTTTAATTTTCAAAATTATGTGAATAAAAAAAATGACAAAAAATTTTTTTATATTTTAAATTTTTGGACAAAAAAAAAAAAGTTTTCATTTACGAGAAAATTATATTTATAATTTTCTTTACGTAAAAATTGAAATTTACATAATGAACCTTGACAATGAATAAATGAGCGAGATTATAGAAAATACGTTTCTAATTACGTGTAGAACATACGATGATCGGCCCATTTGTCCATGGAAAGTTTTTAAATCGTATTTTAATCGAAAAAGACGAATTGAATTTATAGTATATGTTAGAGAGAGCGAGAGAGAGAGAGAGAGAGAAAGAAAAGAGTGAAATGGTTGCACGCCACTGACGCCTCTCTTTCATTGTCACAGCTGATCGGCTCGTCAGTTAGTGCGCGACGCTCAACCAAACATGTTTATAAATGTGATTTTTTATATATAATAATAATAATTCACAATTTCATTTTTTTTTTCAAATCAATCATATATATATATACATCTATATTAGTGCTCGTATTTCTATAATTCTAGTCTTTGTAAATTTCACGCTAATTATTATTATTAAAAAAAAAAAAAAAAAAAAAAAACTTAGTGCCTCTTTAAATAAGTGAATTAAAAAAAACGCAAACAAAAAAAAAATATATATATATATACAACAATACAAATTATTCAATTATTAAAGAGAAATCGCCATTAATAAATGCCAACCAGTGTTTGCACAAAACAGCTGATCGATGATTAAATTCCAACTGAAATAATTAAAAATAAAACTAGTTGCCAATTTTTCATAAAACGATTGTCAATTTTTTTGTCTTTTGGGGTGAAAAAGCTCATAACAATATACATATATACATAGTGTGCGTGTGAAATGTGTGGAATTTTTCAAAAATAAAACGGTGAGTTTATTTTCATACACTGCAATACTTTATTTTGTGAAAGATTTTTTTTTTTTTTTTTTTTTAAACAAAGAGGATAATAAACGGAAGTAGGTGGAAAAGAAATTGACGTACTTCCGTTATTATTGAATTGGTGCAAAGATGATAGAATTATAAAGGAAAATAATAAATTAAAGAAAAGTAAAAAAAAGAAAAATAATATATATTTTGGCACAAAGCCAAAATGTTGAGGTAATTTTAATACAGAATGGAGGAAATTTATGAAAACGATTCAACTTTCTGATTTGCTACCCTCAATATTCCAAAAATTCAAGCGGGAAATTTAAATTCTCGCAAATTTATTTAATTTTCTTTATTATTTTTTATGTAAATTTTTTTTGCTTTTAATTTAATTTATTTTTTTTTTTGTATTTATTTCCATTTTTATTAATTAATATTTGATTTTTGTTATTTTATTCTATATTTTTATTATTATTGTTATTATTATTATTATTACTATTTTTATTAATTAATATTTGGTTTTTGTTATTTTATTCTATATTTTTATTATTATTGTTATTATTATTACTATTTTTATTATTATTATTATTTTTATTATTATTACTATTTTTATTATTATTACTATTTTTATTATTATTATTATTATTATTATTATTACTACTATTTTTATTATTATTAAATTAATAATAAAAATTTTGTATTAAATATTTTATTTACAAATAATTTTTTTTCTAAATATTCTTTTTATTCGGAAATATTTTTTTATAAAAAATATTACAAAAAATTATGGAATATTTTAGGATTATTCTTATACTATATTTTGAAAAATATTAATAAGGAAATTTCCAACAAAGATAAAATATTATTAAAATATTAATGTATTTCTGAAATATTTTCATAAAATATTTTTAAGAATATTTTTCTAAAATATATTTGTGGAATATTAAAGGAATATATTATTCTTGAATATTTTGTTGAAATATTATTATATTAAATATTAAAAAAATTATATTTTTTGAATATTTTATTATATTAAATATTAAAAAAATTATATTTTTTGAATATTTAATATTTTCGTAAAATAGAAAATATTGTGGAATATTAGGAGGAAATTCTGTGGAATATTATTAAAAAAAATGTTTATTATAAAAATATTTGTAAGGAATAAAAAAATTTTTGTTTGGAGAATATTTGTATAAATATTAGAGGGAAATATTAAAAAAAAATATATATATTATTTTGGAATATTAAGGGAATGTTAAAAGAATATATTCGGGAATATTAGAGAATATTCGAGAATATTCTTGTGAAATAATTGTAGTAATATTACGCAGGAATATTATTGTGGAATATTGCAAGAGTATTAAAAAAATATTTTGGAATATTTTTTTTAATAACATTAACAGGAATATTATTATTGAATATTGAAAGAATATTTTTTTTTGGAATTATAAAAAATTTTTTATTGATAAAAATAATATAATAAATAAAATAATAATAAAAACTATTTTTTTTTTATATTTCATAAAAGAATTTTCTAAAATTATTAAAAATTAAAAAATATTTCTATGGAATATATTTTTTTAAGAATATTTAAATTTCCATTTAGATAAAAAAAAGAAATAAATAAATAAATAAAAAGTAATAAAAATAAAAAATTGTCTAGCAAAAATAATAATATAATTTCTTTTTTTAAACAGATTGACGCCCGGCGAAAAAAAATAAAACATTTTTCCCAATCTTCTACTGTAAACGAATTTGACAATTTGAAAAAAGGTCTATGTACGGATCACAGAATTCAGTTGACCAAGGGGAAATTGGGAGCACTTCTCATTGGAGAAGTTCCGGCAGTGGCACATTGGAATCTATGAAATCGTCCGAAAGTGCAAACGAGGAAGACATCACTTCCGAATTTAAATATTTTCAACATTGACCACAAAATTAGAAAGCAAAAAAAAGAAGAAAAAAAAGTCTAGTCCATTTTTAATTTCTAGATTGATTTTTATTTTATATTATTATTTTTCATATTCTCATCAAATTATTTCTTGTTGAGCATTTTCTTTATTTTATTTTAATTTTTTTTTTTTTTTTTTATTTTTTTTGAAATACTTAAACTCTGGAATGCAGTGAGCGAGAGATAAGAAAAACACGAGAAGAAAGAGATCGTCATCTCGGCAAAACGAATTGCTGTGCAATAGAAATAGTTTTTTTTTTCTTTTTTTTTTTAAGTGCAATATAGCCAAGAGGGGCTAAATTCATCATGCAGCAGGATAAGGATCACGATAATGGAATTAATATCAAGTTCAAGAGCGATAGAGACAAAAAGGGAGAGTACAAATTAATTGCAAAGAATGGAGGCAAAAATTATCATAGAAATCAAAAAGGTGAGTTTCTTTTTTTGCCTACAAAAAAATTTATAAAAAAAAATTCTTTGTAATTTTAACTAAACCAATCGCCTTAAGGCAATGAATCTTTCTTTTTTTAAGGGGAAAATCTTCATTTGATATTTATAAACTAAATTTAATTTATTTTTGAAAATCTTGTCTTAAACTCAAAAGCGGAGCTCGACATCAAAAAGATATATAATACTTATATTTATTTCAAGCTATTATTATCGGAAATGGCGACTCGCTGTCTTTGATATTCAGAAGGAGTGAATGGACGTTGACTCACATATATATATACGTTCGCACACTTGCCACGTGTATTTTAAGTAAAATGAATCTAAATTTAATCAAGTAGAAAGAGAGCCAAAAGTAGCTGTAATTCTATATACACTTTGTCAATATTGTTCTTTCTTAATGATAATTATCATTTATTTGAAACTCTAGTAACTACCTATAATTATATTTCACGATAATAAAAGTTTTATCTGATATTTTTTGCTTCTTATAATAAAAAAAACAGTTTTTTTAAAAATTTTTAATAAATTGAAAAGAAAATATTCTACTTTAATTTTTCAAAAAAGTAAAGTTTTTTTTTGTAATTGGAAAATATTTATCACTGGAGCAAATAATTTTTTATAATGCCATATATATAAACTCACAATATTGACACAAAGACAAAGTTAAGCCTTTGTTAAAACTTCCTGACAGTTAAAAATTATCTTAATAAGGGAATATTGAAATTAATTAACCGGAAAAAAAATTTATTTATAAAAATATTTATTTACCAAATTTAATTTAATTTAATAATTTATTTACCAAATTTAATTTAATTTAATAATTTATTTACCAAATTTAATCATTTAAAATTGTAAAAAAATTTATTAATATATATTTTATTTTTTTATTTTATTTTACTTTTTTGAATTGCAATTTTTTTTTCATCTTTTTGCATATTTATTAAAAATTATTCCAGAGAGATTTAATCTGAGAGACTGCAAATTTTTTTTTCGTATTCAACAATTTTTTTTTTTTTATCTCAGTACCAAAAAGTATTAGTTTCACGCGATTGTTATATAATAAAATATCTTCTAAACGCGCCCCCTTTATCTTCACACTTCGTATCCGTAGATGATCGAATTATACATGACTTGCAAAATATTTTCTCTGCACAAGAAAAAAAAAAAAAAAAAAAGTTTTATCACTTTTGTAATATAAAGATAACAATTAAAATATTAAATTTTTATTCAATATAATTAACTAATTATTTTTTAATTATATTGTTAAATAAATAAATTTCTATGAAAATAAATTTAAAATTTAATTTTTAAAAATTTAGTTCAATTTTTCTTCGTGTCAATTATTTTTTTTTTTTGAGTAACTATTATTTAAATTTCCGAATTATATTATTTCTACAGGATAAACTAGTTTTCAATAAATATATATTATTGAAGTTTATTTCACAGGTTACTCGTTTTCTCTAGTTCCCTCCGGTTCATTTCAACTATTACTAGAGTGGAACGAATTGTCTTTTTTTTACAATATAAATGCTATACTACACACTGATTCACGATATGTTCGTTTGATAAAGAGAGAAAAGTAATCTGATTTTTGTTTTTTAAAATAATTCTCATAACGAGGACAATTAGATAAAAAAATTGAAAATTAAATTTCTTTGCTTTTTTGCAATTTTGAAAAATCAACTAGAAAAATAAATGATTTCTTTTATGTTAAGTAAAAAAAAAAATTGAAAAATATTTTTATAAATAAAATATATAATAAAAAATATTTATTTTTATTATTAAAAATATCGAAGTTGTAACAGCAATTATTTTTGCAAAAAAAAAAGTTAAGTTTTAATTATAAAATTTATAACAAAAAAATAATATAAAGAATTATATAAAATCTTTTGTTTTTTTTTTTTTCATTGTCTTATGACAGTCAATATGAAAAATAATAAATAATAATATAAAATTTCCAAGATGTTATATAAATTTCTTTTTTTCAAAAAATGCATATTTGATATTCTTAATTACATATATATCCTATAATTGACACGAGGAATTCATTGAATGAAAAATAAATTCTAACGGAAATTAAAAAGCGTTTTAAAAATATCACAACATGTCATTAAATTTGTAATTATAAGGTTATTATCATTCCAATGTAAATTTTATTCTTTATAAACAAATTTACTATTAAAATTTTACGATTATTTTTTCCAAATTATCTTTTTATCACATTTTTTATGAATTCTCATAATGTGGAAAATATTTAATTATCATTTCCTTACAGGCAAACCGAAAAAAAACACAAAAATGAAGTAGCCAAATTTAACTTTTTCGAAAAATTGTTTCTTTCTTACAAATAAGATGATAACGATTTTTTTCCGGAGTAGTTAAAAAAAAAGCAAAAATGGTCTAAAATTTTTGGGAAAAAAATTTCATAAATCCACAAGAAAAATTTCTCAACGATGTATAAAATTTTAGCAAATAATTTTTTTTAGTTACAAAAAAAATGCCTCGTGTTTGTTCTGATTGTCTACAACAGTATCAAAAATTATTATTGACTTCAAATTGTTGTTTAAATAATGAAAAAAAAGAAATTTCATTTAATTCAATTACAAAACAATTCACAAGTAAACGAGAATATTGTAAAAAAATTGGAATTTCAATTTTGAAATTTATTGCTTTTTGCCTTATTGCATTAATCATTTTTAATATCACAAGAGAAATTTATCATGAAATTAGCATTTGTTTATGGATTTTTGCATTAAATTTTATAAATCCATTTCTAAAAATTCTCATTTGTAGTTTTGGATTATTTTTTATTTGTTTCAAAGATAAATTTTTCAATGAAAATGAACATTTTACTGTTGAAAATCAAGAATCATAAAAAAAAAATGTGAAAATTTCAAAAATTATAATTATTTAAATAAATAAATTAGAAAATAATTAGTGTAATTATTTAATTTTTAATTTTTAATTTATAATTCATAATTTAAAATCAATAAAATTCTAATTTATAAACATGAATTTTTAGTATAACATTTTTTTTTTTTTTTATGTGAGAATAAGGAAAATACCTTTTTTTGTTAATTGCATCATATAAAAATTAAATTTGACCAAGTTTTTTTTTATCTTGCATTTTTTTTTCTTTTTTTTTTTTATAATAATGACCATTATGATTTTTTTAAGTAACTTTTCCTTCTAGATATAACTGATAATAATTTCTAATAAACACACGCATCTACCTCAAGTTAAAAGACGATTAAAATAATTACAAAAATAATTATTCTGAATACATTTTTTTCCTTATAATTAAAAACGCGCACATTATAGTAAATATATTTTCAATACAAAAAATTAAATTTTTAAAATATTTATGTATTAGAAAATTCTACATCAAAATAATTAATTTTATTTTTTAGTATTTAAAAAATATTTTTTGTTTATTACGATTATTATTATTATTGTTATTTTTATTATTTTGTTATATAATTAAATTGAATTTAGTTAATAAAAACAATTAAATATTAATTAAAAATAATTTTAAATAAAAAAATGGAAAACCTAATTAAAATAAATAATAATAAAATTTCGGGGAATAAAACCAGGAAAAAAAGAGTCACAATAGCTTTTGTATTGAGAGTAGAATTCTATTATGACAAACAGACACACACACACACAGGTTCAATTAAAGTGAATTTAAATGTGTCTCGAAACAAATTAACCATCCACGATCTCGCCAATTAGAGCAAGGGAGTTAGTTTTAAATTAGAGTTCATGAAACCACTCTTTGTTCATTTATATGATATAGATCAAATTAATCAAGGACTTTGCGTATATACAAACTGAATGAATCATATTATGTGTATATAACAATAATTGTAAAAGTAAACTGATGGAAAATGCCTTTAGTACGTTGAACTATTATTATAAATGACTTACAACTAAATATAAGTGTAATATTGCAAAAAATTTTCATTTTTTCTTTTTTCAAGGATTATTGGAGTTTCTATATTTTTTCAGATCAAGTATTTTTAATTCCCTAATATACGAAAATATATATCAATTCAATTTTTCTATAAACAGAAAACGAAATATTTTTAACTGCCCTGGATTATAGTATTTTTTAATTGATTTTTTAAAAATAATTTAGTAAGAAAATATATTTAGAATTTTTTTTTGGAAAATAATTTTAATAATTATCAATTTAAATTCGTATTATTAATTATCAATTAAAATTAAATAGTAATTATTTTAGTACCTATATTTTTCATATTAATTACAATTAATTGTTTTTAAATTTAATTTTCCAAATATTTTTCCTACTAAAATTTCGAATAAATAATTTGAAAAAAAAAATTTTAATTTTGTAGAAAAAAAAATATTTTAAATAACTATAGAAAAATTAATGTATGAAATTTTCATTTTCAGTTGCAAATGGAAAAAATCAGGGTGAAATGGTACCACCGGATGGCGGTTGGGGTTGGTTTGTACTCTTAGCAGCGGTGATGGTAAATCTTTTAATTCCTGGCACAGTTAAATCATTTGGAGTTTTATTTGTCGTTTATCTTGAGGTTTTTAGTACAACACCATCAGAAGCTTCATGGATTCCAGCGCTTTGTTACTTTCTTTATAGTTCTTTAGGTAAAAAAAAAAAAAAAATTTCCTTTTTTTTCCTCTCGACTCATATATACTATAAAATTAATTCAATACTTTACTAATTAATCCAATAATAAAAAAAAATGTCCCTTTTTAATTAAATTTTCATTTGACTAAATTTTTTATTCAATTAATTTTGCTATTTAATAATTTTTACGTAGTAGAATTTACATTTTTACTAAAAATTTATCGAATTTCTAATTTTTTTTTTTGTCAGACTTAATTAATTATTTTCTTATATTTCTTAAAAATTTGTGGTAATTATTCAATATTTGAATTTTGTTTTGAAAAAAAAATATGTTTAAAAAAAAAATTTTATTTTAATCTAATTTTTTTTACAGGCCCTTTATCAAGTATACTTTCTGTCAAGTATTCATATCGAACAGTCACATTAATTGGTGGAACTTTAGCTGCTGTTGGAATGATGTTGAGCTTTTTCGCCAATTCAGTTTCATTTCTCTATGTCAGGTTCGTTATTTTGAAATTATTTCAAATAATTTTTTTTTTCAAATACAAATTTTGCATTATTTGTAAAATTTTTTCAAATTTTTCCCGATATTAAAAAACGTGAATTAATTTAAAATAATTTTTAATTATAGTTAATTATTTAATTATATTATTATTATTATTATATTTATTATTATTAATTAATGAATACGGAAATTATTATTAATTAATTATAAATTAATTTAATTTTATTTTCGATTTTAGTTATGGACTTCTTGTTGGTGCTGGCGCAGGTTTGGCCTTTCCACCAACTGTTTATATCGTGACCTCATACTTTGTAAGGAAACGAGGCCTCGCGAATGGCCTCTGCATTTCTGGAAGTGCCATAGGTTCAATTATTCTTCCCCCACTTCTCAGGTTTCTACTGCACGAATACGGATACAGGTGAAATTTTTTTTAGCATAACTCAAATTTTTTTTAAAACAAATTAACTTAAATTTTTAACTTTCTTTTTTCCCCAAAAAAAAAGATCCAAATATCTTTGAAAGTATATTTCTTTCTTTAAATACAGTCGGGTTTATTTTATTAAAAAAAATTTTGCAAATTAACTCGAAATATTTTTAATTAATTTATTAAATTTTATTTCATAATTTCCATTTTGTTGAAATTAATTTTTTTTTTTTAAATAGCTACGGATAATTTAATCAAAATTCTCAAATCAAGAGAATTTATACCGATTCTTTTAAAAATAGAAAAATTTTTAAATTTAATTTCAATTATGTAGAAAATAATAAATAATTTCAAAATTTTTCAGAGGGTCTGTTTTAATAATGGGTGCAATAATGTTAAATGTATGGGCAAGTGGTCTTCTTTATGAGCCAGTGGAAAATCATTTGATACCAGCAAAAGTGACAACATGCGAGGAAAATAATGACGATGATGATGATGATAATGATGATGAAGTTGTTGAAGAGGAAGGCGAGGAGGAAGTTGAAGAAAATGAAGATGTTGGAGAAAATCATATTGGAACAACAACAATAACAGTAACAAGTCCTGATGATGATGATAAAGTAAAAAATCATCATTTAATTGTCGCTAATAATTCAAATAATTCAAAAACCAAAGGAAATAATGCAGCAACGCCATTTGTTCCAAAGAGTGCCTCGAGTGTTGCTCTTGAAAATTATAAAAATTCACCTGTTCAAGGTAGAATGAGAAAAATTAGTATGCCAACGCCAAGTGCAAGAGAAATTACTGGTCAAATGCATAGTACACCGGCATTACATGTTGTACCCGAAAGAACAATAAGACGACGTACTGGACAACCACCAAAATCACCGAGTTCATCGTCTTTTCATTATGTCAGCACACCTTATCATGGTAAATATTTTTAATGAATCATTTTTTTCTTTAATTTAATACAGGCCTCGGATTATACGACTTTTTCCGACTTTTTTCGATTTATTTTAATAAAAAGGCGACTTTTTAGACTTTTTTTATACATTTTTTTGTTTACAAAATTTTTAAACAAAATACGTTTCTTTACTATACGAATGCAGATCTTCTTCAGATCTTCTTTATTTCAATTATTTAACAAATTTTTAATTAAAATTCTTTACTAAATTAATTATTTTTAATAATTTTAATGAAATTCAATTATCTTAAACTATTTTTCAATTCAAATTTTTATGAAATTTAATAATTGTTTATAATTAAAAAAAAAAAGTTAGCAAATAAAATTACCAAAAAAATTTTTAATTCAAAATCACTTGAAATTTAATTATTTGCAAAGAAAATTTCAATTATTTTTAATGATTTTTATAATATTCTTTAAAAATTTAATTATCTTAAAGCAATTTACAAAATTAAAAAATTTTTGGAATTCAATTTTTTTTTAATGTGATTTTTAATAAATTCTTCATTAACAAAAATGATTAAAAATTTCTCTTATTATAATTATTGTCTGAAATTTAATACAATTTTTTAAAATTCAATTATTTTACAAAAATTTCAATTGAATTTCAATTATATTCAAAATCAACTAAAATTTAATTATTTTTAAAAATATCAATTGAAATTCAATTATTTCTCGAATTTCAATTTAAAATCAATTATTTTCAAAATTTTAAATTCAAAATCAACTAAAATTGAATTATTTTCAAAAATTTTATTTCAAAATCAATTAAAATTGAATTATATTTACAAATTTCAATTTAAAATCAACTAAAATTAAATTATTTTTCAAAATTTCAATTAAAATTAAATTATTTACAAGAATTTCAATTCAAAATTAACTAAAAATCATTTATTTTACAAAATTTCAATTGAAATTTAATTGCAATTCAATTATTTTAAAAATTTTAAATTCAAAATCATCTTAAATTCAATTATTTTTCAAATTTCAATTTAAAAAAAATTATTATCAAAATTTTCAATTCAAAATCAACCAAAATTGAAATATTTTCAAAAATTTCATTTCAAAATTTTCAATTTAAAATCAATTATTTTTAAAATTTTCAATTCATTATCAACTAAAATTTAATTATTTTCATAAATTTCAATTGAAATTCAATTGTTATTAATATTTTCAATTCAAAGCCACTAAAAATTCATTTATTTTCCAAAATTTCAATTGAAATTTAATTGCAATTCAATTATTTTAAAAATTTGAAATTCAGAATCATCTTAAATTCAATTATTTTTCAAATTTCAATTTAAAATCAATTATTTTCAAAATTTTCAATTCAAAATCGACCAAAATTGAAATATTTTCAAAAATTTAATTTCTAAATCAATCAAAATTGAATTATTTTTACAAATTTCAATTTAAAATTAACTGAAATTAAATTATTTTCCAAAATTTTAATTGAAATAAAATTATTTAAAAAATTTTAATTTCAAATTAACTAAAATTCAATTATTTTCCAAAATTTCAATTGAAATTCAAATGCAAATCAATTATTTTCAAAATTTTCAATTTAACATTAATTATATTTAAAATTTTCAATTCAATATCAACTAAAATTTAATTATTTTCAAAAATATCAATTGAAATTCAATTATTTCTCAAATTTAAATTTAAAATAAATTATTTTCACAATTTTTAATTCAAAATCAACCAAAATTTAATTTCAAAATTAATTAAAATTTAATTATTTTTACAAATTTCAATTCAAAATCAACTAAAATTCAATTATTTTCCAAAATTTCAATTGCAATTAAATTGTAATTCAATTATTTTCAAAATTTTCGATTTGAAATCAATTATATTTAAAATTTTCAATTCAATATCAACTAAAATTTAATTATTTTCAAAAATATCAATTGAAATTCAATTATTTCTCAAATTTAAATTTAAAATAAATTATTTTCACAATTTTTAATTCAAAATCAACCAAAATTTAATTTCAAAATTAATTAAAATTTAATTATTTTTACAAATTTCAATTCAAAATCAACTAAAATTCAATTATTATCCAAAATTTCAATTCAAAATCAATAATTTTCAAAATTTTCAATTCAAAATAAATTACTTTTTAATGATTTTTATAATATTCTTCGAAAATTCAACTATCTGAAACCATTTTTCACTTAAAAATTGTTTTCAAATTATTATATTTTAGTCTGCAATTTCTAATAAATTTTTTTTTGTAAATTCATAAAAAATTTTAAATTAAAAATCACTTGAAGTTAAATTAATTTCAAAAATCCCAATTATAAATCTTTGAATATTCAATTACTTAATTTACAAAAATGTTATCCAAAATTATTTAATAAATTATTTTTAGTATCTGTAAAATTTAATTATTGTCTGAAAATTAATAAAATCTTTTGAAATTCAATTATTTCTAACAATTTCAACTTTTAACTCTTCCAAAATTATTATTATTTAAAAAAAAAATTTTATTTAAAAAAATCTGTAAAACTTGATTAAGTATTGTCTGAAATATTTTTTTGTCCATAAAAACTAAAAACTATGAAAAAAATTTTTTAATTCGAATAAATTTTGCTTAAATCAGACTTGAAAAAATTATAAAAATTGAAATTTTAAGAATTTTTTTTTTTTAAATTTGTTCTACTTAAATAAAATTTTGAAAATTTTTCTTACAATTAGTTCTGATTCTGAAAATATTTGAAATAAAAATTTTCTTGATAATATTCATTATAGAATTATTCTAGTTAGAGAATTAATAAAATGAATTTAATATTTGATAACATTATTTATTTAAAGTGAAATTTATTTATTTATTTATTTACACATGTAAACGGGCTTAATATTGATTAATCAATTAAATTTTGTTAAAATGAAAAAAAAAATCGACTTTTTTTGTATCTTAAAGTCAATCCGAAGCCTGTTAATATTAACAGCCATCAAATCGTTTTTTTTTTTTCTCCTTACAGGAAGCACATTGTCAGCCCTACATCCAGAGCATGCATCAACATTAACATTAAATGCAATATCAAGTACATTCCGTAAATCACCAGAGAAAAAAGCCGGTAAACCAATAAAAGAACCAGAGACAAAATTTTTTGACTTTAGCCTACTCAGGGATCCATTATATTTAGTAATATTGATCTCAAACTCAACAAATGCATTGAGCTATACAAATTTTGTGATTTTACTGCCAAATTATGCGAATGATTTAAAATATACAAAAAATGAGGGTATGCTATTATTACCAATTGTATCAGTATTTGATTTAATTGGTCGTATTGGTGGTTCAGCGTTGTCTGATAAAAATTTAATGCCAAAACATTGGTATTTTGTTGGTGGTCTATTAATATCGGGAATATCATTAACAATATTACCATCGGCGACAAATTATATAATATTATCAATTTACAGTGGTATATTTGGTCTTGCTTCTGGTATTTATGTTGGTATTACTGCTGTTATAATGGCCGATATGCTTGGTACAGAAAAATTAACATCATCCTATGGAATTTCATTATTTGTCAATGGTGTTGTACAATTAGTTGGACCACCAATTGTTAATTCAATTTACGAGAGAATAGGAACACTTGGACCTATATTTTCTGTTCTTGGTATTGTATTAATTGTCGGCGCCTCACTTTGGGGTTTTGTTCCATTTATTCGACGAAAACCAAATCGAGCTGATCAGGAATTTGAAAAATGTTAAATTTCCCATTTTTTAATTTTGCGAAAAGAAAAAAAAACGAACAAAAAAATTCGATCCAATTCTTTGGAATTTTTAGGGAATATTAATTTCTAGGGGGAAAAAAAAAAAAATTAGGCGGGAGATTATTCTATTACAAAACTCCACTTTTATCACAAAATATTAACAAAAAAAATTTTTTTTTAAAAGAGGAAAATTAATTTTAACACTTATAATGATTCGACAATTTCAATTAATAGTTTTATTTGTAATTAATGACGAAATATTTAATGAATTATTAAATAATTTTAATTTATAGTAGAATTAAATTTCTTTTTACATTTGATTAAATTTTCTTTATATAGTTTTTATAATATTTTTAAAATAAATATTAAAAATTTTTTATTAGATTTAATTTTACAAAATTATGACGATTAAATTAATTTTTTGACGATTTTTTTTTTACTAAAAAATCTAAATTATGGAAATAAAAATCCGATTTTAATGATCGATAATTAAAAATTAGTATTATTTTTTTTATGTTTTTTTTTTAATTAAAAAATATATATTCAAAATAATGGAGTAAAATTTTTTTTTTTTTTCGCCAAATGATCGCATGTGAATTAATAACAAAAAAAATATATGTATACGTATACTCAATTTATATACCTATATATATAATAATTGAAATATTTAGTATTTTATTGATAGAACAATTCTAATTGTTAATTTATAAGTATATAAATACGTTAATTCAAAAATAATAGGTCTTCCTTAAATCGAACATTTTTTTTTCGATTGAAAAATTGGGTCACAAAAAATTCTTAATTAAAAAAATTAGTTTTTTTCTAAATTTAATAAATATAAAAAAAAAATTAAAATACTTGGTAATTATTTATTTATATGAAGAAAAAACTAATTTTTAATAATTTGTATAATAGAAAAAATAAATTCCTCGGACGAGTGATCCAATATTTAACTAGACGATAATAATTTTTTTTTATTATTATTATTATTATTTGTACCATGTGTGAGAGAGTATAAATTTTTCGGGAGACGAGTGTGAACAAAAAATGGCCCTATTTATAAAAAAAAAAGAAAAAGAATCCCTCACTTTTTTTTTCGTACTTAAAATCAATTATTTTTGGGGATTCTTTTTTTTTCACTATACGGATAATGTGATCATGTTTTCTGTGATCTACAATTTTGTAAATTACAAAACACAAAACAAATTACATGTAGTATTGTATTTTTTGTCCTTAAGTGACAAAACACACACACACAAACACGTATTTGCGCGTATATTTTTTCAAATTTCGAACTAAAAAAAAAATAAACCCCTTTTTCAAAATGGCAATCGATGTAAATTAAAAGAAGAAAAAAAAAAAACGTAACGAGTGCGGGAATTTTTGATACTACCTTATTGAGAAGAAATTATTTTTTAATTATTATATTTTTGTTATAATTTTTTTTTTGTTATTTGTACATATATATATATTATATAATTAATTTAATTAATATTCATTGAATATTAATTAAATATATAAACTTTATAGTGTTTGGAATAATGTGTATTTTTATATTAGCTGAGAAATATTGTGATTAATGGATAAATATATAAACGTATAAATATTAAAATATACTTTTTAAGTCTGAAATAATTATTTGATATTAATTGTAAATAATTTTTTCTCCATAAGGTTTTTTCTCTCACTGCCTCACTAGAATTTTCATATGTTCAAAAATTTTCTTTTAAACCCCCCCCCCCCAAAAAAAGAGAAAATGCATTTTTTAAAACAAAAAAAAATAATTTTATTTTCATAAAATTTTTGAAAAAAATTATTTCAAGTCTATTTTTTTTTTGTATAATTTTTCTCATCAATGTGTGTTTGAGATTATTTCTATACTGAAGCTTTTTTCATGAATAAATATTATGTGTATGATGGTGAGGATGAAAAATATATAGCGAGAAAAAAATGTAAATCGAATATAATAGAAAAGAAAAAGTCGAAAAAATAGAATTAGGTAAAATAAAAAACAATTTGAAGTGATGAGTAAAAAAAAAATTAAATAAATAAAACAAGTGAAAAAAAACACGGAATAAATGATTAAAAAAAAAAATAAATGTGAGTAAAATAATAAAAAGAGAAGTGAATAAAAAGAAAAAAAAAATTTCCATAAATGGAAATAAAAATTCATATTTTCTTGTCAATTATAAAAAAAAAATTTTTAATTATTTTTTTTGCGTTTTTATTTACTATTTTTTTTTTTTTTTTTAATGGGTTATGGATTTTTTTTTTTAAATCAATAATTATTTTTTAAAAAACTAGTTTGACAGGAAATTATGAAACATTTTTCTTAAGGCCATCCGGGAGAAAATAATGGTTTTGTAGATTTCTTCTCATTTGAAAAAAATTGAATATTTTAGGTTGTAATTTTTTGGAAATAATAGAGGAAGGTACCCTGCCAGGGGCTCTTCTCGGAATTTTGCAAAATCTTGATAAATAATTATTGAAAAAAATGTTTAAACATTGGCAAAAAGGGGTTTCGTAAATTACTTCTCATCTTTAAAGGATAAAGTATTTCGAGTTGGCATTTGGAGGAATAATAGAGGAAGGGTCACTGAGTGGGGCTCTTCTCCATTTTTGCAATAATATTGTGAGGAAATTATTTTATTAAAGATTTAAAGTGGAGTAATTTGGGGTAAGTTAGTTCAGCAGCGGCCACTAGCTAAAATTGGCGCCACCTTCTGGGCCACTGACACATAGATTCAATGTCTGTGTGCTCGCCTCCCCTACTGTTCCCACTTCTGTCAAAAATCCAACTTTTATAATCACGATTTTCAATACTTTTCAACAAAATTACTTGTAAAAATGGAGATGATTCTTAATCAGCTCGCCCTCATCTAATTAATCCGACAAATCCGAACAAGATATTTCAAGTTATTTACGAGTAATATCTCGCGCGGGAAAACACTTTTAGGTTAGGGATTTTTCCCGGATGGCCTTAAGGAAACAAAACAAAAAGAAAAAAAAAAAAGAAAGAAAAACCTCGAAGAAAATTTTATTATTTAGGAAAAAAAAAAATGTCTTGCCTTATATGATATAAATATAAATATATATTAATAAGAAACTGTAAACCTAAATATGTATTATGAAAAAATAAGCGCAAGTTCTTGACTGTATACACTATGGAAAGTAATAATTCTTTAGATTATATAAAGCACAAATGTCAGTTGTAAGTTACTTTTGTAAATACATATATAGATATATATATAAAAAAAAAATTTTGTATTTTCTTTCAATATTTACCATTATTGATTTAAAAAAAATTAATTCTGCGTTTATTAATTAATTTATAAAATTATATAATTTAATGTAACTTTTATTTATTATTATTATTATTATAATTTTTACGTTTATTCTAGATTTGTATTGAAATTTAATTTTCAATTAAAATTTTGTAAATTTAATTCTAATAATCTCCACGAGGTGTCCGATTTAATTCCTTTTATCAGTAATTTAATAATTTAATTATTAATTAACGATAAATAATTTAAGATAAACATAAAGTGGATTAATTTCCCAGCACTATATTAATTTTAAAATGTTAATTTATATAGTAAAAATTAAAAATATCAAATCAACTCACCATTTGAAGTTCAATTTCCCGCCAATTCGCCGCCATGTTGAAAATTTTCACATTCCAAATTTGCTTCAAAAATTTGTACAATATACAAATTGTCTTTGGCATTAATTGAAGTCAAAAAAAAAAACACTAAACACACAATTATCACCAAAATATGATAAAACTGATTGAAAAAAAATTATTTATTTCAATCAAAATAGGCACATCACGGAAATTTTCTATTTCACTGAATGGCAAATTTTGCCCGACACACTTTTTAACACTGATTATCACTGTATTTTTTTAAAAATAACATTCACTAACGATTCACCACACTTAATCTAATTTGATATTCAAGAAAATTTACTTTTTCATTATTAAAAATCACTTTAATTTACACAAAAAGAGAGGCGAAATCACGTTAGCTGAACTAATGTGCCCGGCGAATGGCGGTTAACTGAAATGACGAAACTGGCGATATCAAATTCTAATCTATATCTTCATTTTGAATTTTTAATAACAATACATTTTGCATTCTTTTTACATTAACTTAAAAAGAATATGCAAAAATTTTCAATTTTCGAGAATTTTAATTTAATATTATAATAAATTTAGAAAAATTATAGAAATTCTCAATTTATTTAACACTTATTTGACTAAAGTCGTATAAGCACGGCCATTATTAATTCTTCCACCAATCAAATCTAATTTCTCAATAAAAGCAACAATTCGATTGGTTCTTCTCTTTCTGACAATTAGATTTTGTCGTCTGCTCCTTTAATACCTGCGCGAAAATATGTAAAATTGTATATATTTTGTATTTTATAAAAAGAAAAAACAATTTTTACAAAATAGTTTAATAAAGAAAACATAAATTTTATTCGCTTCGAACAAGAAAATATATAAAAAGTGTAATATTAAAAGAAATTTCAAAATTTCATGAGAAATGAATTTTGAGGTTATAGAAATAATTTTTTTTTTAAATACAGTTGTTTTTGACGAAATATCGGAATTTATTTGAAAATATGGAATGCAATGAATTGAAAATTTATTTATTTATTTGTGAGGGATGAGAGGATATTTTAAATTTTACTACGTTGTATAACCTTAATATGACCCACAAATTAGGTAAGTTGCAAATATTTTCTATTTCTATATACAAATATATATATATATTACATGTTATAAAATATATGACCCTGATTTATTGTGTAAAATATGAATAGTTTATTTGCTTTTTTTTTTTTTTTTTGTAATATATAAGTAATGACTTTTTTTAATTGCGAATTTTTAAACATAACCTACAATTTGAAGATTTCGTGTATTTGTTTTTTTTATAAATGTTTTATGATAAATTTTTTGTTTATTTATATCAAAGTGGCAGTCGTGTCAATAATACCACAATTTTTATAAAAACAATTGAAATTTAATGTTTCGTAAGTAAATTTTAATTTCAAGGAAAAAATTCATTGTTCTTGTTTTGTTTTTTCAGTCTATAGTATTATCTCGTTTTTTTTTTAATTTTAAAAAAGAATTGAATTGTTTGCAATTTAATATATATAAATTATTTATAAAGTTCAATTATTATAATTGAAATAAATAATTAATTACACAATTATTCCAATTTTATAAAATAATATTATTTCGAAAGTTTAATTATTATAATTGAAATAATTAATTACACAATTATTTCAATTTTATAAAATAATATTATTTCGAAAGTTTAATTAAAAATTATAATTTTGAAATAAATAATTAATTACAATTATTCCAATTTTTAAAAATACAATTATCCCCTGAAAACATTTGAATTTTATTCTCAATATTTCAGAATAAAAATGAATTTTCCCCAATTGAAAGGAAATAAAAATCCACTTTCATTGATGCGTGGCATGTCAAGTGCATCAAAATCAAATAAAAATCATTACGAAACATTGAAAGTAAAGCATAATGCTACTCAAGAAGAAATTAAATCATCTTATTATAAATTATCAAAACAATATCATCCCGATGTAAATAAAGAAGAAGGGGCAAAGAAAAACTTTCGTGATATCTCTGAAGCTTATGAAATAATTGGTAATTATAAATTTCGTCGACAATATGATCGTGGTATGACGGCACGTGGTGTTATTAATGTAAAACATGATGAAAAATCATCGTCATCAGCGAATGATGATTATTATGATGATGATGTTGATGATAAAAATATTGAGCATATGGCATTTTATAAATCACGAATGAGAAATTATCCAAAACCAGTGAGAACAGGAAATTCAAAAATTTATAATTTTGACGAATGGACACGTGCACATTATGGTGATTCATTTCAACGAACAGTATTGAGAAAACAAAAAAATATAAAATTTCAAGAGAAAATGGTTGACGATCATAATGATTCATTAAAAGTAAATGAAGAAATAACATTGCTTATTGGAATGGCAACGGTTATTTTTCTTGCTGTTGGATTATTAACAATATCAAAGCATAATTATGATAATCCAACAAAAAATGATAATGATAATGTTAATGATAATAATGATTTAAAGCGATAACGTTTGTAGAGAATTTTAAGAAAATTTTAATTTTCCTAGTTTAATTTTGTAAATTATAAAAATAAGTAGATAGTGTAAAAAAAAATGTTTCGGGCACATTTTTTCAATGTAAATAGTTTTTTTTTTCTTTTTAATTTGCGTCGAGTCGAGTAGTTTTCAGAGAGTTTTAGATTTTTTTTTTTCCTTTAAAAAAAATTGTTTCTGAATTTAATTTGAATTTTTTTTTGTTTCTTTCTATTTTAATTAAATTAATAATTAACAATAATTTTGAAATTGAATTTTTAATAAATTGAATTTTAAAAAATTATAATTTTCAAAAGAAATATTAATTAAATTAAATTAAAAAATATGTTAAAAATTAATTTCGAAAATTATTTGTTTAAAATGATATATTATTTAAGAATATTATGTTTTTAAATAATATATATAATTAACAAAAAAATCTTTCTGAATATTCACTCGTGATTTCGTTGAAAAATGTTCCCGTTTTTCATTTGTCGAAAAAAAAGGCAAATGGTCACTTTTGTAAATAATGTTGCTTCTTGTTACAAATAAAAATATTTTATTTATATTTAACAAACTTTAAAAGTAAAAATACAAAGTAATTTTCATACTCGCAATACCATTTCAGCTTAATGAGAAATTAATTTTTGTTCTTGTTTTTTTTTTTAAAAATTCAAACGTTCATTTTCATCTTTAAGATGCGTCTCATTTGGTACATTCATTGAATATAATTAATTATTTGCTAGATTATAAACAATTTTCATTATTTTATTTTTTTTTAACACTTTAAATGAAAATTGAGTTATTTTTGTAAACTTTATTTTTGTCACAAAAATGAAAATAGAATTTCATAATTATTTTTATACAATTGAATTATTTAGAATTAAAAATTCGATTTTTTCACTGAAACAAAAAACGAATTTGTTTATTTATAATAAATGTAACAATATTTATTTATAATAAATAAATTTATTGCATTTATTTATAATAAATAAACAATTTAATTGGTTTTTTTTCCGCAATTAAAAATAGAATTTAATTATTTCTTTAATTTCCAAAAATAATAAATTTTCATTAATTTCATTTTTCTTTCTTTCTTTCTTTTTTTTGTTCTAGAAATTAAAATACGAAGTTTCTTTTTTTTGAGAATTATGGTTAATATGGTGGCATTTGTACGGGCATAGGCATTGATACAATTCCAGATGGATATGGCAATGAAGGCGACATTCCTGGAAATTTTCCTAAAGCAGGATAACCAACTCCTTTGTCCTTGGATTTAATTAGTTCCTGCATTTTTTCAACTTTCACCTTTCTCAAATGTACCAATAGACGCAACGATAAATATTGATCGAGAAATTCATCGACTTCTATTTCACCATCTACAAATTTTTTCGCCACTGTCTGAAATGAAAGAAAAAAAAGAATAACGTGAGTTTTTTTTTTTAAATTTTCTGTTTGACTCTAAAAATTTTTTTTTTATTAGATATATAAATTTTACCTAATACCAAAGAAATACAAAGAAATGACAAAAACTATTTTGTTAAGAAAAAAAGGATTGTCTTTTAAATCAGTAATTAAATATTTTTTTTCTTATTCAAAGAAATTCTAATTTTTATTTAACGAGTTTAGAATTTTTTTTTTTTATTTTAAAAATGTGTTTCTTTAAAAATAATTGAAAAAAAATTCATGGAAGGAAAAGATTTTATTTTTATTTCTCCTTTAAAGAATATATTTCAAAAACCGTAAAAGATAAATAAATTCTGATCTGTTTATTTATAAAAGTTTAAGTGGAATTTTAAATTTAATTGTATTCACATTTCTTTCGAAATGTTAAAAAAATATTTTTCTAAAAATATATTTTCAAAAATATTTTTACCTCAGACTGTTCATCGATTTCCGATGCAGCTGTTTGAAGCATGTCCAATGCAGTATCTACACTCATCATTCCAGGTTTTTCCTCTATAAAAAATAAAAATTTTCCTTTAAATTTAATTTCTTTTTTATTTCAAAAAAAAAAAAATTTTGAACTTTTAATTTAATTTATTCTTAAGGAAATATTTCATTTTTCTTTACTTTATTTTAAAAAATTTCAAAATCAATTTCTTTCAAAGTTTGAAAAAAATTCAATTTTTAAATTAAAAATCTCTAATTTGAAAAATGAAATTATAAAGTCCATTTTTATTTGTAGATAAATTCTTACTTATTTCATCCAATTTTTCATTAATACTTGTACAAAGTAAACTTCCTTTTTCACTTAATTCACGAAGTTCTTGTTTTCCTTCTTCTAATTCTGGTTGTCTTGCTAAATTATATTCCGCTAAAGATCTATTGCTTGCCATCAACATTTCCTTCTCTGTCTCGTACTCCTTGAACTGGAATTTAGTTTTTTTTTTGGTGATAAAAAAATTTTTAATTTCGATTTTTACTTTTTTCTCTTAAAAACAAAATTTCTCCGTTTTTAAATGAAATCAACAAATTAATTCCAAATAATGTATAAATTTATTTTATTACCATTAAATAATTAATTAAAATAAATTACGTGAAAAATTTAATTAATTACAATTAAGTAAAAAAAAAAAAAATAATTAAAATCATTTTTTACCCAAAAATAAACAAATTTAAAATATGAATTTAAATATTTAATTAACTAAATTTATTAAAACATTTTTCTTCTTTAAAATTTAATATTTTTTTTTATTAATTATTTAATTGAAAAAAGAAAAATAAAATAATTATATTTTACTCGTTTTGGATTTTTTTTATTATTAAATTTTTTAATTTTATTTTTATTGAATTTCGCAATTATTTCATTAAAAATTTCAAAAATTTTTCGTATAAATATTAATAATAAAAATTTTAAAAACTATACAAATTTTCACCAATAAATTCGGAATCAAAGAGGAAAAAAATCAATTTTTTATTTACCTGTTCAACATTTTTAATAACTTCTTCAAATTTCTCATCGTCATTTAGTAATTCCTTTAATTCATCATTGCTCATATTTTTAATAATTCTTAAAGCAGCCTGAGTATCAAGCTCAAAATTTTGTTTATACATTTTTTCTTTTTTTTTTTTTTTTAATATATTATTTTTTTCTACTTTGTCTTTTATCAGTCAAAGTGAATGGCACACTTTGTATTTTATTTTGAGAAATAATTATTTATTTAACCAAGATATCTTATTTTCAATAAACACTTAATTATCAAATAATCACTACGTCACTGTCGTTGAAAAATAAAGTTTCACTATTTTCTTTAATTACTTTCTTTGTTTACACAAAATTTTTGTTTGGAAATGTATCTTTTGTGCAAGTGACATTTCTTCGTGATGTCGTCGTAAATACCAGGAAAAGGTTAACAAGGCTTGCCAATTGTATCAATTATTTTCAATTTTTCATTTAAAAATTATGTAATTTTAAAATAAATAATTTTTATTTTTCTTAATTCTTAGATTATTCTAAAATATAATAATAATTGTTATTAATTAATAATAGTAACAATAGAATAATAATTCTATTGTTACTATTATTAATTTTGAAAATATTCACAAGTCAATGTTGGTAGTATTATTATGACACTGGACAAGTTTACTGATAGAGTAATTCTTCTCTATCCAATAGGATTTAAGAGTAGGAAAATTTCCACCAATCGAGTGAAAACAAGTAGAACCAATTGAATGATACGATTGGAAGAGAAGAAATACATTGTAAACTCGCGGACAGTTTTCTTTTGTTTCCCGCCGAGTCAAGTGTTAAAGTAAGGTTATGTTAGTGTAAAAAATTTAACGTTTTTTCTCAATATTAGCAAAAATTTGATTAGACTAATTAGTGTTAAAGTGTAAAATTCGAGTAGATCAATATATTATTATGTGCCACGTTTTGTTATTGTGAAAATATTTTATTCTGTAGCCACGTGCAAAAAGGCCTTGAGGAGGAAATTATCTATCATCTTCGAAAGATAATTCACCATCTTTCAGTTAACGTATGGTATGTATAGAAAAAAAAAAAAAAAAAAAAAAAAACAAAGCACTTTAATTTCTTCATCCTTGAAAATCACGAACAGCTATGTCATCGAAATATGACAAAATCCGTTATGTGAATATTTCCCTTTTGTTCTCGCCGAAGAACGCATATCCTTCTTTTATTTATTTTTATCAACTTATTTGTACACAAATTTTTTTCATATTAATTTCGTTTTTTTTTTTGAATTTGTAATTTTTTTTTCCAACATGTTATAATTTTGTTATAATGAATTTTTGTCAAAAGTCATTTCTAGATTGTAATTAAGTCATTAAAAATATATTAACTTACACAGAATCGAGAGAAAAATATTGTGAAATAATTTTAAATTCTGATTAATAATAATTTGCATATAAATATATGTAAAATATATATTGTTTGCTTGATCGGATTTATTTTTGCTTTATAATTATGATGGATTAAATATATATATATATAATATGAAGGGGTAATTTATTACCGAGAAATGATTATGTTAGAAAAATTCTAAAGAAGAATTCAGTGAGTTTTGAACCTCGTTAGATCGTCTTTCCTCTCCCTCCCCCCCCTCGTGTCGTATCACGTCATCCCCCTTGCCCACAATCGTTTTTCTTCTCTGCAAAAGGAGCGTCTGCAAAATATATTAACTTCCATTTTTCTATTCAACAATCATTATAATGTTCATTTCAAATTATCTAATAATAATAATAATAATTTCTTTTTAAATATAAGTGAAAATTACTTTTTTTTTTAACGGAATATTTTTCTATATTTACCAAATAATTTGTATTGTATCTTTTATCAAGTATATTATTAATTATTATTATTTATTTCAATATTATTCATAGAATGAATATTTAAAAAATTTTTTTTTTAAATCATTGGAATAAGAAAATTTTTCCACAATCATTATTTATATAGTGGATGAGAGAGAGAGAGAATGGAAAAAAATAACATTGAATGCAGAAAAATAAAAAAACGGATCTAAATTGTAAACTCTATTCATTTTTGCCTTCAGCGCTTTTGTGAATATATATATATATATTCCGACCTGTAATAATTGCTTTGGAATTTTTTTTTTTTTCTTTTTCCCTTGAAAAGACGTTTTCCCTTTAAAAATTATTATTTTCCTTCGACTCTGATTCTTGAGACGAATATAATATTTAAAATATATTTTTTTTCTTTATTTTAATGAAACTAAAAAATTTTTTATCAAAATTAAAAAAAGAAAAACCGTTTTTTTTAAGGACAAAGAAAAGTAAATTTCTTTTTTTTTTTATTCAATTTATTGAAATTGTAAATGAAATAAAAATTTTTATATAGATGAAAATTTTGCTAAATTAAAATTAAATAATGCTAAATTTTTTCTTATAAAATTTATTTTATTTAAGAAAATACGAATTTGTTTTAATAGTTTTTTTTTTTTTTTAATCTAAATCGTACGTTTGAAATCGTTTTGGAAATTTTTCATTTTAAAGGAAATATTTTTGTTCTGGGAGAAAAAACATTATAATCCGATCCTGAATCGGCGATTCTTCTCTCTCGCTCGTCAAAACGGGATTCTTTCCTTTTCCGTTCACTCGTGTGTTTGTTATCCGGTGAGGCGATGTTGCCACTTTTATAAAATGCGACGTTGCCAATTTTACACAATCTTTTTTTCTCTCTCTCTCTCACTTGCTCTTGTATATTTATTCTTTCCTTTTTCATCTAGCCTCCCTCGTCCCCTCTTGTTGCGACCGGGATCAGCTATACGTTTTCTCGCTCTCTATCTTTCTCTCTTTCTCCCCCTCCCCTGTCTCTTCTCTCTCGTCTTTATGTAGGTAGCCAGCTTGCTTGCTCGATGCAATGCCGTACATAAAATATCCATCACCCACGTGGGAAATCAAAACCCACTCTTTAAGAAAAAAAAAAAAAATAATTTTTTTTCTTCCCCCCCCTAATTTTAAAATTTATTCTCTTTTTTTGTTTCTTTGTTATTCTAATTCTAAATTATTGAGGAAATTTAATTTTTTTTTTTTCTATATCATTTAGAAGAAGAAATTCTAAGTATAAAATTGCATACAAGGAATTTTTTTTTAAATCGAAAATATAATTTTTAAAAAATTAATATTAGACTCAGATTATTTATTTGTTTTAAGTAAAAAAAAAAAGAAAAAAAAATTGGTGTTGAAAGAAATAATTTTTTTTTTGCTGTAAATGAAATTTATTTAAAACAAGTAAATATTTCTTTGAAGATTTTAATTTAAATTAAATAAATATTGCATTTATTTTTTATGGAATATTTATTTATTTTAAGAAAATATTTATTTATTGTACGGATATATTTATTTATTTTAAGAAAATATTTAAGGAATTATTTAGTTTGGCAAATTTTGTTAACAAAATTTAAGTTAATACACAAAAAAAAATAGCAGGTAACATTTTTTTTTTCTAGAATTTAAAACAGTTTTCTGGATGAAAAATTCGTAAATGCTTTCAGGCTTTTTTTTTTTTTTTTGCCGTGAACTATTTTTACAAAACAAAGAATTTTTTTTCTCTGTAACAAAAACGTTTTTTTTTTTTTTTTTTTTGTTTAAAAAAACAAAAGAGAATAAAAAATAAATTCTCTTTTATTTGGTAAAGGAAATATTTTTTAACGAAACAAAATACGTATTTGTGATTTCTTTTTTTGAATCAATGAATTGGAAGTATTAACTTAAATTTTGTTAATAAAAAATAAAATAATTTCTTATATATATATTTATTTTATTATTATTATATATTTAATTAAAATAAGTTTAATGTTTCCGTAGAATATTAAAATTTTTTATTTCTTTATAATAATTTTTTTTTTATAATGAATTGAAGTATAAATTTTTCAATTTCGATTTGATTTTTTTTTTTTCAAAAGACTGAAAAACAGGTCTGTTAAGCTGGCACCACAAGTTTGATATTTTTAAATATCTCCTATGTGAGAATTTAGGGCTCAATTAGGGCTAATTACCGCTCAAAATGAAAAATTTACCGCTCTTTATTTTTTAAAAAAAAGGCGGTTGGTGCTACCTTAACGTTAAGCTGGCACCAACCGCTTAAAAAACCAAATAAATAAAGAGATAATTAAAATCCTACCATGCCATAATTTAGGGCTCATTTAGGGCTTTCAACTGGACATAGAAAGAATTTTCAAAAAAAATTTTAAAAACAAAAACACTCTACTTGATTTTTTTTTTTTTTTTTAAAAGGGGTTGGTGCTACCTTAACGTTAAGCTGGCACCAACCGCTTAAAAAACCATATAAAAAACAAGATATTTGACAATCCACCCTGACACAATTTAGGGCTTATTTAGGGCTTTCAACTGGACATAAAAAGAATTTTCAAAAAAAAATTCAAAATCAAAGAACACACTCCACCATATAGTTTTTTTTAGAAAGGAGACCCTAATAAAAAGTAGGATATTTAAAATTTGACTTTGCCATAATTTAGGGCTCATTTAGGGCTTTCAAATGGACGCATAAAGAAATTTAATAAAAAATTTCTAAATCGAAAAAAATCTTTATATTTGTTTTAAAAAAGGAGTTGGTGCTACCTTAACTCTTAGCTGGCACAACTCACTTCAAAACCCAAATAGAAAATCAGATATTTAAAATTTGACTTTGCCAAAATTTAGGGCTCATTTAGGGCTTTCGTATGGACGCATACAGAAATTTAAAAAACATTTCTAAATCGAAAAAAATCTTTATATTTTTTTTAAAAAAGGAGTTGGTGCCACCTTAACATTTGGCTGGCACAACTCACTTTAAAACCCAAATAAAAAAAAAGATATTTAAATTTTGACTATGCCATAAATTAATGCTCATTTAGGGCTTTCAAATGGGCGTAGAAAGAAATTTTAAAAAAATTTCTAAATCAAAAAAAAAAATTTTATTTTTTTTTTAAAAAAGGAGTTGGTGCTATCTTAACTCTTAGCTGGCACAACTTACTTCAAAACCCTAATAAAAAATCGGATATTTAAATTCTGACTATGCCATAATTTAGGGCTCATTAAGGGCTTTCAAATGGACGTAGAAAGAAATTTAAAAAAAAATTTCTAAATCAAAAAAAAAATCTTTATATTTTTTTTAAGAAAGGAGTTGGTGCTATCTTAACTCTTAGCTGGCACAACTCACTTCAAAACCCTAATAAAATATCGGATATTTAAAATTTGACTTTGCCATAATTTAGGGCTCATTTAGGGCTTTCGAATGGACGCATAAAGAAATTTAATAAAAAATTTCTAAATCGAAAAAAATCTTTATATTTGTTTTAAAAAAGGAGTTGGTGCTACCTTAACTCTTAGCTGGCACAACTCACTTTAAAACCCAAATAAAAAAACAGATATT